ACACAGATACTATGAAAGCAATGCCTATTTATTTACTTGCTGGATTGTTCATGTTTGTACTAGTGTTTCTTAATTGTGCTTGAACACGGAGTACTTTTTAAAAAGATGTACCTGTTGTCTGTGTTTTAAAACATGTAGCACAATGGATCCCTTGTCATTTATCTGCAAACCAATCTATCTATTGGTACAAATAAATAAGGAGAACCTGAACCTATTATTAATTTCCCTTGACCCACTATAATGCAGCATTATAATTGAAGCTGAGAGAAAAGATGGCGAGTGTTCCTAGACATAGATCCCAACGCTCCTGCCCATAATGACATTGCGATGGGGTTATTTTCTGTATTTGTTATTGGTCAAAATCGGAAAAGCTAGCAAGCATTGTTTATTTAAGTAGCTGCAGGAGTCTTCTTCAGCTTATACGTTGTTTTATGCTACTCATAAATACCAAAACAGTCGCAATGGAAACATTTCTGGTGAATATGCCGGTTGAATACCTTGCCTTTTGACCAAGTCATTTTATTTCCCAGCTTTAAGTTGAATCTCGGTACAGTAGGTTACAGGAAATGAAGAGTGTTCTCTTGCGTCAAAATCAGACCTGTTTTGTTGAGCCATTCAACAACTCTTGATATCCTTTCTTATATAACTGTTTTACCTTCTTTGCTCCTGATTGTAAAGACGTCTATTAAGCATAGACATGGTATCATTTTGCGGCATTTTCAGAAGCAACAATTACTGTAATTTCTTTAGGCAAGGCAAGGCAAGGCAAGTTTATTTATATAGCACCTTTCAACACAAGGTAATTCAAAGTGCTTTACAAAAATGGAAGACATTTAGGCAGACAAGTTTCCCCAAATCCCTCTCATGGGGACTGATGGCAATGGAAAAAAGCCCAGAGAGAGTAAAGCACTCACAAAAGGCTTTTTTGACCACATAGCACAAGTTTTCCTGTTTTTCTGTTTACGAGTCTTCAGCTCAGTTGTGGTTACTGCATTTTGAATCTATTCACCCTAGATTTTACACTAATGGGAAAAACAACAAAGTCCAGCACACACCAGTGGAAGGATATTTCTTTAGCCCCTGCGTTAGCGAATAAAAACAAAATCGGAAAACCAACACGGCTCCATCTTTGTGTTGAAAGATTATCAAGGGAGAAGAAATAGTACACCTTAGGTACAAAAAAGTGGAGAGATTATGAAACTTCTGTTAAATCTCAGTAATGTTCATTCGTAATACGCCATCATGACAACAGGGTTAAAAGCCCAATTTAGGAGGCAAATGGCTCCTTCAGTCCCCGTAAAGTAAATGACAGAAGGATGGTAGAAGTCTCCTGGCACAATTGCACCCTGCAACCCGCGGTGCTCATGCAGGTTTGGTCAGAAGGTAAAGACTGTAGTCCATTACCTGGTAATGTCAAATGAACTTCTAAATGCTGCGCAGCCACAAGATGTAATCACCGAAATTGGATTTTAAGAGGTGAGAAACGAGCGCGTCGTAATTCTGAATGATTATCTCGACAGGTGTGCGCCATTAGTCCGTGACTGGTAAAAGCTTTTTACTTTTTTATTTTTTTACTTTAAGAAAATTGCTAGGGTTAAAACGCTCGGTCAGACACACACACTCTGTCCTCCTGGGAGAGCAGGTGGAGAGGGGGATTGGATCTGGAGAAAGTATTCCAGGTACTAGAGCTAATAAACAGTGCATTATGTATTATATTACTTCTGAAATTGCAAAATAGTGCATTTGTGCTTTTTGTAGTTTTTTTTTCCCTCTGAGGATGTTGCATCAGATGTGCAGCCCTGATGAATCTGCTGATCCACATCTCTGTGTGTGTACAGCCTGCAGAGAGCCGGTACATAACCATCAGATGCCCTACAATTAGCACAAAGCAAATGGGCATGATGATGTGGAACTGGATGAAGGTACACTTTGTACAGCGACAGATTGTCTCAAAGTGCTCCTCTTGGATGGAGAGGTTTGCATGTCAAAATGTCTTCGAAGGTACATTATGAAGACTCAAAAGTGCATGTGATGGTTGGTTTTTGGGTACATATTGTTCTTTATTGCCTTTCTTGTCCCATTTAGTGCTGTAAGGATTGATTGATTTACTTTAAATCATTCAACAACAATGGCTGTAATTTAAGGTTGGGCATTGGCTGATTACCATAGCTTGTTTTATGTTATTATATTTTGATGATTTGTGGCACGCGCACGCACACGCACGCACGCACGCACGCACGCACGCACGCACGCACGCACGCATGTAGGATCATAAGCGATTTCCTTTCTGGACTCAGCTAATGAGCTCAGGGGGAAACAAAGGTCAGACTTCCACATTAGTGAACAGTGAGCGGCGGTATTTAACACAGCACTGCTCCAAACATAACACATTGGATAACCAATGCGTTATTACTGTCACAAAAAAACCAAAACAAAGGTTGTAAACACATGGAATATAAGAGGCCGTAGATGTTACCACTAATGATTTGGTTTGTAGCTTTGCCTTAATTAGATTTAAACTTTTAGGGATTTTTTGTACAGTCAGAAGTACAGTAGTAACAAAAAAATCAGGAGACCAGGATTCAATGCAGCTACCAAACACGTGTTTCACTCGTGTTTTTCAGAATTAATGACGGGGTGTTGTCAATAATAAGTGTCAGTTAAATAATTCATATTTATTGTAACTCAATGGGTTAATGGGTGTGGGAGAGTGGTGGGATTGAAATGGAGATTTTGATTTGTCAGCATGTGTGTATATATCGTTACTTGAATTGGAACCGAATGTACATGCTCTGTATCACTTGCTTTTGTAAAAAAAAAAACTGAGAAAATCCATAAAGGTATTTATATAAAAAAAAGTTTTTATATATCATAAAATTGCAATATTCAAACTTATCCATTAGGATGAGATACTACAATGCCTAACCAAAAAACTCCACACATTCATACCTATGGGACTAATAGGTATGAAAGAATATACAGAATCAATATACAGTAAATAACCCACTGTTGACTCTACATTTGAGCTTTATATATAAATAAAGACTTGATATGGGTTTTTTAATGACGCCTCTGATAATGGATGCATTTATAAAGGTGTTTTTTTTTATGGTTTACAATGAAGAGAGAAAAAAGGGAAGGATTAGAAGTTGACTTTTTGTTGCTTTTACATGAACCCTTAAATACTCAAGTGCATATTATAAGTACATTTTATTAAGATAGTAACAGGGACACTATTTGCACTGCTTACTGTATGCCTCCAAACTGCACTCGAGCATTTAGCCAAGTCAAATAATACAATAAGAACATATTAACATTTAGTTGGAACTATGTAGTTAAAATAAAAGGCACCATTAAGATTTGATTGACCCAGTGGTATGGTAACACACCAGCCAGGAAGGTGTGGTTTGTTCTGACGTCTTTGGGCCACTTTCCCTGAGCTGCTGTCAAGTTTACATGATAATATAAGACAGGAACTAACACGATTCCTTCAAAATAAAAGTTACACATAGTTCAAATAAAAAATATATCTCATATTAGTAGGTTTTTGGTGGAGCCATCTTGACATTTATTCAAAAATATATTTGTATTCATGCCATTTCTTTACAAAACTCATTTACATGCAGCATATTTTAGCATTCGAGTCGTTTGGTAGCATAGGCAGTCTCTCATTCATTATCACACTAGAGCAGTTACTTAACCCTTCTATTGTCTTCGTTTCCCCCCCCCCCCTTACTTTGGTGTCAAATTTGAACGGTCCTGTTTTAACTGCTATTACATTAACACAAAAACCATTAATCAACACCAAATTTAATTTAACACCCTTTCAAACTGTAAATATTGTATCAGACTACTGGTATACATGAAAAACTGCACTAAATATACAAAGAATAGACACTGAACATGTATTGCGTGTGCCAGGTGTGATCCATGTGGGGGGATGGGCACGTGTGTGTGTGTGTGTGTGTGTGTGTGTGTGTGTGTGTGTGTGTGTGTGTGTGTGTGTGTGTGTGTGTGTGTGTGTGTGTGTGTGTGTGTGTGTGTGTGTGTGTGTGTGTGTGTGTGTGTGTGTGTGTGTGTGTGTGTGTGTGTGTGGTGTTGTGTGTGTGTGTGTGTGTGTGTGTGTGTGTGTGTGTGTGTGTGTGTGTGTGTGTGTGTGTGTGTGTGTGTGTGTGTGTGTGTGTGTGTCATTGGGCACATAAGGGGGGGGAACACATTTAGAGTATGTGTGTGTGTTTTATATCTGATCCGGATGGTTACTAATTCCTTTTCTTTATAGCGGTCATTTTTGACCGGGAACACCATGGGTGTTACAAAGTTGACTAAATCATCCAAAATGCAATGAAAGTGGTGATCAGCAATTTCATATGTTCAAATGTCTACTGTGAAGGATATCATAAAGCCTTAATGCAATCGAATGTGAAACAAAAAAGTTATGATTGATGAAAGTAGTAAATCGGTCAGATTTGACCCGAAGACAACAGGAGGGTTAAAGGTATCAAGCAAACTTTATTTAAACATATATTTAATAAAAAAGAGGTTATATTTACAGTTGCTTAAGAGAAGAAAATAAGAGTGGTTACAGGGACAAAGAGCCTGAGAAGAAGACAATATAGAAACAAGCAGCATTAGGTGTGCAAACCTACTTGTAAAAAAGTATAAAATCAGAGGAAAATCTAAGTAAATATGGCATTTAATTTAGTATTTTTGGGGACACAATTAAGAATTTAGACCTTTGGTGATTGTTATTATTCTCTATTTCAAAAGCACGACCAATTTACAAAGAAGAGAAAAATATAACACGGTTTATTTTTCACTCTCCTAATATTTTTGGGATTCTATCATGTTCAAATGTATGCAAATAAAACAAAACCCAGTAAAGTCTGTCAGGATTTTATTTTGAAGGCACTGACTGGATCTTGTGCATGTTATTTTGTCCTTATTGACATCCCCTTGATTTCCCTGAACGCAGCTGCTGGTTTGGCTCGTGCAGCAGCAGGCAGCAGTGTCTTTATATGAACACTCTCTGTCCGTCAGTGAACTTACTGCGTGTTTTCTGTCCCCGCAGCTCACAACAGATCCACAAACAGCTTCACACTTCTATCAGCCTCTGTCCCACAGCTGGACTTCATATTGTCAAACTTTCTCTGCAACTGGTGTTTGTGGAACAAGAGGTAAGAATATTTCCATATTTATAAATACTTATTGAGTAACATCATGCGACGTGCAGCTCTGCAAACAGGACATCGTGCTGAAGTCTCAACTGTCCTTCTGATGTGTTAATAATATTTAGACTGCATGCAACAAGTAGGAGGCCTGTGACTGCCTGTGTGAAATATCAAAAGTACTCAAACTGGTTACCTGTGACAGAATGCAGGAAATCACTACTTAGACAATGAGATGTTATTTAATTGTATACTTATAATAATACTTAACTGGAAATAATCAGCTTCTTGAAGACTTTGTATATAAATGATATCAGCAAAAGGCCTGACTGCAAATTTAAGACCAGGGATCATGTGGAATATAATTAAATTGTGCAGGCAGTTAGCTGCTTATAATATACGTTTTTTTCACCACAATAATCTTCTAAAACATGCATTTTTACATCTACTATAATCTTAAAATATGCACATAACCATTTTTGGGTACCCTTGTGAATCCCATATCTGATTTGTTTCTATTTGTGGGTCTTTTAATGTGGTCTGAGAATCAGGCTTTTTCATGTTTAACTATTCTAATGTTAATATTAGCCTACTTCAAAAAGCACTTATCTTTGTGTAAACATGCGGCTGCTGTCGACTCCCCTGGTTTGAACCCTGGATCTGACGCTGGATCCGTACCACGTTTTCCAGTTAAATCAATTATTTAGCCCACCAAAGTGCTCTAGTCAAACAAGAGATTGCATATGTTATACAGTACTTACTTTGGATAGACTAAAACTGAAGTAAAGTTTGCACAAACCTGTTTCTATTTAAAGATATGTTTTTGCAATTTGCCATTTGTTTACTCCGAGTGTGATTTCAACGTGTTGAAGTGTGGTGAAATGCAGGGCTTCTAAAGGTTGGGAAATGAAAGAAAACAATTATAATGGTGTTTTAAACTTTTAAGATGTTGTACTGGGTTGAATGCCTGGCTTTTACATTGTTAGAAGGAAATTGTTTCTCGCTGCCATTCAGAAGAAAGTCAAATCAAAAGCATTGTCAAATTCATTCTAACCTGTCTGTACAATCACAAAGAAAATGTTCCTGTGATAGCAACACTTTAATTCGTTTTCTTTCTTATTAAACAAGCTTAGAGAGAAGATATTACAGTCAAGTTTGTCATATTTTTTAGATGAATAGAAAACGTATAAGTAGAGGTTACTGTCATTGCCTTTATTGTGAGTGTTACTCAGCATTTGCTCAAGATTACAGGTCAATCAGTGTCACTTTGTCTCATTTTTAAACACAACAATAATATACCCGACAAAAATTCCACCGTTTATAAAGTATTTTTAATTACCCAGATCTTCACATATATTTCAGAACAAACATTTCTTCAGAAAGAGTTCATGACCTCGTGTTGTGACATATTTTAATTCAAAAGGCATTTGCTGATAGTGTGATGTCAGATAGTTGTTGATTCAGCTCTGTGGTTATTTGGATACTGTTTTTTAGTTTCTGATGTATTTGATTATGATGCATTGAGGTGGTAAAAACATTAAACATCTTTTATTATAGAGCAATTTAGTAAATGCTTAGTTGATTCAATTATTTCTGGTGAAACACACATTCAGGAAACATCATATCAAATATCATGCCGCTTTTTTATACAACATTAAATGTGTATTAAGCATGACATGAACACATGAATCTCTTGCTGTCAACTTGAGGTTTTTCTGCAGCGGGGCGACTAATTCAATGAGATTTTTCACATTCCCTGGCGCTAACCACCACTCGTACTCCCTCCCTGTGTAAAGTAAGCTACGTCTCTTTCTGCAGAGCCGTTTAACATCCGTTTCCGCCTGATTTTAGGGAGGCAGTGAGGAATTGGATGGGAAAACGACATGGCCTTGAGCTTTTGTTAGAAGGCATGCCTCTCTGGCTAATGACCAGGAACCGTTCTGTCCCTTCACATTTCGCTTTATTTGGCTTTGATCTTTGGCCTTATGTTGGAGGAGATGCATGTTTGGTTCATGTGTGTTTGTGAGATTTCTTTGTGTGCAGGCATTCGTTTGTAGCTAAATGAATATGCCCTTAAAAAAACAAAACGTTTTAACTACATATTTTTATAAAAAACCTCCATAGAAATTGTCTCATATTTACAGCATGCAAACTGCAGTGACTGGACCCAGGTTAGCTACGGCTAGCTGGTGAGGTAGCCTTACGGGCCGTCTCCACAGCAGCGTTAACAAATCTTGAAACGCTTCTGCCCATTCACTTTGAATGGGGTGACGTCACTTTCCCTCACTTTTCGCCGAAATGCATTGTGGGCAGGCGAGCGGAGATTTTGAGGATTTTGAGGATTCAAAGTTGAACAATGTTCAACTTTTGAGGCTGAGGTGGAAGCGTCAGCCAATCAAATCCCGTGTACGCAAATCTGACCGTTCAAGCTCTAGCCAATCAAACGGCGTGTATGCTGGGAGAGACATACCGCAGGTCATTTCCTCATATTCCAAAAAATGGAGGAGAAATTAGCGGTAGCGAATCAATCACCCGGTGCTTTATGACCAGACCTACCGGGATATAAACCGGAGGAGCCAGGCATGGAGGGAGGTGGCAGAGACAGTGGTAGGTTTTCGCCTGTTTTGGGGAGTTTATATCCAGTTTACTTCGGGCTTTTTTGCTTCGTATGTCGGGGGCGAGAGATTCATGTGATTGGTTGTTCGCAAAAAATCCCCAAGCTTCAGATACGCCCACCTCCAAGATTTTTTTAACGCTGCTGTGTAGACGTTCCGTTAGCCAAAGTTAATCCTCCAACTTTTCCTGTTTCCTACAATTCAAAAATGTATTTTTGATGCTTGTTGTTAGTAATTGAGTTTCTATCCCACATACTGAGACTGTAGCTTAATCAAATTATAATGGAGGGGAAAAAAAACTGAATGCTAACTAGCCTAGCTTAGATCAGAAGCGCTAGCTGCTTACCGCTTCTGACTTTTTGTGGAAAAATGTGGTTAAGATACCTTTTTTAAATTGCATATTTAAATATATTTAGTAACATTTAGAGTTAATAGACAAGGGTGCTAGTTCAAATAGAAAAGAGAGATATGATAAAACAACAAATTAGTCTGTTTGTTGATGTGTGTTTTCTGCACACTGTAGATTGCTAAAAGCATGAGGTGCATTATAAAATAAAAAAACGTTTTAGGCTTTATGAAAGGTCTGTGACACTCGGCATATAAAAAACATTTCTTTCATATTTTTCCACCAGTTTCTTTAATGGGGCAAAAATGTTTATTCTTCAGCATCTGTGTGACAGGATGAGCAGCGTTGTGGAGGAAATTTGGGAGTTTTTCCTTTTAAATGAGCTGCCAGCGGCTGGAGATTGATACAGTAAGGAGGTTTCAAGGCAAGGTCAGCGCTTCAAAGGAAACAACAACTTTTCCACATCTGCTTTTACCCTGTAATGGTTATGAAGCAACTAAATCTTTCCACAATCTGTTTTATAATCTCTTAAATTATCTAATTTGTTTTAGTAGTCTGCTCATTGGCTTCAGTGACAAGGTCATTGTAAACTCCATGAAACTATCAGCACTCTTTACTTTTTTAATAACCTTTAGATCAGTGGTTCTCAACTGGTCAGGCCTCGGGACCCACTTTTTTCCTTTGTCAATAAATTGCCACCCGAAATTTTGAACCACTCAAATCTATTCCACAAAAAATTGTGCTGTAGTATATACGCTTTTCACCATACAATATTAATTAAAGTGAAATAGCCTACAGTGCATACATGTATATCCCTTCACAGAACTAAAGAATGCTTTTAAAAAAGGTTTAATGAGATGATGGAATCACAGCTGAACTTTATCACATAAAAAGGCACACATGCTCAGGGGGGTCTGGGGGGATTCTCCCCCAGGAGATTTTTAGAAATACTAACATAAACTACGCATTCTGGTACACTCTGAGAAGAAAATAAATAAATGTATTACTACCCGACATATTAATAATATTTTATGCCATTGTTTGTTTTTCACTTTGTTCTGACAGCTGAACTTGCTGCTCCACACAGAGAGAAGAGCAAAGAGGAGATAGTCTGTGTGAATTACTTTAAATTGTGGGTAAGGGTAGATAGACCCCATTGTTCTGTGACCTGTCAATCATCAAGCCGGGGGTCATATTTCATTATGTGTTCATTTTTATTATTTTACCGCAAAGTTATTCTCCGTGGGGACTTCCGGCAACAATCTTGATTCTGATTGGCCAGAAGACTCGAAAAAACATCAGCAAAGATGTTTTATTGAGAAGATGATCACTACGTGACAGAAGTTTTCAAAACCGTTTATGGTCTCCGGTACTTCCAGTCCAACGCCTACTGCATGCACAGCGTTAGAAAATCGGGCCTTCAAAATAAAAGTTTGCCTTTTTTTTCCACAAAAAAAAAGAAGATATATAAAAAAAAAATTTAATTTATTTTTTCTTCACTCACAAATCTGCGACCCATTCAAAACGGGTCCGCGACCCACTTTTGGGTTGCGACCCACCAGTTGAGAACCACTGCTTTAGATTACATCCACCCTTGTCATATAATGTTTGATTACAATCTTATTTCTGTTGTATTATTGATCGTAGGGCTGCATGTGTTGATAAGCCGGTGCATTACTTTATAATATCAATCATTCCCCATGAGTCAGGCCGAAACAGATCAGCTGGCAGGCGAGATTATTAAACCTCAAACGGAGAATAGCTTCAACTCTTTGATATTGTGGAAAGTCATCAGTCTAGATCTCAGACATGATAAACTCTAAGAAGACGAGGTTAAAGCCATCTCCCCGCTGCCAAGAAACACTCGTTATCATCCAGAAATAGATCATTTGTAAATGTCATTTAAAAAAACTAATATTCAGTTGCCTTTGAGCTGCTGTTACAGATTAGAGTAATGCTTTTTTAATTATAATTACGTGTCTGAATCCACAATCATGCACCACGGACACAAGTCTAGTCACTATATATATTCAGTATCTTAAAGAGGCCCTTATGCTTTTTGGAGTTTTCTCTTTTCTGTAGTTTCATATAGGTGCATGTTAAGCATCCCAAAGTTCCCTCCAGAGGAAGTTTCTCACATGTATATCGTTAACATTAAAAACCTTAAAAAAGTTGCTACAGCAGATGCAATACAGTATGTAGTAATATTTAAAAATGTAGTTTTTTTTTTGTTTGTAGATGCTAAATGCTTCTTTTGTATTCACCACTTTATTTGTCAGGTTCAATACATTATTACAATACATTACATATGATTCAAGTGACACTTTCATTCAAAGCAACTTACAATACAGTAAGTGCAAGGATTCAAATTCAGAACAAGAGCCATAATCCTAAAACACATTAGCTTCAAATATCAATTTAAGTGCTGGTGCATTAACTTTAAACAAGCGAAACCATTTAAAGTCCAACATACAGAAATGACCTTTTTTTTAGATTGTAATGGGGTAAGCAAGTGTGTGTTTGTTCCTTAGATACAGTAGGCATGTGTGCCTCTGCTATTGGAGAAAAATGCATTAGAAATCTTTAACTTATAGGGTTTGTCAAGTGAAATAAGATTGTTGTCTCCTTCCATGTAAGTGCGTAGTGACACATTACGTGTCCACAATGAAGCATGGGATGCAATAACATTTATTTCTCACTTGTTTTCAAAACATCAATCAAGGTACAATAATGGAAGAGTATGAACAAAATGTGTCCATACAGATTCCAGTTTTTATCTTTGATATACAGTAGCTTGTCATAACTTTCACATACAATAACTCAAGTAGTAGCTGGAGAAATAAAAACCTGACGACGAGAGTAATGATCAGCACACCTAAATAACTCCTTTTCCCCCAAATGTTTCCACAGCTGTAAGAGTGGTTTCTCCGATAACATTTTAATGTGTTATCATAAAAAATAAGGACTTAGCTGTAGTGCTATTTCTGAAGTGCCCATTTTACGCTCTACACAGCACGAACTGCGGCTTCTCTTACGGATTATTGGGTTTGTTGGCGAGACGAACCTAAAGTGTCTCTCAGCCGTTTGGGAAGATTACCAGAGCCGTGATCTTCTGGGTGAATGATGACTTTAAGAAGTGAGCCGAGTGCCAGGCAGGGGGAGACAATGTGTACCAACTCTGACTGAAGACAGACTGCTGCAGAACAGGAATGATTAACTTATCTGGTGTCGTAAGAGTAAACCAACATGTGTGTGTGCCTCTGTGATTGTGTGTGTGTGTGTTGTATTTATTGATCTACCAGCTGTCTGTCTAAAGAACATTATAAATTATGCCGTTGTATTTCCGCTTGTCACTTTTCAGACTCTGAATTTCTTTAAAAGAAGTCAAACTCCACCTTGAAGCGGTGGCATTTGAATGCAACTGGAAGCCTGGATTTTTACATGTATCCGCTCTACTTATAAACATGATCCATATCCTTAATGTTGCATCAAAATTAGATTTTTGATTACATTTGATGACATGTTTTCCTTTAAGGTATTGACAGTAGAAAGCCAGAACACTATATATTTAATAAACATTGAGAATAATTTTCTTTTTATTAAATTATATTTTGTTGATGGTGTTTGAATGTGTTTAATATAGTGTATGAACCTCCATAAATTTAAAACACTTTTTACTGATCTAAAAAAAAATGCACAAATAGGAAATGTTTAATTGTATAATGGAAAAATATTTTTGAATGAATACAAAATCTGGGTCAATATTGTCAAGTCATTTGTAAATTAAAAAATGTCTTCACCTACTAAATCTGTATTTCTTTGGCAGGTTTATGACCGGGTTGAAGTCACAATTTTGACTTTTAATTTATAGACAAAATATACATGTTGCCATAGTATATCATCACTTGAATTTCAAAGACTTCACATTAGTGTTTTCCAAAATATTATCGGATATATTTGACTAAAACAAACTATATCATGTCATCATATTGCTGATGTGATGAGACGAGGTACAACCTGAGATATTGAATTTTCTTTGAAGAATTGCTGGTACCACTTTACAATAAGACTACCCTTATAAAGGGTTTACGAATAGTTTGTAATTCATTAATTAGGTTGTGAACACTTTATAAATCATTAAGCTTTTATAAGACATGAGAAACGGGGCAACTGTGACCGGTTGCTTGCCAAATAGTGAGCCCAAATGTATCTGTACTGCTAATCCTTATATTGGCTACTTAGCTTACTTCATTAGCCAGCATCCTTGGTATCTGTTGCTCACTGAGTTGATTCTCGCTAAGTAGCCAATATAAGGCTTAGTCATCTTGCCAAATAGTGAGCCTGTGTTGATGTATGAAAACTATGTTAGAACTGGTTTATAAATGGTTCTTAATGATTAATAAAGTGTTCATAACCTAATTATAAACCCTTTATAAGATTTGTTACATTCCCTACTGGACTAGGGGAACCAAAGGGAAGTAACAAAATACAAAACAACCGGGCAAGAGACAAAAGGAGAGGAAACCGGTTTGTGAAGCCACAAGATGGTCTTTTAATTGATCAAAGAAAAAGGGCTCACCAGCCAACTTGCAAAGTAACTAAGATAAACTAGAACAACTTTCATCTAACAGAAAGTGACTAAATTAAACAAGGTACACATCTCCTAACAATGAATAACACACGTTAAACTAGGCCTCACACAGAGACACAGACACCATGCAGCCAGAGGAGAAGGACTGCAGCCTTTCTCAGGTCCTTTATGGAGGCCCTGATTGGGCACCTGAGGGAGAGGAGACACTCAGGGGGAAAGAGAGAGAGACACACAAACAAGCACCCACTACGGCACGTAACACCCCCCTCCATAAAACCAAACAAGTGTTTGGCCACAGTTACCAAAACACACACATTATTGGGTATGAATGAAGGGAGAAAAAAAAAAAAAAAAAAAAAATTATATATATAAAAAAAATTTTTTTTGTGACACAACCTACCCCTAAAGCTTCACAAATGCTGACGCCAGTCTTCCCAATAACTTCCCCAGATCCTGCCTACCACAAACTTCTGGAGCGTGCCGGGCTCGAGGCGACTTTAAAGGCAAACATCAGCGGCTGAAACGCCTGCCCCCAACAGGGACTAAATCCCCACCCAGGATTAACCCGAAAATAAAAGGCAAAATAATAAATGAGTGCCTGAAGGAAGGACTGATTCAGCCCAGCTAGACACTCCCCTATCTAAACTGAGGAAGCTGTTCAACAGTAAGAGACTTCAGCCAATGCTACACTTATATACACCACTACTACTTACCACTAAAGACAATAACACTGCACAACAAACAATCAAATACTCACTCCTTGTCTCAAAGATCTCGGACGAGCCCCCATTTGTTACGTTCCCTACTGGACTAGGGGAACCAAAGGGAAGTGACAAAATACAAAACAACCGGGCAAGAGAAAAAAGGAGAGGAAACCGGTTTGTGAAGCCACAAGATGGTCTTTTAATTGATCAAAGAAAAAGGGCTCACCAGCCAACTTGCAAAGTAAACTAAGATAAACTACAACTTTCTTCTAACAGAGATTGACTAAATTAAACAAGGTACAAAGGTACACATCTCCTAACAATGAACAACACACACGTTAAACTAGGCCTCACACAGAGACACCATGCTGCACACATGCAGCCAGAGGAGAAGGAGAGAGCGACTGCAGCCTTTCTCAGGTCCTTTATGGAGGCCCTGATTGGGGATTGGGGGAGAGGCTGCACCTGGAGACAATCAGGGGGAAAGAGAGAGAGACACACAAACACACACAAGCACCCACTACGGCACGTAACAAGGGTAGTCTTATTGTAAAGTGGTACCGAATTGCTAGATGCAGCCTTCCTTAAGCGACATTTAATGATGCGTCACCTCCGCAGTTCATAACAGTATTTTTGTTTTTCTCTTCTCCCAGGTGGAAAGGCTTGCCACACATCTGACTCCTGAACATCTTCCTCTCTCTGAAGTGGACAGACTTTCATCGGGATGATTTCACAGAAGGTGATTCACTCCAACACTTCACAGTCAGTGAGGTTGAATCTGCCGCAGGTGTTATTAAAGCCATCCATCATTCTGGGAGTTTACCATATGATCACTTGAGTGACATTAAACACCCCCGCTCTGTGTAGGTAGATCTGCTGGTTTTGTTTTTATGGCCATTTCTCGTTAATAAGACACCGGGGGATAACTCCATCCTACACTCCTATCTTTTATCGATGATGTGGAAAATCTTGTGATTCCGAGATCGTCTGTAATCATGATGGCCGCCGCCCTCTTTCAAGAGAAGGAGCATCCCCTCCTCCAGCTGCAGGAGGTGGACTCCAGTCGAGTTGGATGTCGCGCCCCCCTTCCTCCCCTCAGGGCCTCCTCTCCTGGGTTATCCATGGCGAACCAGCCCATCTGCATCCCCTCCCCGTACACCGACATCGGCCACGACTTCCCCCCCCTCCCTTTCTACAGTCCGACCATCTTCACGTACGCCGGGCCGGGTATCTCCGACTGCCCCTCTGTCTGTCAGTCGCTCAGCCCCTCCTTGTTCTGGCCCAGTCACGGCCATGTGGGGCCCCTCCCCCTGCACCAGGCCCAGGCTCGGACCCCTCAGCCGGTCCAGAGCCCCTGGGTGGAGCTGCGGGACGGCATCCTGACAACCAGGTAGGATGCATCAGAATCCCTTTATTCGTCCCACAGAGGGGAACTTTGCATTTGTTACAGCAAGAAAAGAGCCAACGACAGCTTGATATTAACCAAGAAGCATGCATAAAATGGTGCATCACTTCTAGCTATTGTTTAAATCAAATAACTCACTTTAAAGTGGACCTATCATGCTATATTTGAAACATATATTGTAGGGCCATACCTATACAAAACCTGTCTGTGAAGTTTTTTTTTCAAAATGCCAAACAGATCACCCATTGTAGCCATGCCTCATACTACTCAAACCCCTCTTTTGAAGCCCCGTTAGAGAAACGCGGATCTTGGGTCCTTAGCTTGAAAAAAATAAATAAGAGGAGGCGGAGCTAATGCCTGATCAGAATTCTACCGGAGATAAAGTTAAATTCTGCTGTGATAAAACGCCATCCTGTTCTAAACCACGTCAAGGATTATTTCTGAAACAGTATGGAGCTCAAATGCTTTGTCTCTTGCGGGTTTATCACAAGGTGAGTTCTTTTTTTATTTCCTGCTTTTTGAACACATGTGCTCTCCAGTACAGGTTAGCTCTGAGTGTTAGCGAGGCTTGCTAATGTAAACAAAGACGTCCAAAACACGTCAGGCATTGTTTCTGATAGCAACTTTCTGTGGGTCCGCCGCCGATTTGACATCAGTTCGGATGGAATCTGTATCCGCTCGTTGTACACCCGTTTTTAAAAGATTTGGGTACGGAGGAAAAGAGAGAGGGTTTTATTTTCTGACGCTGCGTGAGTTTCCCGACGCACCGGGGACACATATTTATGTATAAAAGACATCACAAAGTGCATGTTGCATGATAGGTCCCCTTTAAGAGAGAAGAGAAGAGACTGTGCCTATCACAATTTCCTTGAGCCAAAGTCAACAAATCTAAATTATTGACAAACATCTGTTGATCCACTTACTGATAAATAGACAAACTGTTTGAGACTAAGTCTTCAAAGTTGCATTATCTAGACCCAACATTTTCCCTTACCAGTCAAAATATAACCTTTCCCAATGTGAAAAGATACTATTCTAAAGATTTCAAAGCTAAAATGCACAATAGTTACAGCGGAGTTTGGCAATGTCAATCTTAAGAGCCAGGCTCCTCTTACAATGCAACAACAATTGACTCAAGACATAAGAACAAGTAAAAATAGTGCAAAAATAAATAGTACTAGAGAAAAGTGACACATTGTGCAAATAAATGCATGTAAATTAGAACTAGATAAATAAGATTTCTCTCATCACCTCAAGTGTTCCCTGCTTAACAAATGCTGCAATAATCTAAAATAATCAGTAATCACTCTCCAGACCAGGTGATAATGAATCATTAGAATGCAACATGCAGCACACTTCATTAAACTGCTCTGCATGCTAAGGCCAGACTTCATTCTGAGAACTGATTTCATACTGATAACAGATTTCTTACTGAGAACTAGGTTTGCAAAGGTGCTTTCCGGTACATTTCCAGAAAGTTTCCATGGGAAGTTAAGCTGGGGAATTTTGGAAATATTCGATGCAAAATTAAACAAAAAACATGACATTTCAACAGATTTTTAGAACAGAACAAGTTTTAATTATTTTATTGAACAATTATTTGTTTCATTAAAGAACGAAAACAGGAATGTTGAGTTAAATATGACTCATCCCTCCCAACCCCACCCATTAAAAAATGAACAAAAATGCAAAATCCAAAAATCCCCACAAAGTCCCATTCAAAATGTTAAATGAAAAGATGTGGCTTCATTTGTCTTGTGCTTTGGGCTCAAAAGTGTTGTCCAATCTTCTTGAAATCATCTGTGCATGTGATGGAGGAATGCACAGTGCCTGTAGGGGGTGTGGTCTCAATAGTCATGCAGTAAGCAGTGTGCTATGGCATGGATATTCAAGTGTACTTGAATGGCATCTGTTTGATTTAGTCAAGATTATGCTAAAATATACTTTCCCCAACTATATTTAAGTTCCCTACGAAGAGCCAACCTTCAATTTAGAAAATTCCCAGTTTATTCCCATAAATTCCCGTTAATTCCCATGGAAAGTTTCCATCTTTGAAAATTCCCGGAATTTTGCAACCCTACTGAGAACTGATTGTATTCCTTGTGTTCTTTGAAATGACGACCGTTTTTCTGTTAGTAAGAGTGTGAGGAGGCGTTCTCAGGAGAGCGAGGAGGCCGTGGTGTCGTCCGGAGGGAAGGCGGACCTCCACTTCTGCGCCGTGTGTCACGACTACGCCTCGGGCTACCACTACGGTGTGTGGTCCTGTGAGGGGTGCAAGGCCTTCTTCAAGAGGAGCATCCAAGGTGAGACTCAAAAACACACAGGGTCTTTGAGTGTGTGTGATACACAAACAAACAGGGGTGGCATTATGTCAGGAGCACCAGTTTCCTGAAGATCTCCATTTTCAGGTTTTGTTGAGACTTTCAAGTGGTGTTCAAATCATATTTATTTAATCAGCAGGTGGTTCCCTCACATTCCCAGCACCTCCACCTGTAGTGAAAAATTCTATTTGATCCAGAATATGTCAATATCTGCTTTATGGAATAGATGAAACCCTCTTCAATGGTCATAGGTCTTCAGTCCGTTTTTGTCCTCATGTTCTCTATTTGTTTCAGGACACAATGACTACATCTGCCCGGCGACTAATCAATGCACGATAGACAAGAACCGCCGCAAGAGCTGCCAGGCGTGTCGCCTTCGCAAATGCTGTGAAGTCGGCATGACCAAGTGCGGTAAGTGTCTTTGTTTTCTCGTATTCATTTTGAATGTGTGTTTGTTTTCTCCTTCTGTTCCCATCAAGGTTCTTGCCTTTTCTCTTCCTCAAAGGAACCAGAAACTGTCTCCAGTCAGGATATGTATTTCATTTTCTTTTTAAAGCAACCTGCTGTAATGGTTGTCATCTGTGTCATCAGTTCCCCGCGGCTTTGTTTGTCCAAGAATGTCCTTTTCCCTGAGCAGCAGCCGGGAGAGTTGTTGTTTATTTCCATGTGAGTTTGATTTGTTCAACAGCTGTATGAAGAGGAGTGGCTCTCTGTGGCTGTGGAGGAATTCATTCTGTATTCATTTATTTTTCAGTATAGTTAAATGCCATGGATAGATCAGATAGTGTTTGGTTCATTGCGTAATTTTCAGATCAGCAGCAGGCAGATGTTTTTTTTTTATCAACAACACCTTCTGTTCTCTACCTGCTCAGAAAAGTCGGCAACTATCTGGGGAACATGTTGGAGCGTTTAGCAACTAAAGAACCAGACACCTCCCTCAGGACTTAGTGGAAACCATAAACTACTGCTAACCGAATCGACATGAAACTGAAAAAGAGATCTAAAGATTTATTGGACGTGAATTAATCGGGGTCGGAAGTAGGACTCCAAGTAAATGGTTATAACAGTCATTATCTGCTGGATGATTTAATAAGCAACTGTTTGCTTATCGGTTCACCATATTGTGATGATGACAGTATTATGTTCACAGATTGATATTTTTCTGCCTCCAAGAATCCAGATATATCAGTTTTAGCAGGTTTTAATAGCATTTCAAACATGACAATTTACAAAATAGTATATGTAAATATACAGTATGAGTTATGTTTCACAAATACAGAGTGTATAGTGTGATATGCAGTGGTGGAATGTAATTAAGTACACTTACTCACTCACTGTATTCAATCACTCAATTGTTTTGAGTATTTCCATACTACTTTATACTTCTTATCCACTACATTTCAGAGGCAGGGATCACAGCTTTTACTCCACTAAAGTTATATAACACTCGTTGTTACTTTTTATTATGTTACTTTTACAAAAATGATATGACAGTTCTGTACTTCTAATAAACCCAGTTTTTCTAAAAGTGTCTACAATTGGTACCACTTTGAAAAACAATAAATTATGATGTATTATCTTTTAATATTATATTTCTTATTGATTAAATATTTTAATTATTAAACATGTGCAGTAATAACAGAATCATTGAATAGTCTATAATAATGTGAAAAGAGCCAAAACAAGTACTTTTACTTTTGATATTTTATGTACATTTAGCTGATAATACTTCTCTTCTCAAATAATATTTAGAATTCAGGACTTTTGCTTAGACTGTAGTATTTCTACACTTACTTTAGTAAAGGATGCTAGTATTACTCCCTCCTCTGGATATATGCCAGCAGTAATGTGAACATCTTCTTTATGTCAGGTTTGCGTAAGGAGCGTGCGAACTGCAGGAACCCCCAGACGAGGCGAGTGACCCGCCTGTCCTCTGAGAGCAGAACCAACCTACCAAAGGCGTTAAACGGAGCAGTGGTGGTTTTATCAAACGCACCCCTCCCTCCGGCTCTGACCCCGGAGCACCTGATCTCCAGGATAATGGAGGCGGAGCCGCCGGAGATCTACCTGATGAAGGACATGAACCGGCCGCTGACTGAAGCCAACGTCATGATGTCGCTCACCAACTTGGCCGACAAGGAGCTGGTGCACATGATCAGCTGGGCCAAGAAGATCCCAGGTGGGTGTGGGGGTGCAGGGAGACTTTAAATAGCATCAAGAAATATGAAAGTCTACTGGAGTTATCCGTACTCTTGTCCTATTAATTGTGCTTATGTTTTCTATCACTGTGTTGATGTTCTTTCGTTGTGCTTATGTGTTTTAAAATGTGCTACCAGGTCCTGCATATGGGAGTGAGCACGTATGGCTAGATCTGTCAGATATCCATGAAGGACTCAAGTCCCTTCTCAAATAAATAAACAAACATTTAATTGGCATTACATTAAAGTGGACCTATCATGCTATATTTGAATAATATAGTGTAGGACCATACCTATATAAGGCATATTTATACTTTTTTTTTTCAAAATACCAAACAGATCATGCATTTTAGCCATGCCTCATTTTGCTCAATTTGACATTTTTTAGCTCTGTGTTTGTGTAAGGGCAGATAAGGGCAGAACAGCACCACCTACAGGCCTGGCATATGTACTACAGCGTCTCCAGCGCTTTCGAACGGCAATGGCCGTGGCTGTCTCCTCCTGATTGGTGGAGTTGGCCCAATAGCCGTAGCGCCACTGTCCTGAAGTCAGAACAGTGTTTCAAATCTGGATCAGTTTTGATCAGATCCGTTTGCAGCCCCTTTTTAGAGATTTGGGTATGGAGGAAAATAGAGAGGGTTGTGTTTTCTGACACTTGGTGAGTTCCCTGGAACACCGGGGACACATATTCATGTATAAAAGACGTACAAAAGTGCATTTTGCATGATAGGTCCCCTTTAAACCACCTTTTTTAATTCCTGGTACGTGTTTCTGATTCTGATTCTGATTATTTTCGTCCTTTGGATTTAGCTGCACACTTAATGCACTGCCCTGAGTAATAATAAAATACTAATTATCTTAACTCTCGGCAAAAAAAAAAGCGAATAAATAATTGTGCTTATGTTTTCTATCACTGTGCTTATTTTTCTGTGTGTTTTTTTTTTTTTTTTTTCTACAAATGCCATCCAACTACCAGCTCCTGCAGATGGAAGTGAGCATGTCACATTACCATAACGGACTCAAGTGCTATTGTTAAAAAATATCTACTGTCCCTTCTCAAATATATTAACAAACATTTAAATGGCATTCCATTAAACCACCTTTTCATCCATTCCATGTAGCTGCACACGTAATGCACTGCCCTGAGTGTGGTATTAATCTTCTCATTTAAATACAAATTAGAATATTTCCCAACTTAAAAATAAAGACTTCCTCACTTATGATAATATTCAAGTCACATAAGAGTTGAGAAAAAACCTGCAGCAGTTTTAGAGACATGTCTATATAAACATCAATGTGTCTGGATAGAACATTTGGACCTTTCACAATTCACTTAATTCCTGGTAATGGTAGCTGCTTACTTCTCTAGTTTTCCTCTTTTTTGGGTCCAGAATGAATATATTGACGAGTTTTCTATAAGCTTAAGCATATTAAGTCCAAGATAAATAGCAAAACACATTGAGTTGATTTCCCTTTAATATTACTCAAAAAGTATTTTTAAAGAAATAAAATGTTGTTTATCTCATCCTCCTGCTCATGGCTGCAGAGCGGCTCTGTCTGGACTCTGTGATTGTCTCCGCTTTATTGAGCATGTTAGTCGGGTCCGTGCTAATTGATTCAGACTTGTTGTCTGCACAATATTAACGTTTTGAACAAAGTGCATGCTTCAGGCTATTTCAGCCTCCTCTTTGCTTCGGGCAAATATTATGACACAGAAACCACATGATCAGTATTTACACAGCCCCCAAAATACTGCCAATATATTAGTGGTTGTGACCTGATTTGGGGCATAATACATTACATAACAAATGTGTGTTTAAATTAGTGCCGAAATGAACAATTGTTTCCCTAATAAAAATAGCTATGACAATTTCCCATAGCCGAATAAAATTATCTAAACCGCAAAGAAATATAACAGTCCTATAAATCATCAGAAATCCTCTCATTCCTAGCAAGTATTTGAGCCTTTTTGCATGATGAATGACTTCAGCACCCACAGTATAGCCTCACTATTGGCACACAGTTAATATTTGATCATGTGTTTCCTCAGGGTTTGTGGAGTTCGGCCTCCTGGAGCAGGTGCACCTGCTGGAGTGCTGCTGGCTGGAGGTTCTGATGATGGGGCTGATGTGGAGGTCCGTGGACCATCCAGGGAAACTCATCTTCTCCCCGGACCTCAGCCTGAGCAGGTACCCCCCCCCCCCCCCCCCCCCCCCCCCGCCCCAACACCTCACATATCTACTGTTCACTAAAGGGACAGTGTGTCATTATTATTTTTGAATATTAGGGCTCTCAATCACTTATAAAGGCACAACAACAAACAGCTGTTGATGTAGCTTGTTTGATCCAACAAGTATCACACTGAGTAACACTGACCGCCGACCACAGAGAGGCTAGCTACCATGATCGCACACTTGACACAGTTCAAATAGTGTATTTAATGTTATTGCTTTGGTTAAAACACAAACTGTCACTTAGGGGCTTTGTGCTATAGAAAATGACATTCTCCTTTTGCAAGTGTTCCACTGAAACCATTAGATCATTTGTCCACTAGAGAGCCGTTGCCATTCAATGTATTTCCTTTCTGTAATCCATTCTCTATATAGATGTTTTCATCATTAATCCGTCACTTCCACACAATTTTATTTGAGAAGAATCTGAATCTGAAAAATCACAGGAAAATGTGTGTTTGTATTTCACTCTACTTTCAAAGGATGACTTATACACCTTGTATGGGAAAAGGTATACTGGCAGCGACATCATTATCCCCTTTTATTGTTTGCTTTTTTCCAATCTCAATGATCAACATCAGTATTGGTACACCGCGTGCTCGGCTCTGACCTTTGGACCGTTTTAAAGCAATGATAGATCATCCACCCACAGTCTGATTTGAATCATGTTGTTAATGATGTAGAGGTAGTTTCATTTCCTCCACATTTAGGAGAGAAAACTGACAACTCCTCCACAGTGTGTCATTCAGAAACTGCAGCAGCAGCTCTGCCTTCTTATGTGCTCACATTTTAGTTTAAGGGAGATTTCTGTTGGTGCTCAGCCGCTTCTGAATCTGTTACAAAGTGTCCCGACCTCTCTCACTGCACCTCCCCAACACTTCCTTTGTGGGTTCTTCATCAACACAGCTAACCAGTGAAATGATGTAGTGCATGCTCTGTAGTCCACAGCTCAAAGGAAAAAAGTATCTGTCAGTGTAGGATGCAGTAGTTAGGTAATTAACACTAGTAAGAGCTTTAAAACCACATTGTAAACTACTCTTGTACAAGCTAAAGTCTGGCATTAAAACATTAAGAAACATGTTAAAGTAGAGCAAACAGTAAAATATTGAAAGTGAAAGTACCTGTAATGCAGAATGTTATAGTATGTTGTTAACAGATAGCTTATATTGATTCAACATCATATACAGATTTAATTGTTGTGTTTTTAAAATGCATCACATATAAACTCATGTGTTGTAAGTAAGATATCATTCTCTAAGGCAGGGGTGTCAAACTCAATTTCATCACGGGCCACATCAGCCTCATGGTTGCACTCAAAGGGCCGGTTGTAACTTTAAGACTATATAAAAATACATTGATAAATATTTAATATATATAAAATAATGTGATTGCCTCTGCATTGGATTATTACCGGATAGGGTAATAACTTCATAATTAACTACGTCTGAAAGCAGAAGTCAAGGGCAAATAATTGCAAGTCTCTTCAGTGATAATGTCACAAAATGATTTAAAAAGAAAAGCCAAATTCTGGAAAAACAAAAAAAAATAACTGACATTTTGAAAAAAAAGTAACATTTAAAAAAAAAAAAGGTCAAATTCCGAGAAAAAAGTCAAATTTGAGATGCATTGTGGGGCATGTAGTTTATGGGCAATGTGCTTCTGTAAAGCGTCATGTATAATAAACATATTATATTCTTTGCAAGCTCTTGTGGGGCCACATGAAATGAAGTCGTGGGCCGGATTTGGCCCCCGGGCCTTGAGTTTGACACCCCTGCTCTAAGGTCACTGGTCACTAATTCAGTAAAAATGCACACTATTTGCTTTTGAAATGTATTACAATAGAATAAATAGTGCAAGTACCTTAACATTTTACTCAAATAGCGTGTATGTACTAAGCTTCTTTCTATAAATGGAGTCTTCTGCTCTTTGTGCAGCTTTACATTCAATCCTTCAATCACAGATGTGTCACAAAACTTAGTCATCCCAGGATAACTTGGGAGTCATGCAGGTTTATCTGTCTAATGTGCCTTTTCATAGTCTTGCTAAACAAGTGTCTGTTTGATAAATATCTGGCTGTGTTTGTGTTTTTGTTCGGCAGAGAAGAGGGGAACTGTGTGCAGGGCTTCTCAGAGATCTTCGATATGCTGATAGCTGCCACATCCAGGGTGAGAGAACTCAAGCTGCAGAGGGAGGAGTACGTCTGCCTCAAGGCCATGATCCTCCTCAACTCCAGTAAGTGTGGGCGTACAGACAGTTATAAGGCCTCCTTTATGAGCAGCCTGTGTGCTCTCCTTGTTATTATATGTGTGTAGGTGAGACAAAGAGATGTGTGTTTGATTTAGTACGTGGATTCACAGCTGAGTGTTTGATCGGTGGATCAGCATTTAATCTGGTCCGAGCATGAGTCTGCACATGGTTGGCCTGGGGACGGGCTAAATAACTCACCAGTGAAGCCCCTAATGGGAACACTGTGTGTTATTGGAGTGTCTGAGTAACAGGCTGGCTGAGTGAGGAGCGACAGGTTCAGAGTCCTCTCCGCTGAGCAGAATCAACGCACAGTAATTAACGTCTGACTCATGTTCCTGTTTCCCTTGTAATTGTCTCCACTAGCGTTTTATGTCCATCTCTTGCATTGCAGCTTTTGCCCATTTGAACATTTACAGTGCTGAAAAAAATGTAATATCTCTGAGAACCAGCGTTTAAGCAATTTAACGGTTGTTAATCCTTTTCAGAGAATATAAAAACAAAATACTTTCACCAGCTGCACAGTGTACAAACTTACATGCTTCACTCTCTGCCACTTGTAGAAATGTCTTACATTCATTGGATTCTTTTCAAAATATGACTTGAAATATAACTAAATGAAGGTGAATTAAAGCCACAAATCATCATAAAGTTGTTGATCAGTTGAAAAACATGCAGAATTCTCTAAAGGGTTATATTAAATGAAGCATACCTGTTTATTAAATTAAATATGTCCGCCTCTGTGTAACAGACATGTGCCTGATCTCGTCAGAGGGCAGCGAGGAGCCTCAGAGCCGCTCCAAGCTGCTGCGGCTCCTGGACGCCGTGACGGACGCTCTGGTGTGGGCCATCGCCAAATCAGGCCTCCCATACCGCCAGCAGTACACCCGCCTGGCCCACCTGCTCATGCTGCTGTCACACGTCCGCCATGTCAGGTACAAAGACCCCATGTCAGAATGTCCTGAATGCAGGATTGATGATGTACTTGAGCTAAAATACAGATTTTGTGATAAGGTGTCCTCTACTAATGCAATGAAAAAAGTCCTTTTGACCAAATCTGTTTGAGGGATATGCATCTTAAAATATTGCAGTATTAAAATAAACAGACCTTTTCAAATATCCAAACATTTCAAATACAAAACCTTATAGAGAAGTATACAATTACTTTCTCCTTGATATTTTTCAACAGACTATACTATTACTTTTTTCATGATATTTTCGCATACTATGACTATTCTTAGTTTTTATTAATTTTTATAAAAAATTAGTAGGAACTAATCTTGTAATCAAACCTCACGATGTTCACTTTACTTCTCTCTTCCTTCCCTCTCACCTTGCAGTAACAAAGGCATGGACCACCTCCACTGTATGAAGATGAAGAACATCGTGCCTTTGTACGACCTGCTGCTGGAGATGTTGGACGCCCACATCATGCACAGCTCCCGCCTGCCCCCCCGCCCCCCCCAGGAGCCCGGGGACCTGACAGAGGTTCCTGATCGGCCCCCGAGCTCCGGCAGCTCCCTGTCCAACACCTGGACGCCTGGCAGCACCGGGAGTGGAGGTGAACCACAATGAATTCACCGCTTTGCACATAGTTCACAAGACTGATCATTTTTTTACTGGAACATTCTGCTGAATTCTGTGGAATTCACAGGGGAAATTTTGACACACGCTGCACTTATTGTAGTGAACTCAACTTTGGAGATTTCAGATATTACTCTGCAGACAGACCGAACTTGCCGTTTCCTTTGCCTTACTAATAATAACTATTATATACATTATTCGGTCAGCAGCATTAGTTCTTGCTTACATTTGCAATTCATGCAATATGTTAATGCCAAGATTCTCTCGGGCTGAGCAGCTTATTTCCAACCCAGTCTCACGGCATTTCGTGTTATAGTCACGAAATTAATTTAATCTATTGATTCGTGTTCACCAACACGATTTTTGCATTTTTTTCGTGTCACACAGAACGATTTTAAAAGCAATGTATTTCTATTGGTAGTATATTTCATGCCTGCACCACGTCTTTTTGTCCGGTCGGGTCTTGGAAGACCAGAAGCTGTGTGGTTCATAAAAAAAATGTCTTACTCAATATCTAAGCCTAACCCTAACCCTTTTATTTTAAATTGTATAATGTCGGAGTTTTTTTGCCGTCCGCGAGGAAAAGAAATGGGGCAAAGAGCCTCAGAATACTGAGATTTGTATTTTTTTTTTTTTAAATGTCCTAATTTGTTATTATTTGGTGCAGGCACGAAACATACTACCAATAGAAATACATTGCTTCTAAAATCGTTCTGTGTCAGAATACTGACATCTGTAATTTTGTTTTGATATTTTTCCTTCAAATTTGTTATTATTTACATTGCTTTTAAAATCGTTCTGTGTGACACGAAAAAAATGCGAAAATCGTGTTGGTGAACACGAATCAATAGATTAATTTCGTGACTATAACACAAAATGCCGTGAGACTGTGTTGTTATTTCACATCAGATAATTTTCATATTCATCGTCCATGTTTGGTGTTATTCTGGAGGTCCAACAGAGGAAACATTGTACCAAAAATGACTGAAGAAAACAACCAGGCCAAGAAAAACAGATAGATCAACCCCCTGTTGTAGAAAAGATAGGCTTGAGTTATATGATGATATACATGAGAACAAAATAGATAATAACTATACCTACAGCTTCTATCAAGGTTGCTGCTATTTATTGTATACCTCTTGATATATATATTGGGTTTACAGTTTTGTTATAAACCTGTTTAAATACAATGATATCATATGTCAGGTATTTAATTCACAGGAAGACAAACATTCCCATCTAGTCATTTCTATAAAAACGTTTTTTTGGATTGAGATTAATATCATTTTCCACCTAAAGGAACTGTTTAACATTTTGATAAATGAGCTTTTTAGCTCGCTTGTCAAGAGTAAAATTAGAAGATCGATCCAACTTTCAGAATAAAAACGTAGCTGGAACTGTTTAGTTTAGCTTAGCATAAAGACTAGAAATAGCTAGCTAGCTAGCTATCAGCAACTCTAAAACTCACTACTTAATATTTTAAAATATATCTTTCTTATTGAATCTGTACAAATACAAACAAACAATGGGACACATTTATTATTTGTACAGATTAATACAATGTTTGTTTTAGAGTTGCTGTTAAAAACGTGTTATGCTAAGCTAAATGGCTGCTAGCTGTAGCATAATTAGCATACAATCTTCTCATCTGACTCTTGGCCACAAAAGGCAAACAAGTGTATTGTATTTCCTGAAATGTCAAACTATACCTGTTTTACAAAGTCACATACAGTAAACCTTGAGAAAAGACAATGTATTTATATTGTTAGCATTTAACAACTATAGCTCCTGTATTTCGAGATAATGCCTGTTGTTCATAGCGGTACATTGCCAAAGACAAACAGTCATCTTGTGAACCTATTGCCAAAGACAAACAGTCATCTTGTGAACCTATGAAGTCTTTTTTTACAATTCAGTACAATAGAATTTACCCATCAAGCTTAGAAAATAGACTGAAAACCTTTAGTGAAGCCACTAAAAGACATTGAAAAGCAGATTTTGTTTGTAACAAGCAGATCGCCACTAGAGGGCGCTGTACAGCACACACTCTGCAGATGACTCAACATGTCCGCGCACAGTCTGCTCATCACAGACATTTCCTCTCTTGTTTTCTGAGAAGAAGATCACTACTATTGCTCTTAAGACAATTGCACTTCTCAATTTTTGCTTGAAGAGAGTATTTTTATATTTTAGACCTCTCTGTTGTATACATTGTGAGCACAATCATGATTAAACCACCAGGATCACTGAGTGCGTTATATGTAAATATGTAGACTTTTAAACCTCCTCTCAATGAACCTCTGTACTTGTTCAGTCCTGTGTCTTTTCCTCTGATCACAATCTATCACACACTGTATTTTCACTGTGTACATGACTACATGTACTTGGATTGTAAGTATTTTCTTTACTTGTTTTTCAAAAAACAAATTCCTGATGTGATGGTCATTAAAGTGCTGAACGCTATTAAAGCTAGTAAGTGAACCTTGAGATTTTTTTAAAGGAATTTAAACCCTTACAAGTGCTCTTACCTCCGAGTAGAATATGTTTTATTCATATACAAATATTCCCATTACCTACAACTTCACATTAAATGTTTTCTTTTAATATTTAACCGTTTCGTTTATTGGAAATATTAGTAAAAGGTAAGTTCCCCCCTTTAAACACCTTGGCTTTGCACTGGTGATTAGATTTATTTTGTGTATTTCTTGTTCGGAATTCACTTTTTTTAAGGCCTCTTCACTGACCACAACATCCTCTCTCTTTCAAGGACAAATGTATATCTGTTAATCCTCAATGCCAAAAAAAATACTTCAAACAGAGTTAAGACAATCAGTGTTTACTACCAGAAGATTAGGATGAATCCACCGTTTGATGTTATAAATAAGCATTATATTATCACATTCTGTACATACACATCATCCTGATAATCTACAGTGTTTTAGCAGTGCTCACAATCTACTCAAACAGCATCTAAAAAAATATACAATTGTGTGTATAAAACTGCTATCATTTTGTACGGTTGGCTTTATAAAGATAACATTAAAATAGTATTGTGTCTTTTCTTGTAAAAAAAAACCCCCCATTTTTTTTAAAGAGTTCAAGCATGCTTTTGTTTTAGGGGAACACGAAATGTCAGCAGTTCATAAAATAACATGTAAATGACAGATATTGTACATGTGAAATAAAAATCTTAAAAAGGCCAAGCAGGGACTTGTTTAGTGAAAGTCCACTGGTAAGTCTGTGTTTGGAAGCAAGTAAACATATTATCATTGATTTCCTCCTCTCATTTTTGTCCAATAAACTCAATGGAATATATTTGCTGAAGGATATTTAAACTATCTTACCAGTAACTCATATTTCTATGCTGTTACGGTGCGTCTACACAGCAGCGTTAAAAAAATCTTGAAACGCTTCTGCCCATTCACTTTGAATGGGGTGACGTCACTTTCCCTCACTTTTCGCCGAAATGCATTGTGGGCAGGCGAGCGGAGATTTTCAGGATTTTGAGGATTCAAAGTTGAACAATGTTCAACTTTTGAGGCTGAGGTGGAAGCGTCAGCCAATCAAATCCTGTGTACGCAAATCTGACAGTTCAAGCTCTAGCCAATCAAACGGCGTGTATGCTGGGAGAGACATACCGCAGGTCATTTCCTCATATTCCAAAAAATGGAGGAGAAATTAGCGGTAGCGAATCAATCACCCGGTGCTTTATGACCAGACCTACCGGGATATAAACCGGAGGAGCCAGGCATGGAGGGAGGTGGCAGAGACAGTGGTAGGTTTTCGCCTGTTTTGGGGCGTTTATATCCAGTTTACTTCGGGCTTTTTTGCTTCGTATGTCGCGGGCGGGAGATTCATGTGATTGGTTGCTCGCAAAAAATCCTCAAGCTTCAGATACGCCCACCTCCAAGATTTTTTTAACGCTGCTGTGTAGACGTACCGTTACTGTACGCCTCTTTGTTGTCTCTGCTACAGTACACTATGCGTCTCTTCTTAAGAGGAGATGAGGCTGCAGTAGTGTAGAGACCATTGCATTATTAAACTAGAATATCTGCATTTTTGTTCAAAGCTGGTGTTTTTCCAGATTTAAAATGCAGTCAAATGCATGGTTTTGTTTATAAAATAAATACAATCTGTTCTAAGATCAAATCTTCAAGAATAGAAATACATTTTAGTTTTAGAAGACTATCACTTCTTTACATTATTTGTACACGTTTGTTCAGTGTGACAGAAAGGTGGCTTGTGTTTCTCAGTTGGTCCTCAGCGTTGTTAGGTGGGGGGGGGGGCCGTTGGTGTATTTTAACATGGGGTAGAAGGACCGGGCAAAGTTGTTGGCGGCGGTGCAGCCGGGCTCGCTCTCCGACCACGGGATGATACAGGGGAGCAGCAGGAGGAAGAGGAAGAGGAGGTGCAGGGGGAAGGCAGCGCGGAGGACTCTGTAGAAGAAGGAGGAGCGGGGGGGAGACAAGTCCCTCCTCTCTCTGCAACACACACAGGAATAAAGGTCAGTACAGAAAAAACACACGAACGATTTAGTGACAAAGACATTAAAATCAGGAGAGACTGCCAACACTAAATGAACTGCAAGCCATCCACAGTTCACACTTGAACACACCATTGACTGAAAACACTGATTAATACCCGTTTACACACAGTGCCCTTTCAATGCTTGGTTATCTGTAACTTCATTTCTGTTATTTAGTGCAACTAATGGATTGCTGTGATTCATCTTGAGAAGATTTCTTTGTTTGATTCGTCGTTTCCACTGAATTTATACATGGTGGTTTTATTCCTGGAATCTTTCCTGTTAAGTAAAGCCTTCCTGACCTGCTGTTTCTACTTGTTTGGGCTATTAATACATGTCTAGTGTTCAAATGTAACATTTAGTTTTTCCTGTTTTACCTTTTAGGAGAGGAACCTTTCTTTGGATCTGCAGAGGAGCTTTGTCCCTGGACTTCTGATGCAGATTCACAACCCTGAAGAGACAAAGAAATGTTATTGTTTCACAATCTCTCATGACAGGATGTCCAAAAACAACGTACAATTTATCTGACATACTATAATATGACTTTAATGTAATGTGACATACAGTACTAAGTTGACAGCTGACTTTTGCTTCTTTTCACTTTTCATAAGATATTATATTCGACATACAATACTCAGGCTTAAAACTGTTATGATAGATACTTGGCTTTTTTAGTACTATTTTTATGACAGCTTTTAAATCTATAAGGTCTATAAATGAGTTTGACATGAGTACGATATTTGTAAGCTCTCACCAGCTGTGGCGGCAGGGTGCTGAGGTCCTGCTCCACCTGCCTCAGCAGCAGCTTCAGTTTGCTCCCCGTCACGTGGAGCTTCTCCTGGGCCTCTCTGCTCTCCTCCTCTTCCTCCGCCCCGTCCTCCGGCTGCAGCTGCGCCCACAGCGCCTGCAGCTCCACCTGCTGAGCCTGCCTGGCCTGCAGCTCCGCCTGCAGAGCCTGCACCACAAACATTACACAGGGTGACGGGGCAGAACAGCAGGAGAATGAATACACAACAAAGCATGGTGCTGTGCTTACTGTGAGTGTGTTGCGGTGTTGTTGCAGCGCTGCCACAGGTGTGTGTGGGTCTCTGATGTCCACTGCGTAGCGCCGGCTCTCTGCGTGGGCCAGCCACAGCAGCAGGGAGTGGAGGCGCTCATGGAACTCCTGCAGGGAGAAGAAGGGTGAAGACAGTGATGGAAACATATTAGATGTTCTACTTAAATAATTGTACCAATACTACAGGGAAAAAATACTCGGTTACAAGTAAACATACAGTATTAGCATCAAAATATACTCAATATACCAAAAGTAAAAGTACTTATGCAGAATGGCTCATTTCAAAATGTTATATATCATTATTGATGCAGTTATATGTGCATGGCTTTAATGTTGCAGCTGGTAAAGGTGGATCTGTAATGACTTTATATACTGATGGGTAGCTCAATCTAAAAGAAATCTGGATTAATTAGATTTCTTTTACTGATTAAAATCTTCAAAGAAACTAAAGCCCAAAGTATCAGTAGTAATAGTGTATTTAGACTCTCTCCTGACCTGGCAGCGCATCAGCGTGCCCCTCAGGCTGCTGTCCCACAGCTGGAGGCTGGAACAGGCTCTGCTCCACCCTCGGTTCATAGCAGCCACTCTCTGCAGCTCCGGAGCCCGCAGGTTGACTGACAGCATGATGGACTTGTAGCGGGTAAACATCTTCTGCATCTCCTGCAGGAGAACAGACATGAGTATAAGCAACAGCTGAATGCTGATCATCAGATCTGTTGGATTAGGTCTTTCCTTTCACCTTCAGTTCTTTGGCTCTGGCTGCCATGTCCTCGATACTGGCTGCTGGGTCGGACTGCTGGAGGCGCTCCAGCTCCGGGGTGACTTTTTCCAACCAGGAAGTGATGTCATCGAGGTCAGATGAGAGATTTTGGGGCTCCTGAGGGTCGGCGTGCAGGTCGCTCCTAGACTGAGCCTGGATCAGCTCCCAGCGCTCAATCACACCTGAGAGCACGGACATTAGTGTTTTTGTTTAAAGATGTATTTATATCATCACCGCTTAGCAACTCATTGCATTAATATCCACTTTAACTGTTCCTTTAAAGCTGAAATCAGTATCTCCTAAGAGACGTCTTTTCCCCTTGTTATGCAGGTAACACGTGTTTAACACTCAACAATACTGCAACCATACTGCTATGTTTTGTACCTTAAACGATACAGAGAACATGGAGTCTCCCAGCGTCTCACCTGACTGTTTGTCTGAAGCTGTCAGTCCCGTCAGCCCGAGCTCCTCCGGACGCTCCTCATCATCCAGGATCAGAGAAACTCTTTTAATGTCCTCGATGCTGCCACTGCACTGAGACATGAGATGCAGCTGCACACACAACACACATACACACACACACAGTATGTGTTTAGAGCTGGAGCTGCAAACTGTATGAAGCATCTACTCATAATTCTCAGTTATTGTTTTGTTAACTGGTTTACTGAACGTACATAGCCCTGCTTCCGAGGGGTGCTGGTGAGGGTGGGGGGGGCCTCAGTGTGGCCCTCAGAGTCCAGCTGCAGGGACTGTGTTTCTGCGTCTTCCTGGGACCGCCATCTTGGAGACTCAAGTGCTTCCAGGCTTGAGACTGAAAAAACAAGCAAAGAAAAGTTAAACCAAAGACAATCCAGTATTATTCCCTTATTGCTCGTGATAAGTACTTCCAAGTTACAAAACGTTATGATGCAACAATTGTGAAGTCCAAAGCCAAGAAAATATGCAACCCAAGTTTGAATCAACCGCCACAGGGAAATGAACAGCTTGGTATCTGTGTGGTAGTTTTTACTTTATGACATATTTCACATGTTTGAGCAGGTAGAACATGCTTCATTTGTATACCTTAGTAATCTGAGCATTTTGACCTATTTAAAGAAACAGCATGATTCAATGGTCAATGCAAAGATTTTGAGGATCAAGGGTCATTTAGAGTTTTATAAATGTCTAAAAATGATCGGAGGAGTGAAGTAGAGGAACAGAAAGGCGGTAAAACAAAGTGAGGGAGATTAAAGACAGGATGTTGGAGGAGGATGAAAGGTCATGAATGAAGGAGCTGAAATGAACACGACAAAACAGATTGGACCGGTAAATGAAAGAAAGGTTGTCGGGGTAAAATAATTCTGTGTTTCTCCCCAAAATGAAAGCTATCCAATGATATACAGTTTATTAACTTGGAACACAAGTTTGAAAAATACCTCTTAAACATAAATGTGTGAGAGAAATAAGGTAGAAAGTGTTTGCGTTGGCAGTGAAGGATGTTCCAAACCACAGCTACAGGAAATAAAGTGTCAGCGACAGCAGCATGACAGACATATGGAAACAGCCGTGAGTGGATTTATTAAGCAGAAGGTGAAGATCTCCTGATGCCTACCCAGAGAGGAGGCTCGCTGGGCCTCTGGGGCCTCGACAAAGTCCTCCTGACTCTCAGTCACCTCTGGGGGAGAGAGGGGGCAGACCAGAGCTGTAGGGATGTGTTTGATTGTGTGTGAAATTGATGTCATATTTTGTCTTTTTTCACTTTTTAGAAATCCCATTTCCTCTAAAGTCTAGCGCAGGGGTGTCAAACTCAAGGCCCGGGGGCCAAATCCGGCCCGCGACTTCATTTCATGCGGCCCCACAAGAGCTTGCAAAGAATATAATATGTTTATTATACGGTTACATGATGATTTACAGAAGCATGTTGCCCATAAACTACATGTCCCACAATGCATCTCAAATTTGACTTTTTTCTCTGAATTTGATTTTTCTTTTTAAATCATTTTGTGACATTCTCACTGAAGAGACTTGCAATTATTTGCCCCAGACTTCTGCTTTCAGACATAGTTAATTATGAAGTTATTACCCTATCCGGTAATAATCCAATGAAGAGGCAATTATGTAATATAATACATTATTTGATATATATTATCTATTTATATAGTCTTTAAGTTACAACCGGCCCTTTGAGTGCAACCATAATGCTGATGTGGCCCGCGATGAAATTGAGTTTGACACCCCTGCAGATTCATTTGGTCAACCAGCAGAACGAAAGTAAGAAGTAGCTTTTCCAGTAAACCAGAAATATCTTAAAGGATTCCTTCTCTCAGTCGTTCTGCTGTTTCGGGTGTCCGTTTAACTTTTCTCTCTCCTCTACAACCACTGTAACCACCATTACAGTCAGGGTATTCTTAAAGTGGGATCTGCGAGATAAAGATATTCTGGTCATTACTTCCAGCCATGTTAACTTTGCAATAGATACTCGGATATATGATTGTGAAAACTCATGTCAATCTGTCATGAATAAGGCACTTCACTAGTTCCAGATGCTGCCAAGGAACATTTTCTTGCAGTAGGGGGTCCCTGGAAAATGTGGAAACCCGTGACCTAATGGATAATACCGATAAGTTGTTGGTGATGTGGTCTGCTAGACGAAGCTAAAGATGGCATTCCAGTTTCATTACCTTGTTACATTTAAAACACTTACTCCGTTCACTCAACGCATACAACAAAATAATAATAGGAATGGGTAAATAGTGTATGTTCTTGTCCATAAATCTCTGTGTTTCTATAAACCTACCTGACAGTGCGCTGAAGTAAGTTCTGTCGTCCTCATGTTCTTCCTCCTCCTCATCCTCCTCATGTGACGACCCCCCCACGTCTCCGGTGTGGTCCCACTCCAGCGGCAGCGAGTCCACGCTCACCGGGGTCTCCCGCCCCGAGCGCTCCAGCGGAGACGCCAGCAGGTGGGTGGGCGTTGCCAGGAGGCTTCCTTGGCTCCGCCCCAACCTCGGGCGGCCAATCAGCTCCAGGCTGGACTCCAGATAGAAGGTGCTTCTAGAGAGCTCCGGTTCTTCTTTTATCTAAAATGAATCAGGTATGAATTGATGTACACAATGTACTACATCGGTTAAAGAATAGAAAAATTGCGATGTTAAAGGTCACCTATTATGCTAAATCCACTTTTTCATCTCTTTTATACATAAACATGCGTCCCCTCTGTGTAAAGAGATTCTCTCTCTTTTTGTCCTGATCCATTTATATAAAAACCTGTCTGAAAATGAGCTGATCAGATTTTGGCCACTTTGTGATGTCATAACGATGTTTTGGCTTGTGTAACCATTAGCCAATCAGCAACCAAGGTAACCCCCCCCCCCTTATCACCTGAATCTCCTCCTAGAGCACCATTGTGTTCTTTTTAACCAAATATCTCTCAGAGGGGCGTGGGGAGGGGCTCCTTATTTTCATCTAAAGTAACAGACAGAGAATCAGCACTTTGGAAGCAGGGCTGAAACAGAGGGGATTATGGGTAATGCTGCAATGATCTGTTTGGTGTTTGGAGCCAAACACTTCAGAGACATGTTTTGTATATATCTGACACCTATAATATATTGATGAAAAACAGTATGATAGGGGACCTTTAATCTCTGCATAAATTGAGTTATGAATGGAAGTAGTGTGTGTGTGTGTGTGTGTGTGTGTGTGTGTGTGTGTGTGTGTGTGTGTGTGTGTGTGTGTGTGTGTGTGTGTGTGTGTGTGTGTGTGTGTGTGTGTGTGTGTGCGTGCGTCAGCTCACCGGGGGCTGGCTGAGGCGCTGGTGGAAGCGCACCAGTCTGCTGAAAACCTCCTGGCAGTACGAGTGCAGCTCCTCCAGCTCCTCCTCTATCAGAGCTGCGTCCTGCGGGCAGCTCTTCTGGATCAGACCCTCCCCGAACACGATCAGGCCGTCGATGCGCTCGGTGTTCAGCGTGATCTCCTTCTGGAAACTCTGCAGGAAGGAGGGTTACATTGATTGATTGATACATTGGTTGGATGAATTAAGAACCAATACACATATGTTAATTGTAATACAGCTCTATTTGAATCAACCTTCCCAAATTAACAAGACATAAAAACAGTCAGAGCCTTTACCACCTTAACATGAAGGTTAAAAATCAATGAAATGAAATAGAGCCTTTTTTTACACATTGAGGGTAACCTGCAGTTTGTGCACCATAAAACACGTGTCTCTATATATCTGTTGTGTCCTTACATTGAGCTGTTGGATCTTGTGGTGGACTTCGCTCTCTGAAAAGTGTTCGACGTTGGTGAGCTGCAGGTCGAGCTCCGTCAGCCAAACCAGCATGCTCTCCCTGGTGCCTTCAAACTCCTCCCTCTGACCCGTGAAATGCTGAGAGAAAGGTACGACAATGATGAATAACAGGGCAGAAAGGAACAACAAGTATACTAAAGAACAGTTTTTTACACCAGGCTGTCAGGAGGCTGAACTCTCCCCACTCTCCCCCCACTGGACTATAACTCCCCGCACACTCACACTCAATTCCAGCACCAGACACTTGTTGTGCTGCTATGGACAGTCTTGCACTAATGTACATTCCCAAAGATATTGAAGTGACTGTTATTTGGTATATATTGATTGTTGTGTTATCTTAATGTGTGCATATGTATAAATGTGTCTGTTGATTGTGTATATATAGGATATACATATTTGTATATATATTTGTATTTTTGTATTCAGGATTGTGGGAAACGGTATTAATTCTCTCTGTCTGTACACACAAACTGAAAGATTGCCAATTAAGTTGACTTTTTTGACTATATTACTCTGATCTTTGGGGAATCACTATATTTCATAGCTAATAGTTGACCAATGATGGGGATGCCCCGCCCTCTGCCCCTGTCTCTACCCTCAGTCTGCGGAGGATGGCGGCCACTCTGCGGTGCAGCGTGTCCCAGCGCTGGTTCCCCTCGTGGACCATAGCTTTGAGCTGGCTGGCTCGGTCGGTGCGGTTCTCCCGGGCCAGGCGGCGGTACTGATTATTGACCAGCTCCAGATGTGTGAGCCGCTCATGAACCTGCCTTTGGAAACCCTACAGAAGACCAGTGGAAGAGGGATGAACCATGATGTAGAAGATAACAAGGGGATACAATTGTTTTTCTGGCAACAAACAAGCAAACAGAGCCTCTTCAAGTCTGATCCGTCTGTTGACCTCACAACTGACCTCGAACTTCTTGAGCTCCTCCTTGGCGACCGTGTAAAGGACGTCTGCAGAGTTGGGGTTGGCAGCGGTGCGCTCGGCCATTTTCAGCCAATCCTCAAACCGAGAGTAGTCATCGAGGAATTTACACCAGAGTCTCCACGTCTCCTCGATCCTACTAGGACACATCGTGCTGTGGTTAGAGTTATTCTACGACACAGTGATGAAGCCTTTTCGAACCAATACATGGATGTTTAACATGTGAGTAATGCTTTAATCTTAAAACAGTGCCATTATTCATCTTCTGCAATCATCTGAGTTTGTAGTGTCCCCTAAAACTTATTTAGTCTTAAGGATTTGAATTAACACTCACTATTTTAATAATAAAAAAATCGACAGGTTTCTTGCCTGCAGAAGGACTGACCTACAAACCTCAGAGGATAGTCTATGTATTACTCAGTTGAAGCCATTTCATGTAAATGTATAACAATCATACAAATAAAGTTACATGTACATATCAGTAGTTATAGTAATAAACAAAGATCCTATTGTGTAACATCTTCAAAACATGTTTGCATGTACTGTACTGTAAGGATGAGGGTATCACTGATCAGCCTGATCTGAATGTGGTGAAGTGCGAGGACTCCCTCCAGTGTGTGTGTGTGTGTGTGTGTGTGTGTGTGTGTGTGCGTGTGCGTGTGCGTGTGTGTGTGTGTGTGCGTGTGCGTGTGCGTGTGTTCAGCTCCTACCTGAGCCTCCGGTCCAGGGCCAAGGAGCAGACGGCCCTCCAGCGCTGGTCCAGGCTGTGGCTGGTCTCCTGCAGGGAGTCGCTCTCCGCCTCGTTGCCCCCGGCAGCGTCCTCGTCCCGCAGCAGAACGTCACACAGACTGAGCACCGACGCTACGCCCTCCGTGTGCTGCTCGATGTCCCGCTGCAGCCCCTGCACACACACATGGGAGGACATGAGGACAGACATCAGGACATGTCAGTGAAACCATGTGGTGGACATCAGCTCACAGAGATACAGATGGAGGGCTGCATGAGACCACCCACTCCCAAAATTAAACAAAGGACAGATATGAATTATTTATCATAAAGAGAGACAAAGAGTTAGTGAGAGTGACAGTGAGTAGAAAAACTGTGTGTGTGTGTGTGTGTGTGTACTGTGTGTACTGTGTGTGTGTGTGTGTGTGTGTGTGTGTGTGTGTGTGTACCTGCTCCTCGGCCAGCCTCTTCTGGATCTCCTGGTGGTGGCACACGCTGTAGGTGACGGGGCGAGACAGATCGGCCTCGATGCGGCAGAGCCAGGATCGGAGGTTACTCATGTTCTTATCCAGCTGCTGCACCGCCGCCAGAGTCTCCTTCAGCTTCTTCACCCTAAACACACACACACACACACTGCTTAAAAAAGGTAGCACCCAAATGTCCTATTTAGTAACCATTTAGCACACATTGGGACAACATTTTGCAACAAAGCTAGTAGCTAAATCAGACCATCTCCTTTCTACTGTATGGATGAGATTAATGTTCATTTGTACATAACCATGACCAAATAAATATCAATAAAGAAATTACAAGAAAGACAAAAAGGTAAAAATACAGAAACTAAGAAACAAACAAAGAGAAATATCAAAAGAAAGACTAACTTCCAATATCCTAAAATGGTCCCAGGTATCCTGCAATAGCACTTCTAAAGTTACCATGGAGACTGGCCACACACACACACACACACACACACACACACACACACACACACACACACACACACCACACACACACACACACACACACACACACACACACACACCACACACACACACACACACACACACACACACACACACACACACACACACACACACACACACACACACACACACACACACACACACACACACACACACACACACACACACACACACACACACACACACACACACACACACACACACACACACACAGCGCCACACTGACGGGTGTCATAGCAACGCCTGGGACAATACGAGCCCTCTGAAAGCCTGAAGTGTGCCCGTTTGGGAGTTTGAGTTAATTTCCCTTTCTGATCCTTCCTCTGCTGTCGGGGTCCAGCAGGGAGACGCTCTCCAGCTAAAATAATAAGCTCGAAAAACAGAGTGAGGGGCGAACTGAAGTGTGTATGAAAGGGTCTCAACAGATGCCGGACGTTGGGACGACTAGGGTTTATACCCTCCTCAAAGACAAGATACGTGTCATTTCTTCAGGTGGTAATTAGGATGAATTCCAAGTACAGTCACATATAGAGATTTGTTGATGGTTTATGAAATTGCAGTTTGTGTCTAACAACCATGCACCATACATGTGGCACTTCAAAAAAGGTATTCCTAAAAGAAAAATGTGAAAAACTGAACCAAAACTCTGGTGTTGGAAAATAAAACTGATTCCAAACGTAGCTAGAGTTCAGGAATGATGCACAGTGTATAGTGAGTGGATGTGTGTGCGTGTAATGAAGACATAATAGCGTCAGTGTAAATTCTCTTCCTCTCTGCAGATACAACCATCCTTGTCATCTAAATTGTCTCCGTCCCTCTTTCTCTGCCTCTCTACCTCTGACAGCCTAACAAAGGCCAGTAGCCTCATGCAGGGGCCTGAACAAAAGACACAAAACCCGGTCAGGGGTCCTCGCTGAGGAAAAAAGGACAAGGGGAGAATGGACGGAGAGAAGCAGAGCAGAAGGAGCTGAGGATAAGTGAGGATATATGGATGGAGTTACAAAGTGCAGCTGACCACAGGAGGGCTCAGAGTTACTCGAAACTGTTGTCACGTTAATGTACATGTGCTTCTTCAGTGTTTGGTTCATCTATCATTTGACTTTTACAAACATTATTACACTCAGACTACTTTATTACTTCATTGCATCAAATTAGACGTTGCTAGCTGTGGATTCTAAAGCATTAAGACTCAAAAGATATATTGCTGTTAGCAGGGAAATGGTTATCGCAGCAGAGCCCAGCTTTAAATGCATGAGTGGACATTAGAAAGGGCATTTACAAAACCAAGACAACAGCAAATGTTATTCATGAATTATAATTATTTGTGTCACCCTGGAAACCCTGGGTTGACCATGTACTGCACCGTAGGCCAGGTTATATTTGCAAATATGATCAATTAGTAACTATCACCATTTAATATAATTGTATTTTTCAGTCAAATTGAGCGTTTCAGACAAACATTAATACTTGTTGTATGCATTCAATAACTGGAACTCACTTTATGGTGTTTGAGACTGAATACAAAATGATATATATATATATATATTAAAATAATTCACAGCTGCCTGCAAGCTCCCTGAAATCTGGAGGGGAGCTCATTTTAAGGATCAGCGATTAATGCATGCCGACAGACCCCCCCCCCCCCCCCTCATGTCATCCCACTCTGACAGACTAAGAAAAGCGGGGGAGATTGTTGGACATGGGTTAACATATGGTACTGTCTGAGACACAGCTTTTATTTCTTTCATGGTGGTGAGGGGAGAGGGGGGGGGGTAGTTTGGATATGTATGTCTGTATCTGCAGCTCTTCCTCAGAACCCTCCATCTGTCTGAGGGGACAGCTCCTCATCACAGGGGCTTAAGCTATTAGAAACATTAGAAACCATGTATTGCTGACAGCTGCAGAGCCCTAATGCAACAGCAGGTGGGTGGATGTACATTACTGTTTAATTAAAAGGCTTCCATTCAAAGCCTTACCGTTTATAATGATGCCCTTTCATGTAGTTAGTCTTGCAGTAAAAGGTGCTTGTGCATAAGGCTAATTGTGAGGCGGTACTTCCACACACACCTACACATATTTTAGATTGTAAAAAAGCTTCAATATTAAATGTTTTTGGGTGTTCTGTAGAGCTGCATAATTAACTTTAATTGTATGAAAATTGCAATATGGACTAGTGCAATATCCAAAATGCAATATTTGGGCAAAATATGTTAAAATATCATCTGAATGTAATGAAATGTAGGTATTGTGGCGCTCCAAAGATATCCTGTCCTACAAATGGTATCCCACATACTTAATATAAATAAGATCCTGGTAAAAAAAAATGCAATAATATCAATAAAGTATGATATATCAGTCATTACAATTTGTTATTGTTCCTAAACCGTACAGTCCTAGTCTTCTGGAAAGTACACACACACACACACACACACACACACACACACACACACACACACACACACACACACACACACACACACACACACACACACACACCACACACACACACACACACACACACACACACACACACACACACACACACACACACACACACACACACACACACACACACACACACACACACACACACACACACACACACACACACACACACACACACACACACACACACAAGCTTAATCTCTGCGGACAGCCTCTCTGCAGCTGTCTGGGTCTCACCTGGCCTCGATGTTGTGGAAGAGGTTGTGCCAGCGCTGGTTGACCTCCTGCAGCGAGCCGTGGACCTGGGTCTGCTTCGCCTCGTCGCTGGCCGACAGCAGCTGCTCCCCCAGCTGCTTCAGGTGGCTTTTATTCTCACTGAACAGGTTGATCTCCTCCATGCAGTCCTGTGGAAATGTGACATGATAAAGTATTAAAGTATTGCTGCTTCATAACATGTACTCAAAGAAAAGCAGGACAAAACCTCACAAAGAATATATACATCTAATGCATACTGGAACTTCATGGACTCTTGTTTGTATTGGTGTTTCATAAGTAAGGCATTTTTCATTATTATATAAACAGTATATAACATTATTAAATATACCATGGATATTCTGTATATCTCAGCCTGAGTAGAAAACATTACTTTGCAATGAAGCAAATCATTTTATCTGTGATCACTTTATAGCAAACAGAGTAAGTTCATAGTAAAGTAAGAGAAGTAAACACCTTCAATTTGACCTGCTCTATTCAATGACAGCTTTAAATCAGCAGTGAAACACAACAATAGGATTTCAAGTTACATTAACGATAGGGAGGAAAGCTTTAAAGTGTCAATAACACACTTCTTCTGTCAAGTGTCCCATTCATTCATCCTGCTCAACACCTGCTCTCATGCCCTGGAGCTGTGTGTTATCACCAGGAAGTGCCATACCCAAATCACTGAAAAGGGACCCTCAAGTGCCACCAATTGTCTCATCTCATCTAACATCCCTAAACAAAACAGTGCAATGTTCAACCCAATTATTATCTAGTTGAGTAAATGAGCATGCTTCATGATGACACAGGAAGGTACAAAAGGCTTTCAGTCACTGAAAGGACAACTGTTGTGTGAGAACAAAGGCCAGAGCAGTCTTTCCATTCCAGGCCACCATCTGCTGTAAAGAGCATCATTCATGTATGGATGTTAACCTAAACAAGAGGTAAACAAGCCCTGAATCGTGGGAATTACAGTAAGTGTTGGAAATAAGGGCAAGTAGAATCCCGTGTAAAGTTTTAAAATGTGCACATAGGAGGATGCAAATGAGGTGAAACATGGTATGTAATCCAGCATTCATATTTCAAGTAAGGAAACTCCTTTAACGGTCCACTTTTATCCAAATTAATTAAAAGATACCAGTCACTCTAACCAATGTTAAGTCCTGATTTAGTGTTGTGTTGATTGTTTATTGAAAAAGAGTCATCTTATAAAGGGTCTCTGACACAAAAGACTTTCTGTTAGCACTTTGAAAATGTTTGAAAACACCTGTTCTTCCATGTGTATGTCTAGGAAGAAAATTAGTTTTTGTACCTTCTTCAGTTTCTCCACCATTTCCTCGATGCTCAGATCTCCGCTGTGGCACACCTTGTTCTCCATCTGAGTCAGCCAATCACAGAACTCCTTGTTCTTGTCGTTGAAGATGGTCCAGGCGTTGAGGCGGTCTGCGATTTCCTGTCTGCGCAAAGATACCTGGGAAGAGTCAGAAGTGGCATTTAGCAACTGTGCACACGAGATGATCGTCAGAGTAATTATCAGCATACAGATAATGATCTTTTTATGATTTCACTTCACCAACACAGGGGTATTTATATATAAAAGCGTCCTACTGCAATGACATTAGCTAATACAACGATTCACTTAAAAAGTAATAACAACTATTATATGTCTGGCAGGAGATCTAAGACTACAAGTCACACATTGTGCATTTGATTCTAAAATGATACATGGCCGATAAAACTATGGGTTATATATTTGTACTACCAACTTTTAGTGTAGTTCAGGGAGACAAGATGACTGTTTTTCAGGGAGAAACCAAACCAGGTGTTATGATGTGTTGTCAACATCATTGCCAGATTGACTTGCTGGGTGAAACTGCACGCAAATAGGTCTTAACTGTCTGACCGGCACAAACAAAAGCCTCAAAGCAGCGGTTCTTTGAATATTAACTAATATAATGCAGTCTGAAACACTGATCTACATAACCAGATGACACGTCCCAATGTAAAGTGGATGTAAAAACAGCCAAATTAACTGAATATTAAGTGTTTTCATGTATTACCAGTGCCATTTCATCTCCATCTGAGTCAGTAATCAACTGCCTTGAGAGGAATCCCCAAGGGGCTCTGGCTGTTAGATCAAATTAACAAGGTCCATTTTCCTAATGATAGCTTAACGCCATGAAAACACCCCGTTACGTCTCTGAGGAGGGGGCTGATGATCTTTTCGAGGTTAAAGGGCTTAGCGAGCCCTCGGGGCATGTTTGAAACCGGCTATATTTTACTCTTTTCTGGCATTTATTTGATTTGAATGAGCCCTGTTTGGGTTTAATGCACTAACACTGCTGGGCCCTCTTGGACTCTGGTGCATTTAGGGTGCATTGTGAACTGCTGTCACCCGGAGAGGACTTTGTGCTTCCCCTGGAACAATAGAGCCCGTCCCCTGAATCCCTTTTAGCGCAGCCCGGGCCATCTGCTCAGCGGACCCATTCCTCTGGCTCCCCCACCTGCAACCTGTTAGCTGTGCAGAGGACTCGATGGCTCAGATTCCCCCCCGGCCATTTCAGGAGTTAAAAGGGATGAAAATCTTGTGTGTGACATCACAACAACCAACTGATATAAGTCTGTGCTTTCTTTAATAACCTAGTTTCACTATTCAGCAACAGATTGTAATTATGCATTAAGATAAGATAAGATGGAACTTTATTTATCCCCTGGGGGAAATTCAGACGTTTATAGCAGCAACAGGGTCAGAGTTAAAAACAGGATCACACAAGGTAAAAGACAAAATAGAATACAAATTTAAAATAATAATACAAGATGTTTTTAAACTAAAGTAACTGTTGAAACAAGATATCACAGTAAAACGTTGAGCATTTGAATGAACATATTACAAATATTTACTTAAGTGTGCAGATGTGAGTGCAGGTTAAAGTCTTGTGGGTGTGTACAGTCCTGGTTACTATTAAAGTATGTTATGTGACACACATATAATCCAGCCTAAGCATGCATGTAGGCTTTTATATTTGAAATTCAACACTCAAACAATTGTTTTGTAACACACATAGGAAGGACGAGCAGCTACCATACTTGCACAGATAAAGACTATTAGATACAGAACCAACATCAACAGCAACCTGCTGCTGCTGCTGTGGCTGCATCTGTGAGTCCCACACACTCCTGCCAACAGGAGCAGGTGGTGTATCTGGGGACCCAATTAGCACGACCCTATAACCCAAATAACAGACCAAAGAATCTGAAGCATGTCACAACCGTTTGGTTTCCAAAGAACAAAAGTCTGTTGTGTTAAAGCCAAAAGATTTAACTGCAGGAATTTGAGCCTGTGAATATACTGGAGAGCTACTTTCAGAAATAATGCAGTTACAGAATTAACAGCCTGTTCTGTTTGAGCGTTAGTGTGATTGTTCTGTAAGCACACTGAATCCAAAGCAGGAGCTAATTACATCCTGAAACCCAGTCAACTATTTCAAAACTTTGAGCAAAGTGCAAAAAAGCTTAAAGAGCTCCTTTTGGAAAGCTATGAAGCAACTCAATCCAGATCCTTTACACAGCATGCATCGAACCCAAACGACAAGCACAAGTTTTGTCACTTTTGCAGAATAAATGTTAAAAGAACAAACTAATTGGACCCATATGTAGGCAAGTTGTTATATGATAACAAGAGGAAAAGATGTGGTAATTTTCCCTCCATGAACCGCCACATGTTGCTCTTTTGTCAAACAAATGAGTGTGCAGGAGTGTGTGTGTGTGGGTGTTTCTGTGTGTGTGTGTGTTCAGCCCCAGTGGTGCAGAGGCTTTGTGCTGCTGGTCAGCGACAAAACACTGCTGGAAGCAACTTTCCCTCCCTCGCTTCTTCACTTCCCCTCAGTCCATCCTCACCACCTGCACCATCTCTACCCTCTCACTTTCTCTACTTCATCTTATGGCCTCTCTCTCTCCGTCTCTCTCTTTCTTTTTTTTGCCAGTTCTCACCTTGGTACGCAGCTCTTCCCATTGGACGTGGAGTTGTTCCAGCTGCCGCTCCAGCAGAGCAGAGTCGCCGGCCGCGACGTACTGGGTCAGGTCCGTCTTCATGGTGGCCACTTCTCTAAATCCACGGGTCAAACGCTGCAGAGAGAAGTCTGTCTCCTGCATAACACAAGACACACACACACACTTCAACTTCCATACACTGCGACAGGCGGTCCGACAGCCATGCACAAGCTGCACACACACACTTCTATACCTCTTTCTCGCTCTGACCGTCCAGATTAAAGGGCTGTGGACGGGACAGGGGGAGGGGAGAAGGGGTAAAAGGGGGAGGGGAGTGAAAGCATGGGGGCATTAAATAAGGGAAAGGGGGGTGAACTCAGAGGCGCTGTGGTGGGATGGGGGGGGGGAAGCTACTGATGGAGTAGCTTAGGCCAGTTTGCAGCTGACCAGTTGCTGCTGATGTATGGAGGCAAACTTTATTCCATACACACTGATCAATGATTGCCAATATAATAGCTCCAACAATAATGACAAACCATTATTTTAAAATGGTTTGTATTTCTATATAAAACCATGACAAGTTGATTATTACATCAGGATACACAATGAGTACTTGTCAGTCACCCTAAGTGCCTGTCTTACGAAATCAAGTGTGGGAACGGAGAATTCATTTAGGCATTAGATGACACATTTTGGGGCTTTTACAAAAAATGATTCCTTAATGGGTTTCTGCTCCGTTACAACAAAGAGTTTTCAGACAAAAGGAAGAACTGTGAGAACTATGGCAGTTTTGTGCAGACTTATTTGTACAAATTGTTCTCCGGTAGTTGGTAAAAATCAAAACACTATTTATCATTAAATATCGGACCTTATTTTTTGATAATGCTAGTGCTCAACCATTCAACTACCAAGCTTCAATTTTGCAAAGAGAACCAGAGCCACAAACCGTACAAATAATTGACTGTGTCAATGTTCTCTCATTCAGAGCCCGGTTGATAAAGGTCTTTAAACGTGGCTTTGAAAAGACTTTCATGGGTAACTGGTGGTGTGACTTATTTGATTACTCTTCCAGTAGTTCGGAAAAGAACCAGAGTTTAGGTTTCACACAGACTAGTTGTTTAGTGTTTACCTGAATGTGTGTCTCGTTGTCAGCCAGCGGCGGTTTCAGCGTCGTGTTCAGATCATCCAGTTCAGACGTGATGCTCATTATCCTCTCCTGACACTGAGACCACTTCTAAATGAACAGCAGAACAAAGAGTGTATATGTAAGATATAGGTGTTGTAAATATATGACAAGTTACGATTTGTAACCTGTATGGTTTAACCAGAAAGCTCTGGAATTAAGTTGTTGTGAAAACCTACATGTATACAGTCAATATTCACTGCAGAGGTTACCTTTGCGTTAAAGTGATGTGAAACAATAAGGTGTACATGTACAATTCTGCAAAAGGCAGAATTGTACAATGCCTTCTCTGTTCTGTAAAATACATATTTCCACAAACATAAATCCTTCTGATGCTGAAAGAATGCTTTGTGAAACTTTAGCATTCACGTCAAAAGTTCAGAGGACCGGTACTGCTTAACCTAACTGTTTAAGTAACAGAAGTCCAAAGTATGGTCACAAGCACCTTTCTCAACCTAAAAACCTTTATCCATTTGAGTATTTTATGTGTAATAATGTATGAAGACGAGGTCAGTCTGTTGCTCTGCAGTTGTACTTGCACTGATACATCAAAGCTACTCTCTGTGATCTTTGACTTGTTGCTCAGAGGGATTTCCTTTTCCCCGGCAGGACCCTGTTGAGCTTTCCTTTCCCTGGACACCAAAACAATCAGACACTGTAATCAACACAGCTCAGTGATCAGTCAGATCGGAGGCGAAAAGGCCATAATTGAAGACATTTACCAATCAGTCTTTGTTCAATATGTCTGCCTGCCTACCTAGCATATATGACTATAATCTTTTAATGGATTGTGTATGAGAAGACTGTACAGTGATGGGATGAAAGGGACCGACAGTGATGTGGATCATGGACAGATTTGAGCTTGTCTTTGATCCCTCTTAGCATGAGGTCGGTGCCAGGGCAACACACCAGGTTGCGTGTGGTTGTGTGTGTGTGCGTGTGTAGGATCAGATCCTGGATATGGGTCATGTACTGTAAAGCTGACATTCCCTTAATACTGTAACACATGCGCTTCTTCTGGATTTCTGCAGTCCAAAGCTGCACAAAACACAACCATTTGAATTTTGATGCTGCTTCCTGTCAAAGACCACTAGCTGGATCTCACCACATCTACAGCAAATGAGGGTTAATATTTATGTGCAGTATTTAAAACAAATCTGAATATTTCCTTTTTATGATTTTCCAGTGAGTTAACTTAGGATAGGAAGTTTATTCTATCGACATTTTAAGAAAGAAATAGGATCCCTTGGTTGTATTTTAAGAGTTTAGAAGTGTAGACTGTAAAGTTTGTATCCTATTATTCTGTAATAAGTTAAATTCATAGAAAGGTATATTAGTGGGATAAGTATTTACATTTTATTTTGAAAAGCTTAATATTTTAGATAATCTTTGGGTGCTTATTTAGTTGTCTGATAGAAAATGTCTAAAATATGACATTACAATGTTCTTACAAATGTGCAATAATAACTTAATATGCATTATATATATATATATGTAAATGCTGTTATATTTTACTATATTTTTTCTAGTGATGTGACGTTCGCGACGATCCGATTCTTTTGAACGAACGAAGGGAACCGAGTCGTACTTGGTGAGAGCCGTTCTTTTTATCGTTGGTTCACTGCCTGCCATAAATCCACTCGCCTTTAAAAGGAACTTGCTTTCCTGGATGCACATTAGTCGTAGATGGTGGCATAACGCATGCTGCTTGAGTAGTAGTTTGGCTGGCTGAGAGATGAAGCAAGTTATACATTTTATTTTCTGTGAGTAAAAGTAGATTTCTGGCAATACAGTCAATCATTATCCTGGTGATTATGTTGCAGATAAACCTAGTAACCCCGCCCCCTTAAAATAAAAACGGCTCTTTTGAACGACTCTCGGAAAGGAACGGAGCCATAAGATCAGGCTCCCTTCAAAGAGCCGTAATCACTCATTTTTTGATCACAACATCAAATCAAATTCCTTGTACGTGTCACCCTATCTGGTAATAAAGCTGTTTCTGATTTGAATAGATGCCAAACATGAAGATTAATAATGTAAGATCAAAACATAAAACATAAAAATTCAATATAAAAGAGTGTTGGTATTAAATGTAAATGTTACCTGGAGCGTTGTGCTGACCAGGCGCCCCCTGCTCTGCAGCAGAGTGCCGGTTCGATCCCAGGCGTGCTGCAGGGCCTGACACTCACTCTCTGTCGTGGTTTCACACAAACGTCTGCCAGCCTCCAGTGTCTGGGAGCACACGGTGGAGTGCAGAGCCAGGGCGTCTTCAACACACTTGGAAAGATGTGGGGAGAGACACTGTTTATTCTTCAGCAAGGAAAATATGATATTTCTGATCAAAAATCTTTTTATTGCGTTTCGACAATGCATAAGTAATGTTTGTCATTTAGAAGTGGAAAGCTAAATATATGCATACAAATGAGACAATGGTCTGTACTGATTGTATGTACAAAGAGAAAAAAGAATTACAAAGAACACCCGTTGTTGTTAAATACCAACCAACTATGTGCAATATATATATTTATAAAACGGACAAGTAAAATCAAGCAATCTGATTGGTTCTTAGCCGTGGTATACTGAGCGTATACCACGGGTAGAATTGTAAGTTACTTTTCACAACAAGTCAGTATCCCTCCGCGTCTGAGATAAACAGTATACAGTTGGGCTGAAAAGCAAACTGCTTGCAGTTTGCTTTTCAAACTGGAACAAGAAAGCAGCGGAGAAGTAACGGGGCAGAAACCCTCCTTTTGACGCAACGGTCCAGACATAGACATCAAACGGCAAAAACATATTCAGTGTGCAGTTCCTTTGGCATTAGGGCAGGGATATTTAGATACTTTCCAAGGTTTGACATAATGAATTGTGCTACTTTTAAAGCAAGCAACGATGTTTTCAGATCTGTAATCAAAAAGGTCCGCAAAAACATTTAAGATTAACTTCGACGTCCGGGGGGGGGGGGGGGGGGGGGGGGTGGGGGGGTCTTACTATATGGAGGAGTGGATTGAGGAGTGCCTATCTCCAGAACAAAAAGCACCTAAACGACGACATGTAGAGCTACGTGAAGAGCAGGTAGACCAACTGGAAAAGTATCACCATTCAAAAGCTTTCTGATGCGGGTCTTGAAACAAAGCAGAGAAATTATGACCGTTAGTGGCCACAGGTGCGAAAGCTCTCTCCAGAGCTACTGGAAGCCGAATCTCAGGGACCGGAGAAGGTGGAGCAATATTCTCGCCACGCCAAGCAACAGCCTCGAACAACCTCAGCCTATACAAGTAACCACGTAAGCCATACTACTGATGCTGGACAGTTTTTCAGTGGGTGCACAATAAACGGCAACATACAAATTAATGTAAATAAATAGCCAAATAATGGATCAACGCTCTCTGTCTAATATGTTCGCTAGCTGTTGTTAGTGTTGTTGCATAGCAACCACCTCGCACTGTTTCGTGCAGAAGGCAACGGACGGACTATTTTATTTTGACCATCATTATTTAATAATAACAACTATTTAAATTAGAGTGTGTATTTTTCTTTCATATTGCCACACTTGGTAACCGTTTTATAAAAGCAATAGCTCACTTCAGGCCGTGATATATGCTCATTATATCACAGCTGAGGGGGTTGTCGACCCTCCGCTTCGCGTCGGGCCGAACCACGCCCCTTAGCTGTGATATAATGAGCATATACCACGGCCTGTCGTGAGCTATTGCTTAAATATATGCCGTTAATAACTGCAATATATACCTGGCTGCTAAATCCTCAGAACTGTTACAGGATGTGTATTTTGTAAATTGTAAAAAATAATGTATTATCATTTTTGTATCTATAATACTTTGTTATGCATGCTTCGTAGGTACAGTAACATTAAGCTGTCTTTGGCCCTTTTCTGCTGTAACAATGTGAATGTCCCCTCTGTGGGACTAATAAAGGTATTCTGATTCAAATAATAACAAAATATAATATTTGACACAGATTTGGACTATTTTATACGTTTTGTTCATTAACGCTTACTATACACTCATGCTACTATTCATGCTAACCTGGTAATCGTCGGCGCAGCTTCGTAGCTGCTGCAGCGAACACACAGCGGGTCCAGCAGGGGGCAGTAACGGGTCAACGTCTCTCAGCAGCTTCCACAAAAGTTTGGAGCCACGACGGTAAACTCTCCACTCTCCCAGTTGTTCTTTTATAAAGGACCTGCGCTGTCCAGCCAGAGCCACGGACTGTAGCCAGCTCTGCCTCACACAGGTCACCTGAGCCATGAGTTGAGATCTGTGAAGAGACAACACAAGAGATAACACTTTTTTGTATTTAGGAGACATGTGTTAGCATAAGTGTTCCATTCAATAATTGGAATAATTAGGTTAAAGGTTCATTGTAGAGGATTTGATCACCTCAAACTAAGAAGAATCAATGTGTTTTCGTTAGCTTTAAATAAGCCCTTTCCACACCGTCATGATTCTACAGTAGCTCAAAGAGGACAAATCAAATACTGGCTCTAAAGGTCCTGACATTATATAACCGTAGTTCTCCGCCACTATTAGGATTGAGATGTGGAGACATAGACTTTGGCCATAAAACCTAGCCCTTGTTCGAACTAAATCCCACATACTGCTTCTTTGATACAGAGCCCTCGTAAAAACACATGAAATAGAAATGGAAAAATTACAAATGCGTTCGTCGCAGCCCCTTCACAGACGATTGCTAAATCAACACGAAATCAGCAGAATTGTTAGACTTACAGCCAAAAGTAGCATTCCCAGCAGGGGACAGAGAAAAAACATTCTTTTGAAAAAAAGATTTAAGAGTTTTCTACGCTTTTCCAAAGACTGTGAAAAAGGATTTAAGGAAGCTTCGGGGAAAGAGACATCTAAGTATTCCAGGGAGGAAACACCTGCATGCTGTTCAGCCTCAGCAGTGTAGCCAGTGTGTGTGATTCTTGAAAGCAAAGAAAGGAATGAAACCAGAAAACTTCAAATTAAATTAAGTTTCTATGTGACAGGATCTGTGAAGAATACAAGACTACATTTCAACACGTCCTCAGAACTCAGATTACTGCCAAAGTCTAAGCGGTAAAACATTTCATCAACCCACAAAAGCATTTAGGCCTGACATTTTTCACATGGCTTGCTTGGATGTCAGTTTAAGCTCCCCTTTATTAAAATCTTAAAGGGGACCTATCATGCAAAATCCACTTCACTTAGAAAAGGTTTACTATTTTAAGTGCCTTTCAATGTTTTCTTAGACGACATTGAGTTATTGCTGCAAAACAAACCCGTATAGGATATATATATAAATATATTGAGGATTAAAGGGGACCTATCATGCAAAATGCACTTTTGTACGTCTTTTATACATGAATATGTGTCCCCGGTGTTCCAGGGAACTCACCAAGTGTCAGAAAACACAACCCTCTCTATTTTCCTCCATACCCAAATCTCTAAAAAAGGGGCTGCAACGGATCTGATAAAAACTGATCCAGATTTGAACACTGTCCTGACGTCAGGACGGTGGCGCTACGGCTATTGGGCCAACTCCACCAATCAGGAGGAGACAGCCACGGCCATTGCCGTTCCAAAGCGCTGGAGACGCTGTAGTACATATGCCAGGCCTCTAGATGGTGCTGTTCTCACAGAATCAGCCCTTGCAAAAACAGAGCTAGAAATTGTCAAATTCAGCAAAATGAGGCATGGCTAAAATGCATGATCTGTTTGGTATTTAAAAAAAAAAAAAGTATAAATATGCCTTATATAGGTATGGTCCTACACTATATTATTCAAATATAGCATGATAGGTCCACTTTAAACTCTTATGGTCACATGCTTGATATTGCCCTATTGATTGGTTGTTGTACTTCAAACGTGTGGCTCTTATCTAAATGAGTAACCTGTCAGAGTCAGACAAACCTTGAACCTTGATGACAAAAAGAGGGAGTGAAGGAGGAAGAAATCAGAACTGACAATTAAAAGCTACAGGGATGCTATTTTGGTGCCAAAATGGAGTCAAAAAAACCTGCTGTTCTTATAAACTAGACCAACTAATCACACTGAGGAGTTTGCTGAACTAAGCACACTCCTGAAGCTGAGGAATGCTGTGATCTTTTGTTAAACGTCTAACCCTCATTATAGTCCTTAAAGGAGACACTGGTGAAGTTATGGAAGATTACCCTTTACTGAACATGCAGTATTTTGGACTCATTAAGCCTGGTTAGGTTTACCAGATCTTGTTTTTTATTACAACTGTCATTTCAATTCTTCAAAGACTGTTCCTTTATATACCTTTTCTGTCCTGTTTCTTTTTCCATGGACTCGACAGCATCACAGAGAAGAGCCTGCAGCAGCTGGTGTCCAATCGTTGTTTCTGCTCCAAGCCTCTGTGGGAAAGAGACAACAGGTGTGAAGTGAATTTGTCTATTTATTTGACTAAGTCAGACAATAAGACAAAAGCTAAATACATTTACATTATTTTAGAGTCATTAAGACAAACGTTATGCCTCAAAATAAGATTCACTATTTAGAAGAAATGCGACTCAAACTCACAGTAACATATTAGACAAAGATGTGGGCTTCTATAGTCAGTGTACTGAGTTTTGGCTGAATTTTTACAGTGCTGTATGAAGTGAAAAATAAAATGGTCATTCAATTATCACCATCCCAAGGCCAAACAAAAGTCAATACAAATAAGTGTACATAATAATAGATGCATACTTAGCCACAGGCACAATTCAAATTTACTTTATAATACTTAAATAATTTTTTAGCAACCTTTTGAACTGTACTTGAGAATTTTCCTGAATGATGTGGACGGGTAAAGAGTTCCAGCTGACCATGGCTCTGACTGTTTTCTGTCCCATATTTGATTTAGATTTGGGTAATACAAACCTTCCTTCTATTGTATGTCGTGTTTGATAGTTATGTTGAGCAAATGAGTCCCAGTTGGTCTGACACTATTCTAATTATTATCTCTGAATGAAAGAAATGTAGAGAATCTGAAAAGGGAATTGTACCTGATGAACAGTGAGCATTTCTTGGAGGCTGGAGAAACGTTGGGTTTCTTTAGACAGTGATTCATCTTCAAGCTTTTTCTGGAGGGACGTCAGGTTCTTACACTTCTCCTGAAAGCTCTGGGAATGCTGACACACTGCCTGCAGCTCACTGGGGGGGAAAAAGGTACAAATGAAAGGACAAATGGACTGGAAGCTTCTTTTGAAATGGACACATTCAGTGTTCAGTATCTTGAACATCTTGTTAAACTACAGATGATTTTTCAACAACACCTAATGCATTTTCTTCCGTGTACCAAATGGAGCCTCACCTGTTCCTGTGCGATGCGTGAGTCATGCTTTCAGCCCAGAGCCTGCTGAGCGTGTGCACTCTCTGCCTCTCCTGGTCGCTGAGGCTCAGGTAAACACTCATCTCCCTGACGTCAACCAGTAATGGAAACACATCTCTGAGCTCCAGGAGAACCTGCTGCACATCCGAGAAATACAAATAACAAAATAACACAAAATCAATTCACTGTGGGTACCCTCCAAACTAAATGGGAAAACGGCACACTAAGTGAAAATGTGAAATCGATGGATTTCTAGGAACTACAGTTCCCAGAATGTGTTTTTTAGGGGATGTAAACAGTTGGTACGATTTGACCACAGAGTCAATTAGTTAGCTGTGGGCTAAAACTAGAGCCGCGTTTCTATAACCCTAACTGTTTGGCACTAATGAAATCATGCCATATTAGCTGTTAGCAGTTTCTGTTTGCAAAGTACCCATTAACAACACTACATTACTTTAATTTGAAAGAAAACTTAAATCACTTGTTCTATGATATCTAAATGGATTTGTAGGCATTGGAAGCTCATCAGAGATAACGATATGCTTGCTAAGTCACGCTGAATCTACATATATGTTTATCATGTCTGTATGTTAAGATTTGAATTAGTTATGATGTATAATGCAGATGAGGCTTTCCACTCTTTGGTGTTTAAAAAACATCTGCTTTAGAGTTAAGGTTTTTAATGAATTTATGTACGTGAGAAAGACAAATAATTGAAAATAATATGGATTGTGACCGACCTTCACAGAGTCTGGGTTTTTAAAGCTTGTCTTGAGTTTCTGTTGTGTGTTCTGTGTCTGCTTCTCAATGGCCTCCAGGCGACTTTGAAACAGTTCCCTTTGCTCCAAATCATCCTGCACACAAGAGAGAGATGTGATATTGGTAATATTAAACTCATGTGTAAGTTTGAACATCAACAGTTGGACATTTGGTGATTTTAATGTCAAGATTATAGATAGTTTTTAATATGATATGATATTTCTGCAGTCTTCCTCACCTGAAGACTTTTCTTTTTTCCTGACATTGCCTGGCTCAGCAGCACGACGTCACGTGACAACAGTCTGGTCTCTGATTGGATAAAATGTGCGGCCAGAGGTTCCAGACGTCCAATCAGGGGCTTGGAAGCAGCAAGCACATCTCCCACACTGCTTTGCAAATCATCAGCAGCATCTCGCAACTTCTGATGTTAGAGTGAGAAAAAAAACGACCTGTTAGATGAAGGATCTATAAGATGAGCTTTGCTTTTTAAACCATATGTTTATTTACTGTGCTCAAAATGTTCTTCTTGCCATCATCTCTCCAAATATGTTTATCAATGAATCTTTAAAAAAAAAAACATCGTGGAGCTTTTTATCCTCTTGAAAAATCTGATTAAATCGAATTTTCCTCAAATGGTTCAAATGCTTCACATTGAGAGTAATTTTGAAGTGGGGTAGAAAATGGAAAATGAAATGAATGGAAACTCTGAAGCTTGTATTATTTTGAGAAAATGTACAAAACAACATGCAATGCAGTAGGTGGACAATACAGGTACATAAGGTCAGGTGGGCTAACACACAGCAAACTGTGGAGTGCATCGTGTTTGTTTCTTCCCATGAGTGGGAGAAAAACATGAAATGACAATGTGAAGGTCGATCAGAGTTCATATCTGTATACAAAAAAACAAGTAATTTCATAAATAATTATAATAATAATCAAATCATTTTTTTGCTCTATATGACTGAAATTAGTTGTAATTCAACTACTTAAAATGTTAAAGGTCCCATGTCATGCTTTTCTGGTTATTACCCGTCCCCTTGTGTGTTATGAAGGTTTTTCTGCATGTAAACGGTCTGCAGAGTCACAAACCCTCAAAGTACACCCTGTAGTGAGTAAAACTCTAACACAGAAAAGACCTGTCTATGCTGCCCCAGAACGCCTCGTTGGACATTTCTCTTTTTCCATTGTTTACTTCTTGGGTATAGTGACGTATTTCGGGTATAGTGACGTAACATAACGGCTCCAAATGGACCAATCTGCGGAGCCGTTACGTTACGTCCGCGGAGCCGTTACGTTTGGACCAATCCGCGGACTTCCTCACACACACACACACTCGGCGGGACGTTGCGAGGCTCGCTGCTGCGAGAAGCGGGACACTGAGCTGGCTCACTGGTGTGGTTTTTGTTTCTTTCTGTTAACTGTCAAGTGGGCACTAAGTATTTTTTTTTTGTACGTTTTTGTGTTTCTCTTATTTTCCTAGGATACTGTTATGATTGGCTGTGAATAAGAAAATATGAAGGACAGACCATCTATTTCTATTTATTAAATTATTTTGAGAAAGGGGCAAGGTCATATAAGATACTTTTCTTCTCCCTGCTCCTTTTCGAGTATGGTGTGGTTATAGAGACATGTTTTGTAAATAATTGTTATACATTAAGTTGTGCAATGAAATGAAATACTGCAGATTTAAACTCACCTCCAGTGACTGAAGCGTTGTCTGAGTGTCCTGCTGAGATCTCCTTATCTCCTCCCACTGAAGCTGCAGTGTTTGCCACTGAGAGGAGCAGTGATCAGAGAGGAGAGTGAACTCCTGCCAGAGGGAGAGAGTCTCTGCAGTCTTCATGTGTTCATCCTCCAACTCCTGCACCACGGCCCTCCACCTGAACACAACACACCAGAACTCCATAAATCATGTTTATTTGCATACAATAAGGCTATACGTGTCTGATTGGCCGCTGATACTGTACATGATTGTATTGACATTAGCAAAAAAGCTCAATATGATGACATGCTAGCAGCTTGTGTACTTCTGACTGATCTTAAAATAGATCGCATTTGAAGGCACTTATAATATATGTAATAGATATTATGCATACATGAAAACATATTTATATTTGACTACTGTCATCTGCTTAGTTGATTAGCCTAGCAAACAGCCCTCTTTTCAGCTATGTGACGATGCATTATCATTTTGCCTATTATTACAAAAAATGATTATCTGAATCGACAAAGCAACAGAGATTTTCCGACTTTAGTCTTCTTTAAGTTTGATACACAGATATCTGTTTTTGTTATTTTCAAGCCACTGACCGTTTTTGCTCTCCTCTCATTTGATCATCCAGCGCCTGTGTTGTTCCAGGATGAAGAGTCTTCACAACCATTTGATAGGAGTTGTCCACAGATGCCCAAAGCTCTTCTCCTTTTCCGGCCTTCTCCTGGAGTTGCTGTGAAAGAAAATTCACTTTTATTTAACAGCTACATTCAGGTACAAAATGGAAGTGCCTGGCAGCTTGACGTCCACTTAACTGAACCTGTCAAAGCTCTCAGGAGAGGCTTTTTACTTCATACAGTTACAACTGGCTGACCATTTTGTTTCCTTCTGCACAATTACCTAATGATAGCTTAAATCCATCAAGCCTTTTAAACTTTGCTTAAAAGGTACTGCTGCAACAGTTACCTGAATAAAAGTCACGATTGTTCCAATAAAATGTGATTTCTTCTGGCAGTTGTAAAGCTTTTATGGGAACATGTGTGTAAGATATGATTGACAAGACAGTGCTTTTTCACCTGGAGGAAGTCCACGTGTCCCTCTGCCTGCTTCAGTGAGAAGAGAGGCTGATTCTGGAGAGCACAGCGCCCCCTGGTGGTCTGCAGAGAAACCTCCCTCAGATCGCTCTCAAAGCGACTCCACTGCTCCACACTCTGCTGTACGGCCGGCCGCAGAGCCTCCATCTGCAGAGAAACACAGAGGAAGACAGGATGGTGTTTGGTGATTAAGCATCCTTCAGAGCTGAAAACTATATTTTATGTTTTTTAAAGACCAGGGTAAAAGAAATAGCACTTTTCTGCCTAAATATAAAATATGTAAGAATATTGGTAAACAATCATCCTGGTATCCCGGCTAGATCATTGGCTCTGGTTCTTTAACTGATATTCCAACAGTATGGTGATCAAAATGATAATTTTGCTAAAATCATAGGTTAGTTTTAGGACTCCTCTTCAATAGGAAAGTTAGGTAGGGTTCATTTTAGTTAATCATTTTCTGTTGTTGCATTGATGATTTATTTTAGATAATTTCAAGAGGAACTTTTTGCATATTTTCAGATTTTAGCAGTATGTATCGAAAACGTTAATTGCCTATGCAAACTGCATACTACAATTTTTCCAAACAAACTATGAAACGTGGAAACCAACACGTTAGTTTCAGTAAGTCTTTTATTTAGTTGATTTAGGCTTTTTTCCCTAATTTTCTATATTATATTTGACTGAAAATGCAGTTCGAATCGCTTGGTAAGTAAATACATTTTACTGCTTTCTCTTGGCAATAAATCTTCAATCTGTGTCACCGCCGTAACAGATTGATTTGTACCTGTTGCTTAAGGTCTGCACACGCTTGACGAACCCTCTCCGTCCGGTCAGAGAAGGAGATATCACACGGATGATCCTCTCCTTTTTCAACGTGAACTCGTGTAGCTTTCAACTCCTGCAAAGCTGCAGCCACCTCTTTCACTTTGCTCACAGCAGCCTGGAAGAAAAGCAGGAGCAGTCTGATATCAGAGGACAGTATCGGGACAGACAGTTCAAACACACACCTGCTCACATCCTGGTACTTTACCCCCCACTTCAGCAGAGCCTCACGAGCCAGAGTCAGACTGGTGGGCTGTTTCCACTGATTCAGCGTTTTTTCCTGCTGTTCTATCCAGCCGTGAAGACGCTGCAGACGCTTCTCTCTGTCTGCACAAGTGTGATGCATCTGTTCAGCTTCATCAATCTGAAGAAGGGGGCAAAGCCAAACAGATTGATTCATGTCGAGAAATAAAAGTCATACATGAAAGATTATGTCACCTCAGAGAGCCAAGCAGTAACAGCTTTTTTGTTGTTGGCCTCAATTGAGTTAAGTTCAAGGTTTGATTAATGGACTCCAGTGGTTTTATAAACCATTAGCCTAATATGTGACGACAGGATAAAGGTTGTTTTTTTTAATAACAAAGAACTTTTCATTGGCTTTGTCGCTGGAAAAAGACATCTTAGTCCAGATCTGAGCCCCATTTGTTTTAACTCTCTTTCAAAGCACTTCACACATATATTTCACATACAGTAATAGCCGATCAACTGTTCACCAAATGTATAAAACAAATCCCAATCTGTTTTGTATTCATCTGCTTTGCTCATCCTAGTTTTAACAAAGATATTATACCCGGGATTAAAGAGCAGTATGATCGTTTGATTCCAGTTTCTACAGGTGTGGTGTTTCCACTGGTTATTGATATCTGAAGGACAGACCTGGCTCTCCAGCTCTCTCTGAAGGAGCAGCCACTGCAGTCTGAGGGCGCCGAGTTTCTCTGCAAACATCGTGCGTTCGGAGCGGAGAGCCCGGACGTCCACTCCCAGCACCGGAGGGCCCGACTGGCACAGGAAGTCCAGAAGGAGCTGCCCGTTCAACAAGCCTGCCTTTAACTCCTGAGACAGAACATCACACAGATACAAATCAATAAAAACACTCATATAAAACAAGAACGAAAAATAGGAGGTTGCTAGTTTTCTCCTCTCAACGCGTTTTTTTATTTAGTGTCTTACCAGAAACATCCTTACATTAAAATATAATTCACTAATTGAATGTTCTTTGAGTGCTAAGTTTTCATATTGCCTTTCAAATAAATTCATTTGTAACAAGTAATTTCAATATTTTAGGTGTTATGCCCAATAAAATAATTTGTTTTGGTAAAAATACCAGCTTTAATTAATGAATACGGTTGGTAGATTCATTTTGTTGACATCAAGTAACTGCAGAATAGAATTTGAAAAACAAATCTTTATTAATTCCCAATATATTTCATTTTATGGTTGAAAAAACCTGTTATTTTGAGAAGCTAATTGACTGAATGTGAAGCAAATCTATCCAAAATTGGTAGATTGCAGATTTTCTTTAAAACACTGACATTGAAGTATCTCTTCAAATGAAAATGCTCTTGACGAGCTACTCAGAAAAAAGTCAAAGTGGAACAGAGGAGATATTATTACCCGGTAGTGTTGCAGGACTTTTGTGATCTGAGCAGCGTCTTCGGCCATGGGGACGGTTTCTCTCTCCTGGTCCAGCTGAGCCTGAAGCTTCTTCAGACGATCCTCCAGGTCAGAGAGCAGCTCCACCGGCGGCCATGCTGCCAACAGCCGCTAAAACACCCCAGACAACAGAGAATGTATTACTTAAAGGTGGGGTAGGTAAATTTGGAGAAACCAGCTTGAGTGCGCTAGAATTAGAAAATACGCAACTGGAAAAAATCAGCCACTTCCTTACAGAGCCCCTCCTCCAACACACACGAACGTGCACATGACCAATGAGGGCACGAGATAAGTTTGTGCACAGATGGAAGGCTGACAGGCAGGTAGGCCATCCAGTTATTTTAGCCGGGCCGGCTCAAATGATTGGTCGTACTTTTTACAGCGCTACGGCTTCCACAGATGACATTTTTTTATGGATTTTTTGTCAAAGCACTTAAGATATTGATTACTATCGGGATGTTAAGAGCATTCCATGGAATATAACAAAAAGTGTATCTCGAGCCGGTTTCTCAAACTTACCTACCCCACCTTTAAGTACATCAATATTTGAACATTTCTAATTAGGTAGTTAGTTATACAGCAAAAAAAAAATACAGGTTCCATTTAAATCTGTGATCTGTTTTGTGACTTCCGGATGTTCAAATCCATCTGTTGTAGATAACATATTTTCTTCCTCTTCCAGGGGGATTTCCGAAGTGTAAGACATTAAATTAAACATCCGACAAGACACATTTGGCAGGACTGGTGCCTGTTAAATACAAAATCTGGTTCCATTCACTGGTGATAAATAGCGGCGATTAAGTCCTTCAACTCTTTTTTTAAGTCCTCCCAAAATTCTCTGTCCTCCTTTAACCCCAAAATGATTTAAACAGGCTTCATACTCCCCTTCACTGGAGGGATTTCTTCATGCCTAATTATTTCTGAAAACCAACCGCACTTCAATGAAAATAGGGCCAGTAAATTTAAGTGAGAAAAAGTCATGTTAAAAGTTAATAAGACATCTGATGCCACTGGTATAAAGTCATCATGACCAAGGCCTTTTTTTTTTTTTTAAAGGAAATTATTCAACGGTAACTTTTAATCACACAGTGCAACTCTTAGTGTTTTTTATCCAAGTTGAAAACTATTTTTGTGTCCTGTACCTGCTGCAGCCGGTCTTGTATCTTGGAGAGGTCAGAGGTCAGCTGGCTCCAGCTTCCCTCCAGCTGTGTGAGCTGGGCCCTCAGCCCGGGGCAGTCGGCCTCCCTCAGGTGGAGCAGCTGATTGGCTCTCCTGGCTGCTGACGCCCTCTGCACCGACACGGCTTCAATCTCCATGGAGAAGTCCTGGGTGTCAGCGAAACAGTGTCAGAAAACAAGTCTATCATGTGAGGATGATGCATTTTGGACCGCTGTGTGTGTTTGAATCAGCAACAGATATTTGTGGTTGTTTTATTTAAAAAGACAGTTTATAGTTGATTTTATTTTGGCTTTGATGTCATTTTTTGGGTTCAATACTATAGACATACCCCCATTTTTAATATTGATTTTTTTTTTACCACTTTATGTTTCACCTGCAATTTGGTGCTGTTTAAAGAAAGTAACATCTTCAAAAAGAACTGAGGACTTAAGACTGTTAAACACCTGAACTTCATAACATAACATCCATAACATTCATCTGTTTGCAACTTATATATATCAATATTCCAATTACTTGTATATAGACTATTCTGCACAATTTCTATTATATTCTATTTGATTGTATTTACTTGCACTATTTTATCTGTGTTATTGTGTTGCACTGTTGGAGGAGCCTGTGACCTAAGATTTTCATTGTCATAACTACACTGTAGCTAATGTACGCATGACAACAAAAGCCTTGAACCTTGAACTTGAACCTTGAAAGGTTGACCAGGGTTATTCTTTGTTTATCATATCAAATGTAAGGAAGCCTTACCAGGAGCTTGATGAGATTGTTGCGAACACACTCCTGGCTCAGGTCTGAGGTGTCGGCCAGGTTGGACCAGGTCTTCTGGTGTTTGTTGGCACCGAGCAGCCATTCACTGACCGCAGCAAAGTCAGTCTGGAATCTGAGGGGGAGGATGAGAGAAAGATAGCTCACCCAGTGGGGCAGGACAAGAGGGCTCCTTAACAAAGAGGATGGATTTGCCATGGTTCCAATACTGATTACAAGGCTGTAGGGGTTGGAAAGTCGAGGATGTTCGCTAGATAACAATAATAATAATTCAACCCCCATGTCTGTTTCTCAGGTGGCACATTTTGTGTGGAAACAAAGTGTGTGTTTCACTCAAATGTCCAAGAAATGTCTCTTTTAATTATCTAAAACCTAATGCGGGAGTAGCCCCAAAACGTTGTCATAAGTCTGTAGATAAGTACACATTTAATTTCATAGGATTTGAACTTCAGCATGTCCCTTCTCAAAACAGGCCTAACTGCTGAAGACTTTGGCTCAAACGCCTCCCATACATACTTTCTACCGCAGCTTTATCATTCCCTTCAGAGAAAGAAAAAAGGAACGAATAGGAAAAAGATTATTGAGATTCCAATTCTTACAGGATGTCTCATTTTTGTAGAAATATACTTTAAGGACGTGTCTGATCCTCATAAAAGCACTGACAATTTCAGTTATTTTCTCATCTTACATACGGTTTCAAGGTCATACATAACATAAACATGTATTCTGTTTTACATTTTGACATGCATACAAATCAATTCAAGTCTCAGTACATCTTAACATTGCAAACACAAAATTAATCAATTTTTTTTATTGAGTATCTATAAAATAAAATCACTGACGTGGTTGTTCCAGACAATAAAATGAGACAAACTGCTGAAACCTGCCTGGCCTGCATTGATGGATGATAAAGATTCTCTACTGTAGAGAGGCCAACAATGTGTCTTTTATTAAAGGTGGTATTTAGTTCTGTCTCACCTGGCCCAGCTGTCCTGGATGTCTGTGCAGCGCCTTCTCTCCTGCTCTGTCCGCCTGCAGGCGCTCTGCCATCGCAGCTCCAGAGCGCCTCCTGCCTGACAAACTGAGGCAGCAAACTGTGGCTCGGTCTGCAGCCGCTTCCCCTGATCCAGGATCAGCCCCAACACAGCTCTGCTCTCTTCCAGCTGGACCAGGGTTTGCTATAGAGAGAAAAGAGAAGAGTGCTTAGGTTGAGTTTACATCAAACGCCATGCGATTCTTTTGAGAAGCCAATTCTGTGCTGACATTTGAAGAAACAGCATGGACTGACTGTGATGTTAAGTAGAGAAAATTGGGTGTAAATGGAGCATGAGTCGTGAAAAGAAGACGAAACTAAGAAAAATCACATCGTTATTATTTGTATTCTTTCAAGAAAGAAACCCATGCTAAGAGTTTCACACAAAAACTGGTAACTGGCATTTTAGTTAACGCTGAAGCAATGCTTGTATTTGATGTGATTTTTATTACAATGGATAAAGCTTATGAGATGTTAGTGATACTATAGTTTAGCTTATTTTTGATATTTTGTTTAAGTTAAGAGTACCCAAGCTTTCCCAGTAAACTTTAGAAGTATCAGTTGCTCAAAATCAAAAACTCAAAGACTTGTTTAAAGGTGATCTTTTGCTCAAAATAAACTCATATATAGCTTAAACTGTATCAACACAAAATACTTAATAGCGACATGTTACGTTTTAAGTCAGTTAAACTATTGTTTTATCCAATTTGGAAAAGTTTCCTCCCTTGCCCTCACTCTGCTTCCTTCTCTCACCATGCAATTAAACCATACATGCATTAGTTCTGTCATGTTCTCTACAGGCTGATTAAATAATAAAGAAAATAGAGAGAGAGAATGTGATGAGACAACATACAAAATACATCAGTGAGCAGAATGATAGGGCTTACCTGGCAGGCCTCTTGTCTCTGCTGTGCTAACCTCTCGTCGTCTCCCTCTGGTTCCCCACTGCTGATAAAAACTTCGACATCATCCAGCAGCTCGCCCAGTCTGCGACAATTATCCTCCCACCGGGTCCACTCCTGCAGCAGGTCCAACCACAAACCCACACAATAACTTTAACATTTGATTTGTGAGCACAAACACCAAACACAAGACACTTTTCCCATTGGTTCCAAAAGAAAATGTACATTTGTTTATGTATGAATTCATATAGCCTCAGCAAATGTTCACTACAGACCTGGATGGTCCTTTGAGAGGCCACTTCCTGTTCCAGAGCCTGATGCTGCAAAGCTGTGGCTCTGACTACCAGCTGGACCCGCTCATCCTCCTGACACCGGAGCGCTCCTGGCTCACGTTGGAAGAGATGCTGCACGAAGGCCAACTGAGACCTGAGGACTCGCAGGAGCTTCTGGATCACCGAGAGAGCAGATTAATGACAGAAGTGAAGTGAAATAAGATCTGATACAAAACTAATTAAGAGGAGGGAAAGCAGAGGGGGACTGAGGCCTGAATATGTGTTTTTAAAAGTCTATAATGAGTTGTTTTACACTGTAAGTCTCTTTGAAAACCATCAAAGGGCCTGCACACTCTCTTGGGAAAGTGCCCAAGTTTTTAGAAGTTTCTCAAAGCGCAATGAGGTACCTTGTCTCTGCAGAGGAGCGCTTGAAGTGGGCTGCAGTTGTGAACCTGGCTCCTCTGCCCTCCTGTTATGCATTCTTCACCCAGTTCCAGGAGGCGAGTTATCCCCTGAAGCAAGGAGCGGGAAGCTTGCTGCAGCTTCACTTTTTCCCCCGGACTCTCCCTCAGATGTCGGCCCAACACACACTGCTGAGAGATACAGGAGAAGCATAAGGTTTAAAGAAGAAATACAACTTTTGAAACACAGATGATGCATCAGTCCTACTTTGATATTAGATTGTAATATTCATTCTGGCACCCACAGCGGGTCATTAATAATAATAATAATAATAATAATAATACATGAGACTTGTATAGCGCTTTTCTAGAAACTCAAAGACGCTTTGACAGAGAATAAATTAACTATTTAAGTCAACTTCTTTTCATATTTTAAGAAGAAATCATAACGTGGCAGCTATGGCCTTTAAAGGTGGGGTAGGTAATTTTGGAGAAACCAGCTTGAGTGCGCTAGAATTTGAAAATACACAGCCGGAAAAAATCTGCCACTTCCTTACAGAGCCCCTCCTCCAACACACACGAACGCGCACATGACCAATGAGGGCACGAGATAAGTTTGTGCACAGATGGAAGGCTGACAGGCAGGTAGGCCATCCAGTTATTTTAGACGGGCCGGCTCAGATGATTGGTCGTGCTTTTTACAGTATTACGGCTTCCACAGATGAATTTCTTTTTAATGGATTTTTTGTCAAAGCACTTGAGATATTCATTGCTATCGGGATGTTAAGAGCATTCCATGGAATATAACAAAAAGTGTATCTCGAGCCGGTTTCTCAAACTTACCTACCCCACCTTTAAAGGCTTTCCAATTATGATACATGAACATACTGTAGGAAAATAAATAAAAGCAGTGGTTACCTCTAAGCTGGGAGCATCCTGTATGCTGGGGAACATCTCACTTTGTCCCAGTTCAAACTCGTCCAAAATACACAGCTGGTTGGAGGCGGGCACCTATGGGACAAAACATACTTTGTGTTGTTGTGGTTGTTGTTGTAAACAGCAGAATATATTTCCCTTTTGTAAAAGTACCAATATGACAAAATGCATTATTACAAGCAAAAGTCAAAAATTCTAATTTTGATTAGAAAATAAAGTATTATTAGTCAGTTTTATATTATTATTATTATTATTATTATTATTATTATGAACTTAACGATTAATATGCCAATTTAAGTACTTTCTATACTGTTGTGTAATTTATAGAAATGCATAATTTGTAATTGACTATTTCAAATGTAGTGATACATGGCAGTAGAAATGTGTGACTTAGTTTTTTTCCAGAACCATTTGTATCTCAACAAACCATACAGTAAAATGTGTGTGATTAATAGATATTATAACAGGAGGCTGTGAAACATTATGTATTGGTGGACTATTTGTTAGTAATATTTCAAACCTGATGCTGGTGTGTGTGTCCCAGATGTTCAATGAGATGGTGTGAGGAGGTGAGGAGCAGCTGGGCCGTGTGCAGACCGTCCTGAAGGGAGCTCAAACAGCGCAGAGCTTCTGGTTTCTCCTTTAATGGTTTGCTCTCTGACTCCACTTTACCCAACAGCTCAGACAGAGTCGCCAGCTCGGTTGATACACACTATGTAGGAAATGAGTCAAAAACATAGAAAAAGTTCAAAGATAATTATCTGGTTTTACTTTTTTGCAAATTAACATCTGACGAAATAAAAAAAAATTGTTTTGGTTTGAACCAAGAATGAGATGAAAATCAGTCTGTCCAATGTTTTCAACACAATAGATTTTAAATATTACACCACCATAATGCAGGTATGTTAACCCTATCCCTATACTGTATTTGTGTTCTTTGGTACAGTGATAGGCTCTCACCTCCTGCTGTAGCAGCCTCAGCTGAGGGTCTTCTTCAGCAGGAGTTAACAGAAGGTCGGTCAAAGCGTCCAGACAGAGGAGGACCCTTCGTGCCGCCTCGTACAACTCCTCACTAACACCTGGAGAGCTCACCTGGAAAACAACCAAACACACATATCATCAATGTCATATTACTTTACCTAAATGATTAGATGGAAAACGAATATGATTCAGACCTTCTAAATATGGTGGTGCTGTTTTGTTCAACTATAAGAAGTAACATCCTTATGCCTTTCAATATATCAAGACTAACCTACAAGCATTTCTTTAATATCCATTTTATAAGTGACAAAGATCCTGGTCAGGTTATCATTGATTACTAAAAAAACATCTGGAGTAGTTACAAACATGTATGCTAAGATTTATCATCTGTTACTCATTTCATTTCAAACCTTTATTTATCCAGGTGTATCCCATTGAGATTATTGATCTCTTTTTCAAGGGAGACCTGCTCAAGTAGGTTCCACATGAAACATTAAAACATAAACAGAACAACAAAAAGGACATCATACAGCATCATTACAGGGATTACAATTTACATAACTATCCACATGAACAGGTACCAACAGCATCCGATTGAGTAGCATCCAACCGAGCTTTAAAAACATTTAGTGGCACCAGATTGCTCAGTTTCCATTTTAATTGCAGACTATTCCAAGACAGTGGAGCTGCGCATCTACTGTAAATGCTATCTTCCCTAAAACAGTCCTAGCAGTTGGCACATTTAATAAAACCACAGCATGCGATCTCAGGCAGTAGCCACTTACAATTCGCCGTGAGATCAGGGAGCAGATGTAGGATGGAAGTTTCCCTAACATGGCTTTATATATAAAAATGTACCAGTGACTGAGCCTCCGTACAGTTAGTGAAGGCAGACCAGCCCTTGCATACAGGGTACAGTGATGGGTTAATGCTTTACAGTTTGTCACAAATCTCAGTGCACTGTGATACGCAGCATCTAACTTGACCAGGCAATTGGCAGGTGCATTCATATCAATCAAATCACCATAGTCCAGCACTGTTGTGCTATTCCTACATAGCCAGACCTATCATCTATATCCTGTAAGTCAGACTACTGGTGTACGTACTATTTGTCTCAGCACGGTGATGGACTCATGTGTCCTCTGGAGAACAGCAGAGGACGACCCTGTTGATATTATCTCCCTCTCTGAGTCCTAAACAAAAAAAACAGGAATTAGTAGTGATGGAAAACAGAAAGTAAGCATGGAGGAATAATTGGACAAGGAGTTAAAACATCAATGGAAGATGTATGCACACACTTTTTGTACCTTACAGAATTGTGATACATGCTGAAAAATATCCAATCAAAGCATATTTCTGTTCTCTGTTACCTTTGCATGGGTCACCGTGTCCTCTGAGCTGATTTGATGCTCCTCTTTAACTTTTTTCAAAGTGGTCAGTTTTTGAGAGATCTGGGTATGAAGTGTACTCCACCTCAGCTGCTCCATGTCTTCATCTGCAGCCAAGCTGAGAACCAAAGAGAACACAGTATGCCTGAGTATATGGTCTGCTATGTGCTTTGTACAACTCTTAAGTCATCTATTCATTTTATTGGCACTGGGTCTTTTACCTGATCGGCTCCTCAGATGACTCCTGGGCTGGTTTGGATTCTTCCAACAAACCACTATGACTGGTGCTGACTTCACTTTGCCCCCTTGATACATTAAGAGTACCCTGAGCATTGGAGAGAAACAAGGAAATGAAATAAGCACTGTTGATTCAAGACTAATAAAAGTAAACAATCATTTTTTAGCAATCATTTTCAAGCTGTGTGTCATTGATGGGTTGATAATATTTTTCCTTTTTTGAATGTATGAATTGTAGAAACAAGTAAGCGTCTCATTTATTTCGGAGACATTTACCAGATCTTGCTCAGGAGCTGTGGTCAAAGACGGATGTTCTTCTTCTCCCTCTAAAGACTCATCAGATGCTCTTGTGGCAGTGAATGGAGTTCTTGGTCTTGCAGGAATCAGTCTCGTGTCTTCCACCGCAGCTTCGGACTGAATAGACTTTCCGTGAGTGTCAGCGACAAGGGTTTCATGTCCTGGTGATCCACGTTGATCCGGTGCAGCCAAGAGAGGCTCAGCTGTGACAGTTACAAGACTCAATGCTTTGTAATCCATTGTTATTGATTCAGTTTCAACACTTTGTGATCCAGAGTCTTTTATATGAAGTCCGGGCTTCACAGATATAAGTCCAGCTTCAGCAACGTTTGTGCTCGGCTCCACTTCAGAAGAAAACTGAGCAGCCAAACTCTCCACTGCCTGAAAGAAGGATTAATCAAGATGTAGATGTCAATGACTAGTCTCTAAAATAGTCAGTAGATAAAGACATGTTATAATCTCTCATCATACAGGGTATATGCAGGAATCCTGAAGTCAAATGTAAGATCTTTTAAGACCTTTTTTAAGACCCTTTCCATACATTTTAAGACCTCATCGCCACTTTGAGTTTTAACCGGTTACATTGGCGACACACTTTACCTCACATTGACTATATACAGTATTGATTGTCCTTCCTCCTTATCTTCCAACCATTTGGACGCAAACTTGCATTTCCCCATAACGATGTTGTTTAACAACCGGCGTAAACGGACCTTCGCGCGCTATCAAGCAGTGAGCGTGCGATGTCCTGTTCAGATGACGTCAAACCCAACGGGATGCCATAAATAAACTACACAGAATCACACTACACACCTACGCAATGATTACATTCAGGCAAACTGTAGAATACAACCTCTTTGGACAATTTATATACTTATTGAAAACAAGCTACAAAATGTAATACCTTGGGAAATGGCGTTTAATACTTTTTAATAGCGTTAATTTTCACAAAATTGATTTATCAACTTTTAATACTTTTTAAGACCCCGCGGACACCCTGTCATACTGCGTAAAAAGTAATGTTAGCATTCAAAACAAATGTGCTAAATGTCCAAAGCACTCATCAAACAAGTCCAATCTCTGAAGCAAAAAATATGCGTTACCTTTACTGCTGACAGTGGCTTCCTTTCAGCGATATCCTCAGTTTGAACATCTGAGAGGTTGAGTGTTTCCTCTGGGTCCTAGCACATGAATTATATTATTATACAAATGGTCCATTTACACACACACATACAGGCTTTTTTCATTGTGTTTGTATGTGTGCGTGTGTGTGCGTGTGCTTGTGCGTGTGTGTGTGTGTGTGCGTGTGTGTGTGTGTGTGTGTGTGTGTGTGTGTGTGTGTGTGTGTGTGTGTGTGTGTGTGTGCGTGTGTGTGTGTGTGCGTGCATGAAAGGAAAGGTTTCTGAGGAGCAACACGTGTCAAGCAGCTGCCTCTGACAGTGATATTAGACGACTCACCATTTAAACATGCAAAAACATGCCAAAATCACCCAAAGAAAACAGAAGCAATTTTCAAATAAAAAATTATTGTGTGCATCAAAATATAATTAAAGGGGGAAAAATACAAGCAGAAGGAGCCCGAGATGTTTCATTCCAAAACACATAGAATGAGTATTCACATTGTTAATATTCCTATGTTTTAAATGTATAGACTTTTTAGGATCTTTCAAATTCAGATTTTTTTGATGATACTGTTAGTTTTTAAACTGTTAATGTGACACTTTGGAATGAAGCTTAAAGTGAAGAGATTCCCAGAAAGCATGCTCTCCTGAGCTGTGACCATATCTAAGGTTTACCTCTGGAATACTGCATGTTAGTGTGTCAGAGGACGACGAGTGACAACTCTCGTTTTCATCATCATCCTCCTCTTCCTCTGAATTAGACACCACAAACATCTCCTGCTTATAGTATCAGGGTGGATGAAATGATCAAAACTGTTATTTTTAAGGAAGATGTACCAATAACTTGTCTTTCTAATGACTTCACGTTCCTCAATACTTCTAAATGTAACTCTTCCTTGATGTTGTGTTAGGGTCGATATCGGGAACGGAAGAGATTCAGGATCCAAACGAACATGTCTTCATTTCTACTGTATTAACTATCACTCAGCTTTTCATCATATGTTGAATGAGATTGTGAGTACTAATGGAGTAACTCCGGTGCTAAAACGACAGTATACTGTATAACAAGAATAGGGCTTGACGGAGGAATGCGTGTTTATTTAGTGAACACATTTGTTTCGAAATAGAGAACAGAACTGTTCATTTCTTGAGGAAGATTCATAACAAATATAAAATGTTTTCTCTTCTTTCAAAGACAAATACTTTTTTTTTTAAATTGCTATGTGCAGTTCTTTAACCACCTCAATGTCTTTCTACAGACATCCGAAAGATGACTACACTGAGTCCGGAAGATGGTTTTGTATGGCATGTAAAATATATATCTAGTTTGCCACTTATATGGTTTGTATCAGGGGTGTCAAACTCAATTTCATCGCGGGCCACATTAGCATTATGGTTGCACTCAAAGGGCCGGTTGTAACTTTTAAGACTATATAAATATACATTACATGTTACTTGTTAAACGCTTTTATCCAAAGCGACTTACATACTCAATACTGTGGACAATCCCCACAGGAGCAATTTGGGGTGAAGTGTCTTGCCCAGGGACACAACGACATGCTGACTGCAGTGGGGTTTGAACCTGTGATCCCCTGATCCAAACACTAACGCTCTATACACTGCGCCACACGCCTCCTATATATACATATATATACACGATATATACATATATAAATATATCATATATATAAAATAATGTATTATATGACATTATTGCCTCTGCATTGGATTATTATCGGATAGGGTAATAACTTAATAATTAACTACGTCTGAAAGCAGAAGTCATGGGGAAATAATTGCAAGTCTCTTCAGTGCGCATGTCACAAAATGAGATGCATTGTGGGACATGTAGTTTATGGGCAACGTGCTTCTGTAAATCGGCATGTAAGCGTATAATAAACGTATAATATTCTTTGGAAGCTCTTGCTGGCCACATAACATGAAGTCACGGGCCGGATTTGGCCCCCGGGCCTTGAGTTTGCCACCCCTGGTTTGTATAGTTCGACAATTATAGAAATAATCCCCAAAAAACAAACAATTTGATTTGAGCCTGCCTTACAGCCTGGTGAAATAGATCTTGCATGTTTTAGGGAGACAAGTTCAAATGTTAATCAACAAGCCTGACTTCCTTTGAGAAATCACAAGGACTTGGCGAGTGTTGCTTTCATTTCTTTTGATTTTAAAAAGTGGTTAGCATAACATGATTAGAGAAGACATGATTGGTTTGATTAGAAGATCATTCCAACACTTCATTTCAACAGTCACACTGGTGTTAATGTTTTAGCTGATGATTCATTATGATTGTGGTTATCATTACCTGGAATAGGCCTCTTTGTGAAAACCTGTATGGCTGTTGCATTTCTTCAGTAGCATCAGAGACTGTGTTGATGCCAAGATCCTTACAGGTTTCTTCCTCCTTGATCCGGTTCTATGTTAGAAAACAAGACATCAAGAAAAAAAATCGATGAAAGACCAAGATCTGCACACTTGTCGCACTAACAAAACATGTAAGATACAAACTGGCTTTAGTCCTCTATTGTTAACAAAACATCCTCGATTGCTTCATTTAAAGTGGACCTATCATGCTATATTTGAATAATATAGTGTAGGACCATACCTATATAAGGCATATTTATACTTTTTTCAAAATACCAAACAGATCATGCATTTTAGCCATGCCTCATTTCGCTCAATTTGAAAATGTTTAGCTCTGTTTTTGTAAGGGCTGATTCAGTGAGAACAGCACCATCTAGAGGCCTGGCATATGTACTACAGCGTCTCCAGCGCTTTCGAACGGCAATGGCCGTGGCTGTCTCCTCCTGATTGGTGGAGTTGGCCCAATAGCCGTAGCGCCACCGTCCTGACGTCAGGACAGTGTTCAAATCTGGATCAGTTTTTATCAGATCCGTTGCAGCCCCTTTTTTAGAGATTTGGGTATGGAGGAAAATAGAGAGGGTTGTGTTTTCTGACACTTGGTGAGTTCCCTGGAACACCGGGGACACATATTCATGTATAAAAGACGTACACAAGTGCATTTTGCATGATAGGTCCCCTTTAATTGACAGATCTATGTGAATTATACCAGCAAACAAAGTTCTGTCGTTGCAAGCATTCATGAAATACCTTTTATCTAACCTATACTTTTCAAATCAAATCAATGATTTGACTATGTATAAAGACATTCAGACTTCCTGCTGTACCTCCAGCAGAGTTACTTGCTGCTGGGTGAGATGTTCGAGCTCCTCCAGCGGCTGCAGCAGATGTCTGGCTCTGGAGAAAACCAGCAGGCTCCCCCCCGCTCCCTGTGGGAGGGGAAGCTCTCCTTTGCATGTCTCCATCTCCTCCAACGTCCTCTGCATCGACTGCATATTGGCCAGGATCACCTGCAGGTTCAAACAGAAATAAAAAGGTTACATTTGGTTTAAAACTTACAGTCATCTTGAATTTAAAAGATACCTTTATTTAAGAAAATGCAGAATTCACTTCACCATTTTCTCATTACAAAAATGTGTTTACTTGGCAAGTTGGGGGACCTCATATGGGTCGAGTCTAACTGATGTTCTTAAACTATAAGAACACTATTTGTATCATTGAGACAGATTTAGATATATCTTATGCTGTATTAGGGGAATTGTATCACCTGTCGGTTTTGGAGATGCTCCGTCAGAGTTATGTCGGAGTTGTCCACAGAGGATAAAATTGCTTGGATCTTCGGGACGTTCTTCTCCATGGTCTTAAGCTCTGCTTCTATCGCCTCCACCACCTGAAGGAAATATTGCCAGGTATTAAATAAGAACAGTATCTTATAATTATCAAGCGTGCACAAGTTTCTCACATGCTACACCTTAAGGCCTAGAAAACGGTTGTGTCGATAAAAGGCAAATCATTTTCGAAGTGTAACTGATTAAATGTCTTTTCCTCTTCCCATCTGTTTAATCAGCTTCATATTAGATCTCAAAATGTGGCCACACTTTGATCTGTTAATCTGCCTCAATTGAAGTAGCTATTACAGTAAGCTCAATGCCAGTTTTGGTCTCTTACACCCTGAAATCCTTCTCATTAATAAATCCGTATTTAATTTTGTCTTAATTTACATTATTTAATTTCATACTGTGTTCTTGTACATATCCCATATTCTATTGACATGTATAAAGACTTTGTGCACTACTTTTTATTTTGTATTTTTGTATTTGTAAGGAGGCGTGTGGCGCAGTGGATTAGAGCGTTGGTGTTCAGATTAGGGGAGCACAGGTTCAAACCCCACTGCAGTCAGCATGTCGTTGTGTCCCTGGGCAAAACACTTCACCCCAAATTGCTCCTGTGGGGATTGCCCACAGTATTGAGTATGTAAGTCGCTTTGAATAAAAGCGTCTAACAAGTGACATGTAATGTGTTTTATTATATATGTTGCATTGTTGGAGGAGCTCAGGTCAGAAGAATTTCATTGCCATTTCTACACTGTAGCTTTGTGCATATGACAATAAAACCTTTGAATCTTGAATATGAAATCTTACCACCGCAGTCTGCAGCAGCTGGTCCAGCGGCTCCAGGATCCTGCACTGCATTGTGTGGACTTGTTGGTCATTGTGGTTCACCCTCTCCTCGTGGGCGCTGATGTCGCACACAGCAGAGATCTCCTCCAGGGCCGGCCTGAAGTTCTGCAGGGTGTGTCGGATCCTCTCAGAGTCGTCCAGCACAAGCTGCAGTTTAGGATTTAAAATGATGGTCGTCACCAACATGAAACATGTGGAAATACTGTACCTGGGTAGGACGCCACAACATGTAAAATGTACATGTTTAAAATAATGCTAGTCGCCAGTAAAAAAGCCATAATGAAAAAGTGGTTAGGCCAAGTACCACCTACTCTAGCAGACTGGTTTAATGTGATGGACGAGATTTTTGATATGGAAAAATGTACATTTGCTCTGAGGCTCAAGACACATTTGACAAGCGTTGGAAGGGGTGGATTGAGTTTGTAAAACCGTATAGATCGGACTTCAACTAAAAACTCTATTTGTAATGTAACCCCCCTCTCTGCTACACACAGTTTTGATTGTTGTTGTGTTTCAGTCTCTTCATGTTCGTTTGTCTGCATGCGTGATTTGTATTATTTGTTTTGTTGAATTTCCCCCAAAAATATAAAATGTAAGATGGTTTGTAACTGTTGACTTTTTATGCAAATAAAAAAGAAAATATTTTTAAAAAAAATAAACATGTGGAAATGTCTGGTAAAAATGATCAGAGTTTTTTTTGTGTGTTTTTGCTCGTTACTAGCTGTGACTGACCTGCAGGGAGTTTGCATGGTTCTGGAGGCCTCTCGCTGTAGTGAAGGAGCAGGAAGAACTGAGCCATGACTGGGCCTCGTCTAACCAGCAGGTGGCGCTGTACAGAATGTCTTCAAACTCCTGCAGACAGGCCGGGATCTGACAAAGGAGCACAGAAAATATAAGGAAGCATAATGGAAGCTTTTTAAACATTTCCATATTGTACATTTGTGTGCATTTTAATAACTTAATTAGTCATGATTCCTGTGGTGTTCGTGACTTCACATCACCACTTTTTCTGCATGAAATACCTATAAATATACCACAGTATGTCTGACCTTGTTGAGGAAGGCGGTGCGTTGCTCGGTCCTCTGCACTGTGTCTTGGTACAGCTGCAGTGGTTGTGTGAGTTGGTCAAACAGCAGGTGGGTTTGATCCGGATCCTCCTCTGCAAGATCCTGCACTTTGCTCTCCAGCAGCATCAGGCGGCTGTGCCAGGCGTCCAGCACATCCCAAGCATGCTGCAGGACAAACAGTGAAAAGTATGTAGGGGCTTTGAAGGGACCATGTAATTATTGTTATAAGAGTGTTTTAGTTCACTTTATAAGAAGTGAGCAGACTGAATTTAGTCGTGTACTGTGATTATCTGTCATTTTGTGTAAGTGGTCAGTTTTTTTTGCAAGCTTCCTACACTGCAGTTTCATCTTGTCTGCACACATTTACACAATAGCTAACAAAGCTAACGGTACTATTAGAGGGTGAGTTGTGATAACTGTTCAGATAAAAAAAGAATAGTGGTATGTTATCAAATGGTAAAGATTGATTTAAAAAGATACATAAATTCACACATTTTCAAGACATTTATGAAGAATCTGAAAACATGTTTCAACTCTTAACTTAAAATAAAACAGGTTTATGTACAGTAACTTACCTTGAGCACATTTTGAGCTTCTTTGACTGTTGGACTCTTTTGCTCCAGTAACACATTCACTTTCTCCAGACTAGATCCTAACCCCGCTGCTTCTCTAGCCAGCTTACGGACTGGGTCGCTCGTCTCCATGAGCTGTGGAATGACCATGCACAGATAAAAAAAAAAGACGTTAGATGTTTTTGGAGGAAACAGTTCATGGGACATTAATAACAAATGAATTCCTGGTGCCATTTACCTTCTCCTCCTCTCTTTGAATCGACAGCTGGACTTCTTGCAAGCGTCTGCTGATATCAGCCGGTATCTCAGCGTACCGGCTCTGCACACCGGCCGTGATAGACTGGAGTTTGGTTTTCTGGGAGGACAAATCCTGTCTGAGCTCCTGTCAGAGTTGAAATGCAAGATAATACAATTCAGAAGGTCAGGAAATATAAAACATAGAGAAAGGCAGGGTTAAAAGTTAAGCTTTCCTCCAAATTTGTTTAAATAATGTTCCAGTTAAAGGTTGAATGTAAGCTTAAAGCAGCCCCTAACAAGTTAACTATGCTCTGAAAAAGTTATCAGGCATTAAACCATTTACTGTATTGCACATTTCTCACATAAAAGACAGTATAGACCATGTCCACTTGAAAAGACCACTAATGGCCTTAAATCTAATTATGGAAGCTACATGTGGATTTGACAAAAAAGACCTGTGAAAAAATTCACACTGACACTTCAAAGCAGTTCCTGACATTTAAGAATTGATCTTACATACATTAAAATTATACTTTATTTCATTATAAGAACTTCAACTATTTCATCATAACAGACATATTCAATTAAAATAGATTGAAAGACGTTACATCTGTCTAGTTCAATGTTTTTGCTCAGATGAAAATGGCATATTTTTTGCTTTTGAGTCACTCCAGCATTTTTTCACAAACATCTTATACACCAATTTCAAGCTTGCACTCCAACGCACAGAAAAAGTATCTGACCTGTTGTCTGCTGGGATTCGAACAGTCTTCCAGCGAGGGAAGAAGGGCGAACATGTGTTGGGCCACCTCTCCTATCTCCTCCTGGAGGTGCTCTCTCTCTTTCTCCTCTGCCTTTGCTGCAGCGACCACCAGCTGGTTTCTCTCCTTCAAGCTGTGGAGAACAGTATCATAAATCAAATCAACATTTATTATAGCCCCAAATCACAAGAAATGCCTCGAAGGGCTGTACAAAGCAAACAAACGCAAAGACACACACAAAATACAAACGTCATACCATAAAAATTATAAAAACATTTATACAACATCATACATCAATAAGTATTGCCATGTGATAAAAGCATGTGACTGAAGTGATGGCAATCATCTCAGCATCTCTGACATCAACAAGTGAGTACTATCCACATGTGTGTTGAACAAACCCCACCTCCTGACATTCTCTTGGATCTTCACTAGTGTTTTGCCCACAGGTCCAGGGCTGATGGGCACCTGGGAGCTGGATAGGCTGAGTGCGTGCTCCAGTCGGTGCTCCAGGGAGGCTAAGGCCTGCTGCTCCTGCTCCAGCCCAGTCTGGTGCATCTCCGCCTGGGCCAGGAGCTCCAGAGGCTCCTCCTCAGTGAAGTTCACAGTGGAGGAGTCAGGAACGTCAGCCTGGAGACCGGCCAAAGAGCTGCAACACTGCTCCATCTGTAGAACATTTAATTTAATCCTCAATATATTTATATATATATCCTATACGGGTTTGTTTAAGAAAACATTGAAAGGCACTTAAAATAGTAAACCTTTTCTAAGTGAAGTGGGAATTTTGAGACTGGCTCTAATAGAAAGTTTCATTTATGTAAGACCGCCCACATGAAAAACATGTTGAATTTCACTTCCATTTATATATATTAAGGTACATTAGATCATATTAGTATACAAATAGTTCAAAATAAAAATGTTGAAGCTAGAACTCACACTTGTAGTGATGTCCTTCCATTCCTCTCCTTTCTGTTCTGTGTGTGCCATGAGGAGGCCGACCCCACGGCGTAATGACACCCAGCGCCTCCAGAGGGCGCTAAGCTCGCCGTCCTTTCCGACTCCACAGCCCTGCATCGGACACCCGGCTCTCAGCTCTTCTATCTTCCCTGCCAGGCTGCGGAGACCTTCCATCAAGAGCTTTGTGTAGGGATGAAATGAAGTGAAGATGTAAGTTTGAATCAGGCAGTCCTCCTATTACATGTCAAAAAAAGGCTGGGTGGCTGCACCCTTTAAAGGGGACCTATCATGCAAAATGCACTTTTGTACGTCTTTTATACATGAATATGTGTCCCCGGTGTTCCAGGGAACTCACCAAGTGTCAGAAAACACAACCCTCTCTATTTTCCTCCATACCCAAATCTCTAAAAAAGGGGCTGCAACGGATCTGATAAAAACAGATCCAGATTTGAACACTGTCCTGACGTCAGGACGGTGGCGCTACGGCTATTGGGCCAACTCCACCAATCAGGAGGAGACAGCCACGGCCATTGCCGTTCGAAAGCGCTGGAGACGCTGTAGTACATATGCCAGGCCTGTAGATGGTGCTGTTCTCACAGAATCTGCCCTTGCAAAAACAGAGCTAACATTTTTCAAATTGAGCGAAATGAGGCATGGCTAAAATGCATGATCTGTTTGGTATTTTGAAAAAAAAAAGTATAAATATGCCTTACTGTATATAGGTATGGTCCTACACTATATTATTCAAATATACAGTAGCATGATAGGTCCACTTTAAGTTTATTTTTATTTTTTTATTATATATACTATTTTGTATGTTCTTTCCCACTATGACTATGTATGTCATTAAGTATGGTATTCCTGTCATGCTATGTTTTTTCTTTATTATTTCTTGTTGGTCAATGGAAAATAGTCAGTTTTCCTTTTTTTATTGCTGGTATTTGGTTGTAAACAGTGCTGTATTTTGAAAATGTATATGTGTAAATCTATGTTATGCAAGGTTTGAGAAGATCCAATATGTGAACAAATCCATTTAGAGAACATTACCAGAAATATACCACTGCATCAAACCTACCTTTGCTTCTCTTTGTTGGGCCACACATTTGTCATATGACGTGACTTGTTCTGCAGCACATTCTGAAAGCTTGGCTTCGAATCCTGAGAGGCGCTGACGTATGTCTTCATGGCACTTTCTGTGGCTTTGCTGTCTAATTTCACACCTGTGAGAAAAGTGTCTTTTAGTTGTTTTACTTAAAAAAAACTGAGACATAATGACACACTTCAATGAATCAAGAGCGATCAGTACCTCTGCAAGGACTCCAGCCTGAGCTGAGCTTGGGCCTCCAGTATGGCTCGTCCCACCAACAGCTGACTGACGATGCAGATGTGGAGCTGCTCCGTCTTTGGGCGGGACAGGCAGGGCTGTTGGGGCACCAGCTCCACAAGGTGGCAGATGTGAGCCTGAAATCCGTCCTCAAGAGCCTCCAGAGCCTGGTGAGTCTGCCTTTGCTCCTCAGTGCAGTCCAGAAAGCCTCCAGGGGCTGATAGGAAAGTGGCCTCTGCATTATGAAGGAAGCCTATTGCTCCCTGAGCCGCCCACTGGTAATCTTTCAAGGATTCTCTCGCCTGGCATAAACTCTCCTGTTGGATACATGGTACACGATCAAGCACAGTTTAGAGAAAAAACACACACAAGTATAATTTTCAATGGATGAACATTTAAGCTTACCATTCTTAAGTGGCACTCTTGCATGGCTGCCTCCCTAAGAGAGTAAAGTTCCTTGTAGCGCTTCAGGTTCACTTTTTTTTTCCGCCCCAGACCTCCCAACACCCTCATCCCAGACTCCATATTTCTCCAAATAATCCAGTTCCTTCTAAGTGCAATATCTATGGCTTTCTCATCTGGAGTTACCGGTTCGGCTCCCTGCAACTCGTCTCGTGTTGTCAGGAAGAGCTCTATTAAGGCGGGAAGCTCGGAGGAGAACCGCAGACCTAACAGAAGCTTGCCCTCAAGGTTTTTGATATCATCTGCGACCGAATGCTCCCAGGAGACTAAAGTTTCCACAGTGCTGCGGATCCTCTGCTTCTCTGAATCATACTCCGACGGGTACAACTCCTGAGCTATGGCCTCCAACTGGTCTGCTGCTTCCTGACACTGTGTCTTCACCAAAGGAAGTTCAACCAAGAGTGTTTGGCAGAGTCTGACCCTCTCACCCACACTGATCGTCTTATCTTTGGCACGCTGGATTTGCTCTTCGGCGATGTCCCTGGATTCCTCCATTTGTCTCCTGAGGTGCAGATATTTGTCTTGCTCAATGGCATTAACACTAAGAGCTTTGCACTGGTCTTGCAGTTCCCCTATGGTACACAGCAGCGAACATCTCCTGGCCTCCTGACAGTGCTGCAGCTCCTGTACTTGACACTGATGCTCTATTAGCATGTGCTTCAAATGTGCGCATGTTGTGAGGGTTTCCTGGGTTAAAGGGAATCTTTGCTGCTCCAAATCTGTGGATATTTGCTTTAAACTGGCCTGGATAGTTGATAGCTCTTCATCCGAAGTGGTTCGCTCATGAATCAGCTCTTCTAGTTCCCAGCACGCTGCCTTTTCATGAGCTAGCAATCCCTCTAACTCTGTGCGGAGTCCTGACATCCTGTTGACGAGGTAGCGGCTCTCTCCTGGACTCAACCCGACAGCTATTTCCCTGCAACTGTCTGCCATTGCTCCTACGTCTTGAAGTTGGCTCTCTATCTCCACTGTGGCTAATGTATGACTTTTCAGCTTGCTCTCCAGCTTTCTGATGTCAGCTTTTGAAACATTCTCAACATGGGTGCAGGGGTCTCTTTCGGCATGTGTTTGTGCTAGCCAGGCTTCCATGTTAGCAAGCTGGCTCAACAGTTTCTCCCTCTCCTGCAGACTCTTCTTCATGGTGTCGAGAACATGATCCAAGCTGTCGGCGATGGCTTCATAGAGGTCTTCTATTGTCTTTAACTCTTGGTCACTTTCGTCCTTTTCCTTATCAGAGAGTGTCTCTTTAATCTGCTCAACTTCCACCTGCATCTTGGATCTTCTAAACCAAATATCAGTCTGAAATTTCTTCATCTCGACAATCTGAATACGGGCCTCCTCGGGGAAAAGGGCTAACTTCTTCCCGATGGAGATGTGGTTTTCTGCCTGCTTGGCCCCAATGATCAAGTCTTGTAGTTGCTTGCTGATCTTAGCGGAGGAAACGTCGCCACTGCTGGTTGAGGAAGTGCTAAGCTTGCTTTTGGTGACACTTAGCAAAGACCCTAGTTCCTGAAGACTGCGTTTGATCTCATCCTTCTCTTTCTGACCCAGAGAGAAATGGACCAGAGCGTCTGCCTGGGACTGTAAGTGCACATAAAGCTGGTTGTACAGTTTAAGGTCTGTTGTCAGACAAACAACTTCTAAAGCGCTTTTGTTGTCATGGCTTTGAAAGCTGGATTCCCCAAGAGCTTCCAGGTTGGCTTTAAGCTGTTCGGCCTCTTGTAATAAAAGCGAGGACTGAGAGGTGGAGCTGGAGGCATGTTGAAGAGCTCTTTGGATGCTTCCTTCTAAAAGCTTCCATTCCTCCTGGACATCTCCGAGCTGGGCTGAAAGAGCACCCGAACTCTCAGCGTCGCTCAAATGGACCGAAAATTGGCTACTCAACTGGAGGAGCGCTTCCATTATGTCTCTTTTCTTCACCATGGTTTGAAGCAGGGCGTTGAGTCTGTCCGCTTGAAGGGCACTGCTGCCCAGAGAGCCTCTGAGGGAAAAAAACACAACAAAAGAAAATGTATTGTAAGTGGTACACAAACAAACAGGATTGTATGTAACACTAATAAAGTGGATCACATCACTCCTGTTCTGAAGTCCTTACACTGGCTTCCTGTGTGTCAAAGAATAGATTTCAAAATATTGCTGCTGGTTTATAAAGCTTTGAATGGTTTAGGCCCAAAATACATGTCTGACCTACTGCTAAATTATGAACCACCCAGAACTCTCAGGTCTTCAGGGACTGGTCAGCTTTCTGTCCCCAGAGTCAGAACTAAACATGGAGAAGCAGCGTTCAGTTATTATGCTCCAAATATCTGGAACAAACCACCAGAAACCTGCAGGTCCGCTGCAACTCTTACTACTTTTAAATCCTGGCTGAAAACTTTTCTTTTTGCCGCTGCTTTTAATTGAACTATTCATATCTTAAACTGCACTGTAACTTTTATCCATGTATTTTTTCTTTTAATGTTTATTTTATTATCTTTTCTTTTTAATGACTGATTTTAAATGCCATTTTCTTAATGTCTTCCATTTTTGTAAAGCACTTTGAATTGCCTTGTGTTGAAAGGTGCTATATAAATAAACTTGCCTTGCCTTGCCTTGCCTATGTAGAGTTAATGCTCACTTTTAAATCAAACAATTACTCACAAGGCCATGTTGTCCTTCTCAGCTGCTACAACCTCCAGGAAAGCTCTGGTGATCCTCATCTGTTTGTGGTACTGTTGGACCTGGTCCAGCTGAGCTGCTTTGACCTGCACTGTGGCGGAGGCGTCGAGCAGGGCAGCGCTCCACTGCCCTTCCACTCTTTTCAGGGCTTCAGGGTCACAAATACCCGCACTGCGCATGCTTTTCATAGTAGCAACTTGCTCCTGCACACGGCACATGTAGTCCTATAGCGGAGAGAACAGACATCAGATAAGATCACGTGATACTTTATCTAGAAATAAATGAGGGAAAGGGCTTAACAGACGTGCATACCTCTGCCTCCTGCAGCTGTTCGGTCATCGTGTGGACATCGAGTTGTGCTGGTTGATAGCGGCATGCCAGAACCTTTTGAACAGTTCGTACCAATCGGATCTCTGGTTCACCAGGAGAGGACTTCAGGTACCAATTCAAATCAATGTGTGGGTCTCGCTATAATATCAAACAAAGTGAAAATATTTGGCAAATTATTCACGAAGAAAAAGTTAAGAATAATGTATGCTAGTTAATCTACAGAATATTTTCATGATTGATTGATCTTGATCTTATGGTGTAGAAAATGTTATAATCCATGTATGTATACATCTAACAAAAATAAACAGTCCAAACCTCATTTGAAAACTGTAACTAGGAAATGTTTTGTATTATAGCTTTGAAAGTGATTCAAATGATAATAAAAGTCATATATTTTCTGTTTCAAGCTTAGATTGTTTGATTTACTTTAAAGGGGACCTATCATGCAAAATGCACTTTTGTACGTCTTTTATACATGAATATGTGTCCCCGGTGTTCCAGGGAACTCACCAAGTGTCAGAAAACACAACCCTCTCTATTTTCCTCCATACCCAAATCTCTAAAAAAGGGGCTGCAACGGATCTGATAAAAACTGATCCAGATTTGAACACTGTCCTGACGTCAGGACAGTGGCACTACGGCTATTGGGCCAACTCCACCAATCAGGAGGAGACAGCCACGGCCATTGCCGTTCGAAAGCGCTGGAGACGCTGTAGTACATATGCCAGGCCTGTAGATGGTGCTGTTCTCACTGAATCTGCCCTTGCAAAAACAGAGCTAAAAAATGTCAAATTGAGCAAAATGAGGCATGGCTAAAATGCATGATCTGTTTGGTATTTTGAAAAGAAAAAGTATAAATATGCCTTATATAGGTGTGGTCCTATACTATATTATTCAAATATAGCATGATAGGTCCACTTTAAGTTCTCTCTTTTTAAAGTTATACTTGTCAATATGATAAATAATCTATCTCAAATTAAACACTATCACCCTTGGCATCAAAAAATGAGTCAGCCTGTGTTAGTGTAAGGGAGAGACTGTGTATGTATACTGACTGTGTATTTTGTGAGTAATTATTCCCACTAATGACCCTGCAGGAAGTTATTGTAGCTCGTTGGTTCATCCTGTGGATCAGCAGCATCAAGGGAATATACACAATCATCCATCATAACACTGCCGCTCTTATCTGTCCCCTGCTTCACAGATAACACTTCTTGGCCTGTCTGGACACTTTTGATCACTTTGCAGCTATGCTGAAAATCAGAAACTCAAATGCTTAAAAACTGAATGAGGATTTTCATTGTTATACTTATTACAAGTAATGTGTGCAACTACAGGAAACACACCAGTGCCACTAACCTAACAAAATAACCTGTTTTTCACACAAACTTCTAAAACCAAATCAATTCAGATTTGTATATACACATAAGATCTGACTTCAACAAATCAGTTTATTGACAAACAGTTAAGCAACATAACAAGCCTCCAGAAACTCTAACTGAGAAATGTGCAGCAAGCCGTGACAAAAAGGAAAATAAAAAAAAGTTAATACTCACATTTATTATGTTACTTTTTTCCACCAAGCTCTGGATCTCTGACAAAACATCCTGCATGGTGGACTTGGGTTTGAAGGACTCTGCTGATTCACCTGTCGCCCCCCCAGCTGTCCTCTCAGGGTCCATGCTGTCCTCCATCTGCAGCGACAGACACAGAAGACAGGGGTGGTGTCACATGTTAGCCTCCTGCTTCCTTGTGTTTGTCCACAGATAATAACAGAGCTGTTTCCCTGTCCCTGCAGTGGTAAATATTACAATGTAGCCGGTAGCTCGGCGAGTCAGTACAGTTAACAGAAGAATGTGCCTGGGTGGGAGCAGTCTGCCCCGAGGGAGAATCACCAAGTCTCTTAATCTATAAAGTGCTTCCTCCCCTGTTTCTCTAAAGATACAAGTGATCTTTTATAACTCTGATAGAGAGGACGGGCTACAAAACATGACACAAGCAGCAAGGTATCTACAACGGGGGAGGTGTCCTGGGAAATACTTTAGGCATGACCACAGTGTGTCTGAGAGGAGGGTTCAGGTAGAGCGGGAAGAGCATTTGAAAACACTTGCAGCAGGTTTCTGATTTGCTCAGGGGGAAAAGAGCACAAGGAGGAATATGTCATACTGTTTCCTTCTCAAAAGCAGTGTCAATATTTAGGTGAATATGACCAATGTACCAACTGTTAGTTGACGTTCATGGAGGTACAAATTATGAAAATATGTTAATGAATATCGAGCAATGTTAACATCAAGTCATTTGTATTTTTTTTGATTTTGGAAAATTAGCTAAATAAATTAAGAATAAGTGAACTCAAATTATTGGTATTTTTTTTTTTTATTATATATTTTATTGTAACTGTCCTCTGAATCATGATCACTTTAATTGGGAAGCTGCTGTTCAAACAAAAAGCAAATTGAGTCACCCCATTGCAATAAATCTAATCAGCAGTCAAATTAGGGAAACTAAATATATGGTTTCTTAATAACAAATGTTTGGGGGAATATTTTACGACCCTCAACATCGATCCTGGAGAAAAAAATGTCTGTTCTTTCAAAGGGAAGGGTCCCTGTGCCATTACTCACAATAATGACAGGATGTCCCACTGAGAAATTCTTAAATTCCTTTGAGCACTTTGGCTTGTACTTGAGGTAACCGAACTGTCTCTACAGATATCGAGTGACCACTATCAAATCAGCAGGGGGGAGAAATACTGAGTGATAGGTCAATCGAAAATAATACAAATTGAATATCCTTAATCACAATCATACATCTGTGATTCATCATGATTTATCACACAAACTAATGTTTACTTGTATGTGGAAGGGGTTAAAACAACACTTTAAGATCTCAGCTTACTTTGGATGATTTCTAAATGATTGGCATGTAGTCCGACAATTTTCTGACAATTAGCTAGTGCATTGATAAAGCTGCTGTCATGGAAAGCCGCTATAATCCCCCTCGTGTGATAATGTGCGCTACACAGGGTTTGTGGCTCGTAAAAAACGTTTAATATGACATCTACCTGTCCCTGTGTCCCCTCTGTGTCCTCCAGCGATGCAGGTACCTTCCATTCACTTCCTTCAAACAGCAGCATAGCTTTGTATCGTCTTTTTGGCACTTCGAAAACGTTGCCCTGGGGTTGTTCAGGATTTGTCTCTCCTCCTGTGTTCCCTCCCTCTACCCTCTCACACTGTCCTGTACCTGCGCTCTGAGCAGTGTCAGCAGCAGTCAGCTGTTTAATGTCTGCAGCAGGTATTTGTTTGTCAGGTAAGGCTTCTCCCTCCACCGCGGACGAGACTGAGTTCATTGTTTGCTTCTCAACGTGACAAAATGTTGTCGTGTCTTCTTGTTTCACATCCGGACATGTTGTTTCTGCTGCGTGTGCACCTGTGAGCTCACATTCAGTTACAACACCGCATGATTTGGAGGGATTCAACACCTCATTTTGCATTAATTGATGAGTTTGTGACTTTTCTTTGCATGATACTTTGGCACTTGTAGAATCCTCCATTGCCTTTGACACAATTGGGGTCAGGGTGTCCTCCACTTGAGGCTCATTTGATGCATGGCTCTTTAAATAATGGAAGTCTGTTTCATCTGATTCAGGACTCATTAATCTTGAAGAGACTCTGGACTTATTCTCAAGAGTACTTGACATGTGTATGTTGTCCAGTGGCTGGAAGTCAGGCATCTCCATGTCCAGCACTATTGTAAACACTTTAGCTGGACTCACACTGATATCCTCACAGGATTCCCTCTTTTCTTGAGCACCAGTAACTGTTGTCAATGTCTCAGATTGTGCTGTGCCAACACTGTCATTTCCCTGCATGTGGTGTGGCTCCATGTCCAACACTATGGTAAACACTTTCTTCTGTGTTACACCTAACTGCGTCTCTTGTTCTTGAGCACCTGTAACCGATTGTGCTGCGAGATGTTCAGACACATTTCCAGGGGTAGAAAGGGGGAAGTGGTCTAGTTCTGTCGCTTGGGATCCAACTAGAGTTGTGACACAGTGTGTTGATTTGATTTCTTCCGGAGTGTCTTTGCCAATAGCTGGAAATTGTGAGTCCTGGGTTAAGATAGTGTCCGTCTGCAATGGTTCAATGTTCTCTTGCCGAGTTATTAAAGTCTTGTTGTGAGCAGGAAGTGAGTTTTCTGTTAGCAGTGCCAGTTTTTCTCTGATGCTGCTGTCTAGCGCCCTCTGGTGGTTTTGCAGGTTGCTGATTTCCTGTGAGAAGCTGGCCTGGGCCTCAGCTGTAGAAATGGCTGTAATGGTGTCCTTGAGTGTTGCAATTTGTGAAAGGTATTTTTCTACGTCGGTTACTTCATGTAACAAAGCCTAAAAAAATGACAGATAAACACAGATAAATAGAAATACAATACAGATGGCTTAATGTTGAGAAACTCTCTTCCCAACATTCAATACCTAAAGAATGTGAAATCAAAAATGTAACAAAGCTTGTTCATGATTCACAAAGTCACTTGACTTAATGGACCTCACCTCCAGAGCCGGTGCGTCAGTGATCAGAGCAGCGGAGCTTTCTTTCTGAGCTTGACAGGCGGACATCTTTTCCTGCAGGGATGTCAGTTTATGATTGACAGCCTGCAGGGACTGGCCAAGCTGTTCCTCATTACACACAACTTCCTCGAGGCGGGGACACACACCCTGTGGACATTTAAGACACACCAAGCATCACTCAGAGGGCGTGTATACTGTGTAAGATTTCAGAGACTAAACCGGCGTATCTACAACAAATCAGAAGCGCTCAAGTACCCGCTCATTGACCCGACCTGACATGTTCCAAATGTGTTCATTTCAATTGATTTCAAAGTGAATTTTAACACTAAAAAGTTACTATTGGTTGAATATTAGTTTCATACAACTGGATTTTTAAGGTTTTCAAATATGATATTATATGATAACTGTTAAAACAAAATCACAATGATCTGTCACTGCAGGGACCGGAGAGCGTGTTGATGAATATCTATTTTGATTTATGCAAACTAATCCATCATTACAAAACATGTTCACCAACGACACACGGGCACTCCTTATTACAAGAAGTGTAAACAAATGTGAAAGTAAATAAACCACAAATTGAACTGCTGAAACAACTTCAAAACATTCATCTGCTACTCAGTAATATGTATCTAATATCTAATATATATCATTCCAATAACTTGTATATAGACTCGTACTGCACTATTCCACATGCTCACTTTATTTTAGAACTATTTTTCTTTTTGTATTGCTCTTGCTATCTGTATTATTATTATGTTGCATTGTTGGAGAAGCCTGTGACATAAGATTTTCAACAACATAATTACTCTGTAGCTATGTCAGTTTGACAATAAAGAACCTTGAACCTTGAGATCAGTGCCGCACCCACTGTATAACAATACACACTGCTACTGTATAACAACTGCCACTTAAAAACTACATGAAAACAAAGATAATTGCTAGTTAAGATAACATAATAAGTTTTGCCTTTTTGTAGAATGTCCAAAAAATGGGGCAGCTCAGTCTGAGTGTAATAATATTTTCTTATTAGATGACACTTTACCGGACTCTTGGTGGAGAGGTTTTCACCAAGCGGAGAATCAACAGTTCCTCTCAGATCTCCATCAGAGGGTTGAGTGGACTTCAGAGGAGTCTGAAACTCCTCCATGTCCCTGCTCTGCTCCTCCGTGGAGCCCTGTAGGAAGTTGTGGTATTGTTGGAGCAGTTTCCTGCTCTGCTCCACCACAGCACACTGCTGAAGTGGGCTGCTCTGCAAGGAGGACACAAGCTGGTTGAGCTCCTCTGTCCTCACCCTGAAGGGAAAACAGTGCAGAGTTGATGCTCAGTTATTATTAGAGGGGGAAATCTTGTCACTTGTCATGTGGAATCAGAAAACAAAGCTTACCTTTGTTGAAGCGCTTCCTCCTGCAGGACACTTAGACCCTCGTCTGTTGCTGCTTTTTCCTCAGCGCCCTCCAACCACTGTTGTATATGCTCAGTCTCCCTTTGCAGCCTAGAACACAAACACAGTGTAAATGCAGGCATTCACATGACACAGACTCATATGTGCAGTAACCATGATACACTGACAATACAATCAACAGTGAGAAGTGGTACCGCCACAGAGTAGTACAACACGACTTCAGGAAACAAGTTGAACTTGTTCCATTGACCCAATTTGTTACAGAGTTTCTAAAATAAGTCTGGTTATAGTATGTAAGAATTGGCAGTATAACCTGTATTGACGAAGTCTCATATATCAACATATCCTCATTAGCTACTATGTCTGGTTTTGATTTCTTTGTGTCTTTATACAAATTCATGATAAACACATTTCAAAAAACAGTTATGTAACCAAGTAGCTTTAGACAAAGCTTTTGTACACATCACATGAAGGTTACCTGTCCAGATCCTGGATATTCCTCACAGTCTGCTCTTCCACCTCAGAGAAGAGCTGCTGGGTGTGTCTGACTTTCTCCTGCAGCTCAACCCAGTCTGCAGACAGACTCTGCAGAATGACCGGACTCGCTATGGAGGCCATAACATTCAGATCCTCCTGCACACTCTCCGCCTGCTCGTCCTGCGCCTGGAGCTCGAACAGCAGATCCTGTAGAGAAACACAAGATATTGATGGTGATAAGCATTTTAAAAGCTATTAAGTCTACTTAAAAGCTAGCTTTGTACTCCAGTGTGTAGATTCATAACATCATAGCTTTCTTAAATAGTTTTGTTTTTATACATAGTAACTTTTTTTTTAAAGTGGACCTATCATGCAAAATGCACTTTTGTACGTCTTTTATACATGAATATGTGTCCCCGGTGTTCCAGGGAACTCACCAAGTGTCAGAAAACACAACCCTCTCTATTTTCCTCCATACCCAAATCTCTAAAAAAGGGGCTGCAACGGATCTGATAAAAACTGATCCAGATTTGAACACTGTCCTGACGTCAGGACGGTGGCGCTACGGCTATTGGGCCAACTCCACCAATCAGGAGGAGGCAGCCACGGCCATTGCCGTTCGAAAGCGCTGGAGACGCTGTAGTACATATGCCAGGCCTGTAGGTGGTGCTGTTCTCACTGAATCAGCCCTTGCAAAAACAGAGCTAAAAAATGTCAAATTGAGCAAAATGAGGCATGGCTAAAATGCATGATCTGTTTGGTATTTTGAAAAAAAAAAAGTATAAATATGCCTTATATAGGTATGGTCCTACACTATATTATTCAAATATAGCATGATAGGTCCACTTTAAATGACACGTTTCTCTATACATTGTTCAAGTGCGTAGTACACTTTGCAACACATACAAACTTGTTTAACCTTAAGTGTGGCAAGGACTGCTGCAACATCTGCACCAGTGAGAGTGAGGAGGGAGTCCTGAATCTTCTGGAGGGAGCTGAAGCACTCTGCCATCCTGACAGTGATGTGTCCCTTAGCAGCCACCATCTGCCTGTAAACGTCCTCCGCTTCAGAAACAAGCTCCTGCAGCTGCTCTGTCTTCTTCCTCATCTGGGTCTCCACCACCTACAGCAGACAAAGAAAACCAATCAAGAGATTTGTTCTAACTCGATCCGATCAACTGTATCTGTAAGCATTATACCAGAAGCTGATGCTGTACCTGAAGCTCCAGAGGGGGCTCTGTGCTTTGAAGCAGTGCCTGAATCTCTGTGGCTCTTTGATGGAAATGCTCCATACTCTCCTCTTGGGTCACAATCTCATTCTGGAGACAGTCAGAGGGAGATGATCAATGTTTAAAGCAAACAAGTAATCTTGTTAAAAATTGGGTCCAAACCTGTGTATTACAGGACGAATAAGGGATGTTGTCTACCTGCAAGGCACTGATGTCTTCTTCTGTCTGAAAGGACGGACACTCAGCAAATGCTGCTAGTTTGTTGCCCGTCCACCTTTCCACCTCCTCCCCCAGCTGCAGGACCCCATCCCACAGAGTCAGGCCCCGATGCAGGCTTTCCAGGTGGGAATCTGTTCTCTCTGATATCTGAAAGAACAGTATTTGCAATGAATGCTACTGTAGCACTGATCTTACAACACACAACCCAACTCAACATAAGACCTTAGAAATTAAATAATTGCAATGTATGATCGCAAACAATCTACTAGGACGCTTTACTTTACATATGAGAGCAGCAGCAGATAAAACAGTGGGGGTAAAAACAATTTGTGTAGTAAATCTTGCTTTAATAACAGTACATAAAATAATAATTAATCTGCAAGAGAATTGAAAAATAATTCTGAAATCTTCTGAAAATGAATGACTTCTGTGATAGATATTTTTGAAGTCTAAGCTTTTCTGTGGTGACTCATCATTAAAACAAATGAAAAACGAAAAAAACTCACATCCAGCCAGCGGTCCATGAGAGCATCCGCTTCGTCCTCAAATGGGATCATGGTGCATTCTGGGATCTGACGCAGATGAGTGTGAAGCTGCCTGCAGACGCTGCGGACCTCTTCTATACCGTCACCCAGGCCGATCAGCTCTGATTTGGTGTCCTGGACCTGAGACACCACACACACATATAAAACACACTTAACTGAACTGTTGCAGGGTTAGGGTTAGGGTTAGGGTTAGGGTTAGGGTTAGGGAGAACCAGAGCCACGAAAAATCAATCTTGATTTGACTTTATTTGCAAGTTAGGTTTCAATGCAAATGGAACAGAGGTATACCTTAGTGTGTAGTCTCTGCAGGTTTTCTCTCCCCATGTAGGAGGCTTGCTCACTGATGGTGCTCTCCGCTCTCTGCAGTTTCCCGCTCAGATCCCCACGGATGCTCTGAAACCTCTTCAGCAGCTCTGTGAGTGCGTTACACTGCTCCAGCCTGTATACGTGATAACACAACACACACATTCAACCAACTCAGCTAAGATATCAAGTTTGATAATAATAATAAAGCATTTTATTTATAGAGCGCTTTTCTTGGAACTCAAACTTTACAGAGTAAAAATTCACAAAAACATAATTAAAACAACACACTTAAAATATATAAAACACAACATGAATTACAGTTTAAAAGCAGTGTTTTGATTTGTGATTGGAACATGGTGAGATTGGGGAATGTGTTTGGGGAGGGAGTTCCAGAGTGGGGGCCAGCGATGGAGAAGGCTCTGATATGTAAATGAATCACAGAGGACTGAATCTCCTCTCTTTACCGTTCAGTTACAGCTTTTGTGGCCTCCTCCCAGAGCTCCTCGGCCTCTCTGGTCCGACTCACATCGCCTGACCGTGAGGATTCCTCTCGGATGTGCTGCAGCTCAGCGAGGTGTCCAGCAAGTCGACTTTCCAGATCTGTCAATGCACGAGTCCTGCAGGAAATTACACAATTATTATTGTACAGAGGCAGACATGGTTAAGAGTCATTGTTTCAGTACACCAGTAAGGCATGGTTCATTTTGTCAGCTATTTTTGTATTTAGTCTTCAAGGTTCAAGGTTCAAGGTTCAAGGTTCTTTATTGTCAAACTAACATAGCTACAGAGTAATTATGTCGTTGAAAATCTTATGTCACAGGCTTCTCCAACAATGCAACATAATAATACAGATATTAAAAGTAACACAAAAAGAAAAATAGTTCTAAAATAAAGTGATGATGTGGAATAGTGCAGTACGAGTCTATATACAAGTTATTGGAATGATATATATTAGATAGTAGATATATATTACGTATTAAGTAGAAGATGAATGTTTTGAAATTGTTTCAGCAGTTCAATTGTTTAACAGTCTTGTTTAACAATTGTCTTAATCCTGTGTCAAATGTCCTGGCTGGTTTTGGTCATACTAAGTCAACATTATCCTGTTTAATTAGTTATTAGCTAGCTTTTAAGTAACATTAAGCTGTCTTTGGCTCTTTTCTGCTGTAGCGATGTACATGTCCCCTCTGTGGGACTAATACAGGTATTCTGATTATAGTTGACTCAAATTCTGACCATTTTAGTCTTATCTGAGTCAAAGAAAACCATTACCATTGTCTTGACATTACTATAGTCATTTCAAGACAAAATAATGTCAACTTAATACATTTGAATATTTAGATGTTGACGTTGTGGTGCAGCTTTACAAACATGGCATCTTAGGTTAAAATATGTTCCTAACTTTGAGCAACTTGAAGCAGTTTTTGGTCAGAGATCAGTGTACCTGTGCTGCAGCGCGGGCAGGCTGGGCTCCTGAAGCCTCAGCTGCTCAGCGGCTCCTCTTATCTCCCTCAGGGCCCCCAACAAAGCAAACCTCCTCTGGACCATACTCTTCTTCTCTCCTTCTTTCTGAACTTGGCTGTTCCTTCTTCTTCTCTCTTTTAACACATCCTCTTCAGACTTCCGTGTTGGAGCCTCCTCCTTCTTAAGTGTGTTTTTATCATCATCTTCTTCCAGCTTTCTCCTTTTGGCTTCCTCTTCCATCTTACATGCGGTGAGTTGCTCCTGTGCTCCCCCCTGCTGTGTTGAACCCTCCCCAGGTTTTGTCTGATGTATCTCTTTAGGATTCAGCTGCTGGATTTGCTCCATTCTTACTGAAAAGAATCCATCTTTGCCGTCCCTCTTCCCGCCTGTCTTCAGCTCTTTCTCGATTTCCAGAACTTGCTGGGACAATGATGTCACCACATCCTGACACGTCACATTGGCACCATCCATAGTCAGAGTCATCCCCACTGCCTTTAAAGTGCTGTCAACGCCGTCAGACTGAGTCCTGGCAGCCTGTAACCTCTGCTGCATCGCTGCCTGCCAAGAGAGTCTCTCCTGCTGCCTGTCTGACTCATGCTCCTGTCTTCTGGAGTCCTGGTTGGCCTGCAGGGCTGGGATCTCTGCCTCGACTTCTCTTACTGTGGCCAGGAAGCATTTCAGAGCCTGAGCGGCAGCCTGAACCTCCTCCAGCCGCTGTCTGAGCTGCCGAAGGTGATGAAGTCTGTTGTGGAGAGCCTGGCAGAGCGATGAAGGGGATGTTCTTTCCTCGTCTGCAACTCGTTCTGAAAGCTTTCTCATTTCAGACCGCAGTCCGTCATCCATCTCCTGGGTAACACGAGAAGGATAAATAGTACTTTCTGCATATGTCATTATCTGAATTAAAGTGTTAGGTGTCTTCAAAAGTCTGGATGTACCTTTAAATTAGATTCCAGTCTGGCATCAGTCAGGGAAAAGGAGGAAATGTCCACAGACTCTCTGACGATCCGCTCCAGGTTTTCAGTGATCAGCACCATGTGACCATCTGCAGATTCCATCAGGTCAGCAGTATTCTCCAAAGATTTCATCCTAAATGGAAAAAAAGCAACTTTTACTTGTTATAATAACATATGTAGACTATGTAGTTCAGGGCAATGATCACATTTCAACCCTAACCCCTCATTAATAACAACACAAAACTGCATGGACAAAGTTGAAGACATGTTACTCAAACAGAGGAAGGACAGGTAAATAACCTTTTCTTACAAATGTGTTCTTATGTCGTGAGAGATGAATCAATACTTTATTATTGATCAGGTGCACTGTACCTGCTCTGGAGGTACATCTGTTGTCCTCTCCACTGCTGAGTCAGCTGCTCCCTGCTTCTTTCCACCTCACCTTCATCTTCCTTGGTCATCAAATGGGAGAACTGGGAATACTGGAGCTCAAACTCAAACCATAATGCCTCGGTCTCCTGTTTTGAAGTCTGTGACGGAGGGAAAACATTTTTCACAAAGCATTTAGAACAATAATTTCACATTGTGAAGATTGACTATGCAAGAAAATGACTGCTTAGCCATTCTTTAAGTTATAGGTTTTACAAAATACTCAGAAGTAAAAAGGAGCATAAGTGATACACAGATTAAAGCAGGATTTGAAAAGGTGAACATTTAATGACATGAAATCATTTCTGAACTTAATAAAGTGATTCTTTAACCCTCCTGTTATCAATCTGACCCCATTCAATGTTTAACGTATCTAAAAAAATGGTTCACATAATTTTTTTTGCTTAGTATTTCATGACTTTTCCTAATTTAGTGAGGACTAATGGGTAAACATCAAATGAACAAGAAGATCTTTTTTAAATGTCCTGTACTCACTTTGTACGCATCGGCTGTTTTAGTAGTATAAAACATATGTCAACATTTTACACATATTTGTGTTGATCGTGTAGGATGATATTGAGGTGACTATTACATGCAAATGTATCATTGTAAAACAAAACTACCCTCTGCTTTAGTCATTGGTCCTTTAACAACATCAAAAAGATCTTAATTTAACATTTTATTTCAGTCAGTGAGATTTGATGGTGATCTATATATTTTTCGATAGTCACATAATAGGAATTCTGGATGTATAAAGGGGTCTGTGGGGGGGAAGGTTGGGGTAATGTTTTATTTAAAGGGGACCTATCATGCAAAATGCACTTTTGTACGTCTTTTATACATGAATATGTGTCCCCGGTGTTCCAGGGAACTCACCAAGTGTCAGAAAACATAACCCTCTCTATTTTCCTCCATACCCAAATCTCTAAAAAAAGGGGCTGCAACGGATCTGATAAAAACTGATCCAGATTTGAACACTGTCCTGACGTCAGGACGGTGGCGCTACGGCTATTGGGCCAACTCCACCAATCAGGAGGAGACAACCACGGCCATTGCCGTTCGAAAGCGCTGGAGACGCTGTAGTACATATGCCAGGCCTGTAGGTGGTGCTGTTCTCACTGAATCTGCCCTTGCAAAAACAGAGCTAACATTTTTCAAATTGAGCAAAATGAGGCATGGCTAAAATGCATGATCTGTTTGGTATTTTGAAAAAAAAAAAGTATAAATATGCCTTATATAGGTATGGTCCTACACTATATTATTCAAATATAGCATGATAGGTCCACTTTAAATGGTTATTTAGGTAGTCAACTAAGATACCTAAAGCACCAGTGACATACATTTTGGTTAAATACAATTTTGAATATGATCATTTCCTTGAGTTTGACCCCAGAGGATAAAGGGTGTAAAGTCAATCTGAGGATAACAGGAACTTGCCTGTAGTTGCTTCTTTCGGTCCCGCAGGGTAGAAAAGCTGACAGAGTCTTGGATAAACGCCTCCAAATGTTGCTTGGTCTTCTGGAGTTGAGACTGAAAAGCCGAGCAGGACTTCCTGTACCTGCAGTGAAAGATTTACACATGTTTCAATATGACATTCTCTGAAACTGAAAAGCTAAATGGGAACAGAGCCAGCTGCAAAATCTGTAAAATTAGACTGTTTTTGTCTTTGGGGTATTTCTTTTGTTTAGATGACAAACAGGTCGAATCAACATCAACGTACAGTAGAGGGGTCAATTGTAAATATTTGTCTAAAGTATGTGTCAAATTGTCACTGTAAAAGGATGCTGCTGATTACTTACTAAAGTTAACCACACTATACAATATCATTTTGGATTATGTTCAGCTGCGCTCATCTGTCAGGTCTAACTTTAACTCACATGCTGACAGTTCTTCAAACAACACTCATGTAAGAGTTGAGATAATAACCCCTACCTTTCCAGTATTTCCTGTTCAGACGAGATCACTTCCTGCTGTGAGGCGGCCGTCTCTGGGATGACGGTCCACTCGGCCTCCTGCTTGGTCTCCACAGTGTCGCCCCTGACAACCGCCTGGGAGATGGGAGGGTCACATAGTAGCAGTTCAGAGACGAGAAGAGCGAGAGATGCAGCAGAGCCGATCCACTTACTGAGGATTAGCCCTGCTGCTGCTGCTCTCAAAGGTCAGTCACAGCCAATCACAGTGCAGAGTTCTGCTCGGACCAGGAAGTCTTAAGGAAATGCCACTTGAAATGCTATGTATAAAGTGAATAAGATTCATTTAAGGAAATGAACACATGCAACAATCTAATATACAGTAATTAGCCTGTAATACACCAGTCGAATAAAAACATTTGACTTTTTGTTACCATTTTTCTGGAATTCTTACACTGAAACCTGTCTCATGTCAATTTTAAATGTCTGTAGAGGCACAGGAAAATAGGAATAACTGAAGGGAAGTAAAGTTATTGTTTTGGTTTGCAGGTAGGAATCAAAGATATCCGTTTCCCTTGGCAACGGATAAAACCACCTCCATCCTGAGCAAACTCCCAATAAGCTTTTTATGTGACTTGAACTTCACATTGTATAAGTTGTTGGTTACAATAAAGTTCCTCAGAATTTCAAATGTAAATGTTTTTCTAGGAGCTTACAGAGTTGCTAAAATACCTAGTGCAGCGAGAGAAAGCAAGAAAAACAACAAGGAAATCGAATGAACGTGTTCTCTCCCTACCTGTATGTGAGCCTGGGTCTGCAGGCTGCTCTCTGTGAAGTGCAGCAGACGAGCTTTCAGCGGCTGCTCTTTGGATCTAAGTGCAGACTTCAGTTTTTTCTCCAACCCACAGCTTCTACGTTCCCCCTCCCTCTCTGCCGGGACATCCTGAGCTCGCAGGTGGAGGATATCACCCTGAGGCTGCGCTGTCACAGAGCCACACACAGGTGAGAGGTCTTGTTGTTGTCTGTCCACGCTTTGTTTCTGACGGTTGCTGTGCTGCGTGTCGGCCGACATTCTCAGCAGGGGGGTTCCCCGGGGCTGCCGTCCCCTGCTGAGGGAAACAAAGGTTTATTAGGTGGAGGTCGAGCCGGGTAATTAGGAATCTCATTAAGATTAATAGACAGGAAGGATTACACAGTGAATATTCTGAATAATAAGGTTGTCTGCTTCAATTAAACAATGCATTTGAACTTAAATTCAATTCCCAGTTTGTAGCCTATAGAACCTGAATGTTAATTTAAGGGTATATTTTTAAGCCAAACAATGCTGTTTCTTCCTGTCTGTCTTTACAGATTTCTTTTCTTTTTTCTAAACAAAAATCTGACGTCATTTTGAATGTTCAATGTGCTGTCTACCACAAATTGGTTTTTAACACTTAGTAGAATGCACATTAAATAATAAGCTTCCTTTCTGAAAAAAAGAAAACAGACGTGTGAAAATACATCCAAGAGAAGCAGATCTTATGGTTCGCTTTTATAAAACTATTATTACGTCTAAGATATTACACCTCATCATACTTCATCTCCTTTGCATTATCTTACCAGTCAGAAGTGAGCACTGTGTCACTGGATTGTGTTTCTTGAGCTTCATCTGACTCCTGGAGCTGGTCTGTTGCTTGGCAGAAGGACTGTCCCTGTGTTAGTGTCTCACACAGCTCTTGTAATGATTCAACCTCATCAGATGCAGCTCCATCCATGACGACCTGGGAGAAATGTGAATTTCGGAAGAACTGAAATAAGGTATTTTTCTGATCATCTGTCAGAATCATACAGCTTGCCACACAGCACAATCAGATGATATTGTTACAGAGTTAGGAAGTACCTGGTGCTGCGACACAGAGTCATGGTCAGTCTGGTCAGTGGTTACGTGCAGAGTGTTAGTTTGAGTTTCACATTGCACAGCAGAAAATGACTGATTTCCATCTCTGATCTGACACCAAAAGATGGGAACAAAGGCGGCCATATCTCTGCGTACATCCTGAGTGCGACACAAACAAGCCAATTCAACTTTAAAGACAAATGTCAGTGGTGCCAGGTTCATGCAATATCAAAACTGTTGACTGAAACCATAACATGGTTAGTTTACTAGGCTTTTTAGTTATTGATTGTATTGAATTGTTACAGGGTAACCCCGAAAATGAGGTATTGTGAGTAAAACAGTTACATGAAACTGGATTTATTATTTCATTATTTTTCAGAAATAGATTTTGTCAAATGACACATATTGGCTATCTTGCAGAGAGTTACATGAGAGGATCAATAACATCTCATTTAGCAGGTGAAACAGTTTTTTTAATGTATAGTCCCTGTCATACCTCCCACTGCTTTCTGACTGAGTCTGAGAGGAGCATCAGGTCCTGGAGTTGGGGCCCCGTGCAAAAGGCCCCCAAACACTCCACAGCACTGAGGAACTCGTCGAGGATGGAAGGCTGCAGAATCTTTAAAGCTTTCTGCACACAAAGACATCAAGCTGGACAAACATGCAAACAATGGCAGCTATGCAAAGCAGAACACAGAGCTCTAAAGATATGTGCAATCATTCAGAGTTTCATTTTGAGATTCCAAGGTCTGGATGATGTAGCACAAAACGCATTTGCTCTGTTGTAAGGATTTGATAAGGAACACTTTGGTGGAAAGCTGATTTTACATTCACTAAAAGACAGAAATAGAAATGTCTCACACTCATTAGCAGGGGCAAAACAAAAACAAAGCTGAAGGTCAAAACTCTTAAAGGGGACCTATCATGCAAAATGCACTTTGGTACGTCTTTTATACATGAATATAATTAATAATTCCTTATATTTATTATTATAGCGCTTTATTATTATTATGTGTCCCCGGTGTTCCAGGGAACTCACCAAGTGTCAGAAAACACAACCCTCTCTATTTTCCTCCATACCCAAATCTCTAAAAAAGGGGCTGCAACGGATCTGATAAAAACTGATCCAGATTTGAACACTGTCCTGACGTCAGGACGGTGGCGCTACGGCTATTGGGCCAACTCCACCAATCAGGAGGAGACAGCCACGGCCATTGCCGTTCGAAAGCGCTGGAGACGCTGTAGTACATATGCCAGGCCTGTAGGTGGTGCTGTTCTCACTGAATCTGCCCTTGCAAATCCAGAGCTAAAAAATGTCAAATTGAGCAAAATGATGCATGGCTAAAATGCATGATCTGGTTGGTATTTTGAAATAGTATAAATATGCCTTATATAGGTATGGTCCTACACTATATTATTCAAATATAGCATGATAGGTCCACTTTAAATAAAAATGTACTTTTATTCATTAAAAATCATCAAAATTATTTTGTTGATGTTACTATATAATGCTATATAATATACTTATTATTAGATGGTTAAAAAAATCTATTAGGGTTAGTGATGTGTTTCTGTTTCTTAAAATTGTACCTGTTTCTTCTTGGCTTGGGACACGGACACCTCTCTGCCACCAAACAACCTGATGGCTTGCTGGATGCGTCCCTGCAGGTGAGACCGGGCTTTCTCCAGCCGGCTCCTCGCCATCGACTGCGCTTTGGAGTGAACTTCACTGCGGACCATCACCAGAGGCTTTGGAGAGGTTGTATCACTCTGTACAGTGTTGGGTTGCCCTCTTATTCTGGTTGTAGACGTTTGACTTTTTGGGTCTGGACTCGTCACATGTTTAGACAGAACTGGACTTTTTGCACACTTTGGTCCGACAGGAGTTTGGATCCTAGCAGGTAGAGGTCGATCCTTTTGACTTGGACATGAAACTCGAGTGTTGGATTTAGAAAATAACTGGATTACAGGTTCAGGTTCAGCTTGAGTTATAACAATGGTTGGTTTATCATTTGTATTCACAGGCTGATTCTTGGTCCAACCTCGAAGACCTGTCATCCTTGGTTGAGGCGTAAAAGATGGAGTCTCAGGTGAAGCCAGACATGGGTCCTGGTTTTGCAGCATCACATTCCCAATCTGGTGTACATGTTTGGTTCTGGCCACAACAAATAACCCTGCCTCTGGCTCTCCTGGAGTCTTACGGGATGTTTCAACATGTTGCAGAAACCCAAGAGAACAGAACATTCCAAAAATCTCCTAAAAAAGAAAAAGAAAATAAGCCCAAGCAACTATTGAACAACTGAAGGTTACCAGACATTCATTGAACTGACCTGGCAGTGTGAGACTGCCTCTGAGATCCTGTCCTGCAGGTCAGAGGTGCTGAGGTTCTGTAGAGGAGAGGTTTTCTGAACTCGTGCCACAAGATTCAGTAGATCCTGTCCCTCAGATACAACCTGGTTCTCAAGCTGCGGCCCTCGAGAAATCAGCACCTAAAGAGGATTATACCCAGTTTTATCATTTCAGTGGGCACACATATCACACGCCACTGGAAGAGATGCCTCACTGTGGTATTTCCCTTTCAGTAGAGAGTCTGTGCAGATCACAAAATGTCATATCTGGCAACATAGTCAACTAAGGAATAATAGAAAAACATGCCAAACTGCTATAATACCCTAACAATGTACAAGTAATAACTAGTAAATAACTAGTAAAATGACATCAGAAATGTATTACAAATCTGGCAAGCTGCAATTTGCAACATGCCAGTATTTGCTATTGCTAATTCCACTGTTCCTATAATAAAAACGCAATACCTGTAGGAGTGAGCATCTATAATTTGTGTATTATGATACTGCCATCATTTGTAGGTGTTAACAAATATATTTTGTGAAAAGGACTCATGGATAATTTATGATGACTTTTACCTAAAAACAACCAAACAAACACAACAAACTAATGCCTTATTAGAAGTTTTGCTGACTTTGGCTGCAGGTTCCAATGCAGAGCGCCCTCTGTGCTTTCTGTCCTCCCTGTGCTGGTGCCAGTCCAGAGCCTCGGAGCTCCAGCGGTCCAGCTCAGCCAGACGGCCCTCCAGCCCCGACGCAGCCCGCTGCAGCTCTGCACAGTTCGTCTCTGCTGCAGCGAGCACCTGTCAGACACACACAGAGAATCAGGACTGAACCCTTTGTCTAAGTTGATCATACTAAACTACAGGACAGCTACACTACTGTATGTACACAGGATGAGAGATCAATACAAACTCTGTGGAAACTGTAACAATGTCTACAACCACAGTGTTTCTCTCTTTTTCTAATTGACTCTTTGAATCGCACACATAATAAATCATCAGTATGACAAGAAGAAGAAGCTCTATTGAAATGCATCACAGTTGGTCAGAGAATGTTTGCAGCAGACTACCTGTGGGAGAGTTTTTTGGAGGTTCACTGTGTTGCTCGTTTGCAACTCTGTGGATGGACTGAGACATGAAAGGTCCACCTCGGCCATCTTCTTACTCAGTCCCTAAAAAGTAAAAAGAACAAGAAGCAAAAAAGATAAACCGGTTAAGGAAACAGAATGATTTAAAAAGATTGTCTACTGCTGCTGATTTGTATTTAGTCATCCATTAGTGAATATGTAACTTTAACAACCTGTAGCTTCTGCCTGGTGGCCTTCAGTGGGACAGAGGCCACCTCCAGCGGCTGCCTCAGTAGCCAGCTGGCCTCCTGGGTCAGTGAATGCATCGTTTGAAGAGAAGGTGGACCAACACTGGGCTCCGATGATACTTCCTACGGAAAACAAGCTTTATGAAACCTTTATTGATGTCTGTTTGCCTCTTATGTCAACAACAGACATTCTGTTAATAATGAACATTTGAAATCCTTTGTATTCATTTCATTAAAAGGTAGGGTAGGTAAGAATGGAGAAACCAGCTCGAGTAAACTAGAATTTGAAAGAACACAACCGGAAAAAATCTGCCCCTTCCTTCAGACTTCCTTACAGAGCCCCTCCTCCAACACACAGGAACGCACACATGACCAATGAGGGCACGAGATAAGTTTGTGCACAGATGGAAGGCTGACAGGCAGGTAGGCCATCCAGTTATTTTAGCCGGGGCAGCTCAGATTATTGGTCGTGCTTTTTACAGCGCCACGGCTTCCACAGATGACATTTTTTTTATGTATTTATTGTCAAAGCATTTAATATATTGATTGCTATCGGGATGTTAAGAGCATTCCATGGAATATAACAAAAAGTGTTTCTGAAGTGAATTACCTACCCCACCTTTAACTGTGTCTTCATGTATAGTCTGGGTCCATGTGGAAAGAAGAGTGCGTACTTACAAACATGGTCCTCTTCATGCATTCAGCCCACTGCATGTTAACTTTGCTGAGTTGCTCTGCCATTGTGCGGCTGGTTGTAGATTCTGTCACTTCGATGAGGAAGTTCCCCGCTTCGTTTAACTTAGCTTGACATGCCGTCCACTCGCTCATGTCCTACAGTAACCAAACCAACAGGTCAAAACAAAAAAGAAAATGGTTTCAATTTCAAACATTGGACTTTATAGTGAGAGTCATAAAGGATTATTTTTGAGTTATTCATTGACAGAATTCCAGACAAGAGGTTACCTTCGTCCTCGCTGCAGGAGACTGGGCAGGTGAGTGTTTCTGTGCCAGCCACGTCTGTAGAGAACAGAGGCACTTGTTGTAAATCTCCCACGCTGACACCACTCTCTCCATCGTCCATCTGACAGCCGTCACAGGCTGTGTGATCTGTTCCACTTCATTTTCTGCTTCCTTCACCTGACGAGCAACAAGCTGGGAGTCCTCACCTGGGGAGAAACAGAAACAAATCTATCATGTCAGTTAAACACAGAGAAAATTAAGCTAGGATTTGTGCTATATACCTCATGTCAAAGAAACACATTCAGCTCATACCTAGCGCTGCCTTGCTGGTGTAATTGTTCGCCTTCTCCTTCAGTGTTTGGAGAGAGTCCATCAGAATCAAAAGCAGGCATTGGCGCTCAACAGTTTCCTAAACAAACCAACAAAGTGATTGTGTTGAGCAGTAGTAATTATGCCATTTCCTTTTATATTCAAACATTCAAAGGTTTTATTGTCATATGCACACAGCTACAGTGTAGAAATGGCAATGAAATATGCTAATATTGTGGCTCACATTAGTATGTTCCTGGAACCAGTATAAGAATGTTTTGTCATGCTGAGATACTTACATGCCAGTCCTGCAGAAGCTGAAGAACTGCCTCCTGGGAACTGTAGGCAGCTTTCCAGATCTGAACCTTAGCACTGATGCGGCTCAGGACATCCAGAACAGTGTGACGGGATTCCTGGTATTCCAGTTTGATCCCTTGATATTTAGCTGTGACTCGGATATTGGTTAATCTGTTAGATAGAAGATGTTGATGCATAATTGTTTTTTTTGGAACCAAACAGTGAATCATTTAATACAGGGGTGTCAAACTCAAATACACAGTGGGCCAAAATAAAAAAATGGGTACTAGTCGAGGGCCGGACTGGTTCAATGTTTATTGCAGAACTTATTGAAATTAACTTATTGCACATATTAAACCTGGAAATAAGAAAGCTTAAATGATTGCCTATAAAAACAACATTAAACATTAAATAATCCGTTGCATTCATTTCTTATGGCTGCAGCTTTTCCAGAGTCATTTCTTATGATTACATTTTCCCACAGGCCAACAACAGCTTCAAAAAAACTATTTCCCTCAAAGAAAAAACTAAACATGCCCTGTTGTCTCAAGAGAAAAAGTGCAGAAGGAAACATCCATGTAAACTCTTGGGTGCAAGTTCATCAATGTTTGGGGTCAGGCTCTGAGCGGAGGAGACCCTCAGGATTGAGTGATGGTGTGCGTGCAATATACCGGTGGGCCAGATCTAATAGTAATTAAAAATTATCCTGCGGGCCGAAATTAAATCCACCATGGGCCTGATTTGGCCCCCGGGCCTTGAGTTTGACACATGTGATTTAAAAGTAGAATTTTTTACAAACATGCTGGTATGGTATACATTTCATTGATGAAAGAAGTTAAATAACTTTGTCACATACCGTCTTTTTATCTCATCAAAATTCTCAAGGGGCACAACTATGTTCCCTGAGTCGTCCATGTTGCGGTAGGTATCCATAATATTGACGTAGTAGCTCATCTCTTTGATTAAAGTCTAAAAGAAAAACAGCAACCAACATTTATTTTATTTTCATGTCATGAGTCTCAAAATATTGTTCTGCTTTTCTTCATATGTTTTCTTGCCCATAAGATGTTTTAAAACACAACAACATGGAACAGGAAGCAATTCAATAAAAAGAACCTTTTGCGTGTCTTGTTGAGCTCTTGCTTCTTTAGCAGCGCCTGCATGATCTTTCACGCCTCCTCCCTCTTCTGTTAGCGCTTCCTCTGCACGCTGCAGCCACACCACAACCGAGTCCAGAGGAGGAGGAAGGCTGGAGTCCAGGTCTGCTTTACATATCTGCAGCTGGAGAACAAAACAAATACAAAAATAGCTATAAGCACAAAACCCAGTCATTGTTGTGTAGTCTAATGAATGCTCGACAAGCATATTGTATTTATCTGGAGAGGGATAAAGAAGTGAAACAGTAGGAGACACCTTCCAGATCCAAACAAACCTCTAATACCCTGCCAAAGTCACAAGAACCAAAACATGTAAGACAAACAGCGCAGGAAGCAATAAGGGGGCTGGGATTTCCTCACCTCTGCTTCCAGACGATCCCACGCTGTCCTGAGAGCACACTGCTCTTGGCTGAGCTCAGGGCGGCGTCTAACGGCAGCGAGGAGGGTCATGACTGGTCTCCTTTGCTCAGTGAAGGAGCCAAACAGGTTCTGAAACACCTGAAGAACCGATCACAGTTATAACTTCTAATCACTGTGCAACAATAATAATACACACAAATGAATTCGTCAACTCTCAAGCTCTGTGCTTACCTGATACTTTTCTGCAAAGCTTGATTTCTCTGTAGCTGTCCGTGCCTCTGACAGTTCATCATAGGTTTGCTGCAGCCAGCAGGTCACCTCCAGCGCTCGCTCACTTGGAGAGACCTATGTTTTCAACATTTAAACTGTCAGTAGATATACTTAAATGTCAACCAAGGTGATATTAACTGGTTAAATGTGTTGCCATCTCATACAGGCCTGAATTAACCTCAACTTTCAATAGCCATGCATCATATAAATACCCAGTAAAATGTACATATTTAAAGCAAATGAGAAATAAAATAGGCACGAACTTATGCGCCTGGTTTATAGCTACCTGGCGTAACGGTGAAACAGCCACTGCTGGAGTGAATTGAGCAGGCAGGTTGACAGGTGAGAGAGAAAAGGGCTGGACCACAGGAAACAGCTACAGCACCGCCACCAGAAGAGAATAAATAGTAACACCACTCAGTGTCATGCAGGAGTTCAGGTTTGAAAGAGGGAAGGGAAACCGTATGAAACCAGAGTACTCCCAAGTAGTTACTTTAGAAGGTGTGGAAGTCAAAGTAACAGTAAGCTTTAAAGAAGTAGTTTGATTAGCTACCTGCAGATGGTCATCCGGAGCCGGCATGTCATTGGAGTACTGCAGAAACTGGGCCACATATGTCATTATGGACTTCTCATCAGGGTCTGGTACATCGACATCTAAAGGTGAAGGTAAATACACTTGTGTTCAGTGTGGCAGAAAAAGAAGCAAAAATAATCTTTCTGATTGGTATAATTTCTTATGCAACATTTCTTCTTCAGATACTATGAAATATTATTGAGAATTGCTCAACAGCACTTAGTAAGCCTCACCCTGGGGGTCCAGCAGGCGGGGGATGTGGAGCTCCCTCTCGGCCAGGTGGAAAGCCTCCTCCAGGTTCTCCTGGTTGCTCCTGGACTGAACCAGAGAGAGGTCAGCCAGCTGCGGTCTGAGAGAGCACAGGATGGCCAGGAAGACCTCTCCACTTCTCCAGCTCGACTTAAAGTTCTTCACACTGACGGAGCAACCGACCCTAGACAGAGAAAAAAGATGGAGAAAGGAAAGAAGAAGGGGAAAAAAAGGAAGATCTGTCAGTCCGTCCTGTAGCAACAGCAACACTTCTGTCATTGCTTTCCGTGGAGCAGTCACACCAACAAGCCTTCAACCTTATCCATCTGTTTTGCATGTCTTTGCATGAGTAGGAGTAGCTGTCATTCCTCCTGTGAGGAGACGCCATGGCTGCTGTAGCTCTTTTAAGGTTGCAAGTTCTTGGCAAAGATTTTTCTTTACTTTCACGAAAAACTGAGTAAGGACTTTTCTTTTTTTTTGTTTCTTTTATAAAAAAAAGGGGGAAATTATTGTAAGACTGTTTCAAGACATATTTTTTGGAGTATGCATCAGAGTTACCTTAAAGCAATATAATACCATATAGGTAAACATATAATGTTATGGTTTAAAAATCAAATACAACACATTACAATATTTCTGGAGTACAATATTAGTTTGTAATAAGTACGTGGGTCTGAATGGTACCCTGAGACAACCAAATTGTCATACCCCTCTATAAAACATCTTAATTGTTTCAGTATTTGGTATATAACTTACTTTTGGCATTGGTCCCTGACCCACATGAGCAGGGCCTTCTTGGCTGATATCCGGAAGCGTTTGTGCAGCGGAGACGTCCGGCCCGCAGGGAGCGGAGTCGCCGGGCTGCTGGACCGCGAGTCCAGACTGCACAGGGAGTCCAGAGAGGAGTGACACGAGCTGTAGGACAGAGTGCTGGCCAACTCTTCAATCTGAAACACAGAAGGTAACACCATTCATTAGCTATCAAATTAACTGTATACATAACATGGTCATTACATTCTTTAAAAAATAAACAATTTATAGTCTAATAATACAGTATTGAAAAGTAACAAATATCTCCATTTTGTCAAGAAAACCCACAAAGCCATCCTGTGTCTTACCAAGTGATAATGATGCATTAGGAGATGCTACTGATTTTATATTTTTATCAACAGCAGGGTAATACCTTTTGGCGTACTGTTACTACCAGTACTCACATGACAGTGGAGGATGATGGTCCATATGAGTCCGAGGATGATGGAGGGCCGTCCATCTATGATATCTGGGATGTTTATGTTCACCATCTTGATCTATACCAACCATACAAGAATAAATATTTAATATAATAAAACAAAAAAACATGGAAAATTCAGATGTCCTGTTTGTTGTGTTGAGACTTACAGATTTCTTCTTTAGAAAGTTCAGTGCGGTATCAATGTTGGCCCTCTGCTGGAAGACCCCACGGCCCCTTTGTCTTTTCTGTGGAGACAGATTAGCTCTACTGTCATTACAGTATTTTTACCTACAGAATACTTTTCTACCGATTCATTCTAGGATACATTTGTAAGCACATTGCAGTAACTCACCATAGGTTGGCCACTCATCACCTCCAACAGGTCAAGCAGCTGGGACCCATCTCTGAGGTCAGAGAAGAGGTCGGACACAAAAGAGGGAGGGCATCTCTGTAACAACACACACAATTACGTTTTAATGTTATTTTGCCAAATTAATGAATGAGTTCAGATTTCTGACCTGTTTATGTTTTTGCAAACCACATAAGAAAATCTAAGGCGCAACAGGAAGCAAAATGATTTATGGGAAATGTGATCTTCCTGGTTGTTTACCATGTTGCTAAAGCGAAAACACTGTCTATCAAGCTGTGTATTTTGCAGTGACGTGATTTTGAAATGCTACATGTAGCTACTTTGTAAATTCAGTTTTGTATCCTAAACGTATAGCAATGACACTGAAGTGTGGGTCACAGCTTTAGGTCAAATCACAACAGAGAAGTGTGTCCTCTAGACATAATGGGACTATTTCCTGTTAGGGGTCGTCATTGCCCCCATATTGGTGTAACAGCTGGTTATGAACCGGTGACTTTATGGACATGAGGTTATGAAGGGGTGCATGGATTCAAATTACGTGCTGTGCTGCCTCACGGAACCACTATTTATACTCCAGCCGGGCGTCACCAGCAGATCAAGGACTCTTTCCAACAGATCCTCTGTAAGCGGCTTCACTGCACCTCACCGTCTGAACCACGAGTCAGCATGTCTGCACGTGCTTCACATCATTTACAGCCCCACCACAGCACGACGTCATCTCAACACTTTAAGTACAGTTCTCAAAAAGATGTGTTCATATGCTAATTAGTGTTTCAATAGCGCATATTTTGGACAAGCATGGCAAACTCTGGGTGTAACATTTCCACACCTGTGATCATACTTTGCTTGTGACGTATCATACATTTAAGGTGCTTTTTGGACATAACACTCAAACTTGAAGTGAACTTAATGGGAGAATGTGGAATCAGGTAGTATTTAAATGTTAAGAAAGTAAAGCCAAGCAATGTGTGCAAACGATAGATTCTGTCTACTGATGCTGCAGACATGTTTAAACTTTTTCTCACAAGTCCCTTTCTGCATCACTCTAGCCTCTAATAAACTCATTTAAATAATCCAACAGCCAAAGATATAACATCCTAAAGATATATCCTATTTTAAGCCCCAGGTCTTTATTTAGTGAACTTAACATCAGCTGTGTGATACTTCCTGCAATAGGAAAACTGCTTAGACACGTATAAAAGAGAGTAACACCATCCTGCTTTTCGACAAATGTAACAAAAGTTCATGTTGATGTATCCCATAAGCATGAAATATGAATATGGTATCTCAAAATACAGTACCTTAGAAAGTTGAGCATTTATCCAGTTGGTGAATGTCCTCTTCTGAATCTGTTCATGCTCCACTGTTGAGGAAACAGACAAACACATTGTAAGAAAATGATGTATTCAAGTGAGTATCTGATCACTGGCTTCATCAATCAGACTGATTTATATAAAACAAGTTGTAGTCATTAAACTTACAAAATGTGCGAAAGCATGTTTTCTAAGACTGTGAACTATTCATCTTTAGCTGAGAAGAGCAACTAATGCAAACAAATGCACAGAAAAATTGTCAAATATATTACAGTATCTTCCTCAAAAGCAACATGACCTTCCCTGACTTTCCCTCTCTGAAATATGCTTCTGTAAAGTCCGTGATAATCCTGATATTTCAAAATACAGTAGCAGTAGGGTCTCTGATCTAAGCAGCCGGAAGGCCATAAGCTACTCACCAACAGCAGAGGAATAAAGGACCTTTCGACCCTCCATGCTTATAACTAATAGTCAATAAATCCATCAATAAGGAGAATAGATTGTACTTTTAACAACATATAACTAACACCACATGAGCCACAGTGGCCGGCTTCCTGTTTGAGCTAAAGTAAGGCTACCGTCTCAGATCTGGCTGCAGGATGGGATTGCTTCCAAGACAGTGACAGACAGACATAGATACTGAGAGACACAGCACATATACACAGAGACACACACACACAGCAGTGATGGACTCTGAAGCAGACATATGCACACACACATTGAGGTGGTTTTGGGCATACATGGTACTGGAGATGTCCCTAAGCTTGTGTTGACAAAACATGAATCTTTAACTCATTATAACGGGTTTTTTCCTACGGTATTATGGAACAGAAACTTAAAGAAAATGCAGGTAGTTTTGGAAATGTATTTTAGTTTGACGGGTATACTGACAAGTAGAGCCATGTGGAAAATGTTGGTTATCTTTTCATCAAATGAAATAATTTGCTTTAATTACAGTTATTCATATAGTATGAATAACTGTATCGAACATAACACAGTGGGTGTGTCTCATAATGATATGCTCTTACTTTTTTAAACCTTTAACAACCATTTATTGTATCTATATGCACAATAATGTTTCTGAAGAGTTTGTAGTGCTTTTTAAACTGCAAAATGACACATCACAGGTTTATTTCATGCAGACCAAACATGGCTATTATTCCAAATAAGTTGTGGAGAATAGTTTGTGATTCAGTCTGAACTGTTTGTTTAGGAGCATGCCAAGGCAGGAAAGTCCTGAGCATTTTAATCACTCCACTCCACCCAGCTCACCTGACGTGCCAGTACAAACAGCAGCAAATAGCTTCACCAAATAATAACACAGTTCTGCTACAGGCCATTGTAAGGCAAATATGTTTATCAGGTAAAGAAAAACAATTATAGATTCTTACATAGACTTCTTACGTTATAGTAAAGGTGCCATGTATATCTCATATTGTTCCCATTTTACCATCTGCAGTGGTTACACTTAATTCAACAGGTAAATGTTGAATAAAAACAAAATTTCCATCATTTTCAAACAGCATAACAACATTGTTAGTACAAGCATGTTTGGTAACTAAATATCTGTCTGATTAATGAACATGGTTAAATTGGTTTATGTTCAAAGAATAAAGCAATCATTACACATTTACTGTGCAGTAGTTCCCCCGCATGAGGTCACAACAAAAAATGAAAGCAACGTGACTAAAGAACAATTTAGACCAGGAAATGAAATGTTCCTTCTAACTAATGATGGAGTCACATGGAGACTTGTTGATGTTAACCAAGTTTTTCCTATTTCCTTATTATAACACAATAGTTTATTGTCCTTTCAAAAATCGTGTATGCTATCACATGGCTAGTAACACAATTAACAATACTGAAACAAATGAAAGGGGAATATTGAAATGGAGCAAAAACAAAGAGATAATATGTAAGCATTTTGTAAAGAGTTCATACCAAACACAAGCCAGGAATCTTCATATATCATTGTCAATAGTAAGAAAAAGGAGCTGAAATCCCTTTTAACAAGTGCCTTCTATTGCATGTGGCTTTTAACAAGCTGCTAACTAGTTCACTTAAATGTCAGAAAAGTTTAAAAAGTGTAATCTCCACACATGTGAAATAGTAAACAGATTATACAAATTGTCAGTGCACAGGGAAACATCTGTATCACCTCCACTCTCAGCAAACAATCAGTTAAGCTGCCTTTAAAAGATATTTATTTACCACTTTCATTTTCACTTTTCAAGCACTTCTTTAGTTAAAGATGGGGTAGGTAATTTTGGAGAAACCAGCTCGAGTGCGCTAGAATTTGAAAATACACAGCCGGAAGAAATCTGCCACTTCCTTACAGAGCCCCTCCTCCAACACACACGAACGCGCACATGACCAATGAGGGCACGAGATAAGTTTGTGCACAGATGGAAGGCTGACAGGCAGGTAGGCCATCCAATCATTTTAGCCGGGCCGGCTCAGATGATTGGTCGTGCTTTATACAGTACTACGGCTTCTACAGATGAAATGTTTTTATGGATTTGTTGTCAAAGCACTTCAGATATTCATTGCTATCGGGATGTTAAGAGCATTCCATGGAATATAACAAAAAGTGTATCTCGAGCCGGTTTCTCAAACTTACCTACCCCACCTTTAATGAACACATAGATATCACATCCTAGTAATGCAAAATGGATTGAAATCTCCTCAACACATTTCAAAGTTTAGCCAGCACGGTTTCTCCGCTGCAGCACATGTCACAACATCATGTACAGGAATAGACTGACCTTGGAGGAGCATGTGCACGTTGTCGATGTCCAATGGAATGCCTCCATCGTCTTCCTCTGCTACACCTGAAGCCATGTAGCCACTGACCACAGCAGGAAATCAACCTCAGTAAAGGTGCACAAGACGTAGATTAGAAAGTGTTCGAGAGAAATCAACAATACCAAGGGTAAATACTGCAGTGTCAAAGTTTCTTCCATAACATTTAAGTTAAGCGCCTCCACTATTTGATTAGTCATGTTATGAACACACCCATCCACACCCATACTTTACCTCAGACAGACACAAGTACACACATGCAAACATTCAACAAAGAGCTCAAATAAATAGCTGTTCTGGTAGCTAGTCCATCTCTACAAACGCACACAGAAATAACAGGCCAGGTCACAAGTCTTCAACATACCTGTAGTAGGACTGTAGTCACGGATCACAGCTGGTACATAATGTCTAACAATGAAGAGCAGTAGGGTGTGTAACATGAACACTAAATATCCTCAGCTGTATCCTTTCAGATTGGCACAACTCTGCGATGAGGTCCCTTCAAATAGGACTTGGCTGTAGGTGCTCATAAATGAAACAAGGTGCCTCTTGCCTTTTTGAGCATGAGGACAAACAAGAGTGGAAAGTCCCGCCCACGCTCACTGCAGGCCCAAATCACTCCTGCCGGCTCTCATTCAAACTTTCTCTTGGCTAAAAAGTAATCACATGCTCACAAATGCCAGAGTCAACTGGTTTGGTTTCAGCTGTGTTTGCAAAAGCAGATCCTTGTTACTGATGTTTCAGGAAACAAAACACAGTCAGTGTCTCTGGAAATGTACTTAATGCATTCATGTGAAACTGTTCCTTTTAGGGGTCATACCAACTTATGACTCGAGATGTTTATTAAAAAAATGAATCTTCCTTTTCTCTCTCATTTGGTTTCATTTTGAGTAAAGTGCTCCTTTAAGGATTTTCCATTCACCTGAAGAGAAACAAGGTGCACCGACAGTGGAGCACATTACACAATGCCAACTTTACCCTTGACAGCAGTGTCAGTGTTGTATTTGTTGTTTCACTATGGTGATCAGACATAGTTGACAGTCAACGCAGCAGCTGCACCCTCACCTCAAATTCCCACCTCTGTTATGGCACTGGCAAAGGCACCAGAAAGCGGAGCAGCAAATAAGATAGTTTAAATGTTCCTGTGGAAAGTCTAAAACTATCTAACAAAGCATGATATTGGAAAAGAGACACCATGATGTGAAAGTAAGGGGTTAGAAGGTTATTGTAGTGTATGTCCACTGCATTTTTCTTCACAATCATGCATAACACTTTTTGACTTTTACGATTGTTGACTTATCCATCCATACTGTTAGCTTTGCCCAGAAATCCTCAATAGAAGAAACATTAAGAATGACCAAGATACGCTTTATACCCTTTGTTGACAGAACTGATAAAAAATAACGTTTCCTTAGCTAGATGGAAATTGTAGTTTCAGTGACATAGGTGAAACAACATCAGATCAAATGTAAAGGTATTACATTTGTTTTAGCTATAATAGATGCATGTATAGTACTGTAAGACCCGTTTTTTTAACATAACATCATTGGTTTCTTTAAACTTTATTATATTTAATTATAATTTTTGAATCTGTAAATATGGAAAAAACTGTGCACTTTTCACAAATGTGTGTTGTGAAACAGCAAATAACCCCGATATTTCAAATTCCTTTAAAGAAAACGTTTAAAGTAGAAAATATTAATGTGTTGTGTTATGTCAAGTCCTCAGGGTGGAGCTAGCTAGACAGTTATCAAAGTAAACGTATTCTTGTACCTCCATTTGGTGGCGCTGCAAACCTGTACAAAACACTGCACAGCGTAGAAGAAGACTTCACCACGACTTTGACGATTAGCAACAGAGCACTGACCTTCTCACTGCAGAGACAAACTGAAAGGTAAGGGAAGAATATACACTTTTTAAGCAAAGTCACTTCATTCTAAACAGAAAAACCGTTGTTGTCAGCAATTTGAAATGAAGCTATTATCTGTACTTATTGTAGCTTTGTTTGCTATTCTTGCAGGTGTACTCAGTTAGCTCGCTAGCTTCCTGCTACTAGCATTCTCTATGGTTGTACTGTACAGCTGAGAACATGCTAACACGCTAGCATCTACCATTGATTGAAATAGTTAGCTATACAAGTTTAATTAAATCAACATTGATATAATATCTATATAACCGCTTTGAATACTGTCGTTTGATTTAATGGGCGTGTATTGTACACAAAGCTAACCATGACTGCCAGGTTGTAATGTTAGCACTATTAGCATTAGCCAAATAAATGACGTTGTTGTCAGTAATGATAACTTATTTGACACGTCAATACAAATAATGCATCGTTTCCCTATAACAGTAAATGCATTGAGAAGTGAATGCGTGCCTTTCTTAACATTTTCTTTTAATCAGTATTTCATAGGTTTCCAAAGTCCTTAGCAAGGCCTGACATAGCTAAGGGTCACTGTAGCTTTAAGCAACCCAGATAACTGTATATCGAGTAATGTTAACAACATTGTCTCAATGAAGGATTCAGCTACTACAACTTAGCTTTAGTCAACATTACAGCAGTATAACATCGATTATGCCGGAAGTAGGACCCATTTAAAGATTAATTAAATATCCAAAAATAGTTCTAGGCAAGTTTATTTATAGAATACCTTTCAACACAAGGCAATTCAAAGTGCTTTACTGAAAAACATTAAGAGATATGTGCAAGATATAGTGCAGCGGAATCACATTATAAAATGACATTTAAAAACCTACCAGGAGAGCACAAGATTAACAAATCAGTAAACTTGTAAAATTGTAAATTAAGTTTGTTGTCTCTCAAAAAATGAATGACCCTTTTTAGGCTAGTGTTTCTGATGTTCCTATGATGCCTAGACTGAAATAAACTGCTGTTTGAGATTGTACATAGGCACTGTATTAAGACTATTCCCTTGCTGTTTTTCTCCCACAGATGGCTGGGAGCGTATTTGCAAGCTTTTGGACCAAAATGAGCCCTTACTACACTAAGGCCTACCAAGAGGTCTGGGTAGGAGTTGGCCTCTATACATTTGCATACTCCAGAATTGCTTATGGAGGTGAGTTGAAATTGAAGTCCATATAATACAAACAGTATGTAGAATAATGTAGTTTGTTTTTTGTTATGTAATGGGACATCTGTTCCCAAATTTGCCGTCATCACTTTGATCATATATTGTGGTTCTCATGAATGTATCAACTAAAATGAAGGGAAGCCGTGATAAAGGTGACATTTGTTGTGGTACATATGATACTGGAGAAGAACGAGTACTGTCGTTTTAAAACATTTTAGCTTGACTTGTTACAAATATTTGAGATCTCATGACATGCTTAGTCCTGAGTAAATGTAAGCAGCTGAAGTTGCTTGGATACTTAAAAAGCTGTGTTTCAGTGGTTTGGGAACATTTGAATTAATACCTTTCTGTTTCTTTCTTCCTCAGGCAAAAAGACTGAGGATACAAGTAAGTAGCCATACATTTTTGTTTATTAATACTATAGGAGTACCTGGTATTGGTAAATAACATAGCACTGGTGGGCAAAAGCATAATTGTTCTCACACAAAATATAATGCTAGCAAAGCGGAGGGTGTTCATCTTGTCCCGCAGATTGATAAAAACAAACTGATCAGCTTTCTATCAATGTTAGCTAGCTTGTCTGCAACCAACTTGACTCAATACGTTGTTATTCTGACCTTGCTTGATTACATTGAATTTTGTTTGGTTTTAAACGTGTCCTTTTTGTGCTCCTCTTTTGCAGAGCAATAAGTCGTCCACCATGCCAACCAACCCTCCTCCTGTGAAAATATGGCCCCATCGTTAGTCCAGAAGTCCAGCTTCACATTTGAATTTTTGTTAATATGGAACCAATAAAGTTGCTATCTAAAACTTATCATTTCGTTGTTGGCTTTGTTGGGGCTATAGAGTGTAGTCACATTATTTTGTTCAGCAGTAATAATAATAAATAATACATTTGATTTATATAGCACACTTTCTTACTTTTTCAGTAACTGTTATTATAAAAACAGAGAGCAGATTACGGTGTCTATAGAGAAATAGGACTGGGGAATATATCCATATAGTGATATGAGACAAGATATCTTAGATTGAGTTAATCGTAATATGGAATAAATGTAGTCTTCCTGGTAATACATTAAATGTATGTTCTCTGAATTCCCCAGATTTCAGAGAACATCAATGCTATCGAATGAAAATAAATCTAATGTGTAAATATTTTGTGAAAGCATTACATCTAACATACAATATTGTTGCATTATCAAGGTATTTGGTTAAACATTGTGATATTAGACTTTCTTCATATTGCCCTGCCCTACACAGCATATGAATGTATTTCTACATGGTCAATACCACTTTTAAAAAGGGATGCTAGCTAGTGTGGAGCTAAGACTTGAATAATACTTTTGGACATATCATCAGTAGACATTTTCTCTAACTACTGAATCTAAATTGTGTCGATGTTTAAAATGGGAGTAAACAACATTCATAACTATAAATCCATCCAAAAATCAGTTATTAAATCGTTTTGGTTCAGTATGTATTATGCAGTCCTTTAGTTGTAGTGTTTGCCATGCTGTTGTGCTACAATGAGTGAGCTATTAAAAGCTAATGAATCACAGTTTGAGTTTACGTTTTAACTAATTGACCGACAGAATAAACTACAGCACTACCATATTTGGTCATGAGTGGATGTGTGAGTTGTCGGTTAGGCAAGGCATCACTCATCTAATCAACAATGTGTGAGGGGATTATCACAATTGAGCCTAACCACAATACATCCAATCTGCGCACTCAACCCTTTTTGCTTTTACATCGGAACTACTCACTCTGGGTTTTGGCACACTGCAACAAGTTTGTTGGCAAAAAACCGACAACAAATGAATCCGTTTCCGTTTTCAGTTTGGTTCAGTGAACTAAGAGTGATTTGACCAGAATCCTGCCTGGGGCAAAAGAGGTTTAGTGCTGAGTGAAGAGATGGATAAACTGATTCCACTTCTGCAACATCACTACTGTATACTAGAAATTGGACTTCTTTAAATGGAGTCAATACTCTGAAAATTGTAAATGTAAATATGAAATGTTGAACTTTAAACAAAGTTGTTTTATTTGGAAAACATCTCTCTATCAGCTCATTAGTTATATTAAATGTAAGCATAACATTCACCTCAAAACCAGTTAAAAAACGAAAAGAATATGAACATTTTAGTAGTAGTAGCCTTTTGCAGAGCTGCTCTCCTTGGGACTGAGGAGAATTGTTTCTGACAGGAGGAATGAGATATACCGGTGTGTGGGCATTCATGAATTTGTTCTACCGTAATGTTACATCATTAAATACATGTCTGGCCTGAGAGTCTAGGGGAGCTGTCATGGTTGCTTACTGCCCCTGGTTTCAAGTTTATCATGCCGGCTATACAAAGTGCATTGACTAAAACATCATGACGGCCCATTATATTTCATATACTGTCTATACTGGTGGTGTTTTAGGGATTGGAACATTTAG